AGACGTCTAAATACAAATCAGCCATACGGATCAGAACCCAACACACCCTCTGGACTACACCGGATAAGCACGAGATATCGGATATGTCGGAATCCGCTTCCCGTCACAGTCAGCTTCCCTCCTGACCATGGACGGAATCCACAGAAAACCACATCTAGTCCAAGCAGGGATCTGACTCGTTTACCCCGCGGGAAGTTCCCATCTTCCCCGGATTCTGACCGGGGGGAAAATCAATGGTCTCATGCTTACCAGGCACACCTGGGTATAGTCGGTGTGACGGTGCGAGGGAATCACCATGCATATTCCTTGCTCGTGTCTTCGTGTTCGTTATGTCCTATCGGATGAGACTCTATTCTCCGGAACGTTCGCCTCCCTTCTTCCAGGGGATTGAGTATCGGCAATCCGTGTACTCCCGTACGATCTTTCAAGAGCCGGGTGGATCTACGAATGTTCCAGAGTGTGTGGGCCGTGTTGACTTACCCGGAGTGTCACGGGACAATCAGAGATAATTTAAAAAAAAAGAAATGACGCAGTTATATTAGTTCGATTCAATTGAAACAACTCAAAAAGTTAGAGGAAAATGCCCAGGTGACCAAGTTTCCAAACTGGCGGTGTCTGTCTAGCGTGGGGGTGAGTTAAGTGTATAAAATACCGTGACATCATAGAGATATATGGTATTTTAGATGTAGTCGATTGAGAGTTGATATATCAAAAGTATAGAGAATAGTTCTACTGAAACTTATATCCCTGAACCTGGACATTCACCTGGGGTTATAGTCCCAAGATATTCAACTAGCCTAACTAACATGATAAAAAGAACCAATAACCGTACGAATGTCGTCTCCTCCCCCACTCGGCTTCTGCTTTCTATTTTACCCGACCCACCTACAGTATAAGTACTTAAAAAGAGTAGGCTCGCTTTTATTTCTGAGGATAAATTTTTATAGACTCTCTCTGTTATAGAACAACACCCGTGTATCACTCCAGCGTCATACCTCCACTTCGACCCAAGATATCATATTCTGGAACCAGAAAATCCAAAGACCATTTCTCCATTTCTTTCCAAATACCTTTTTCTTTCTCTACAACATGCTTTCCGCAGGCGAACGATCCCAGCCTCACGCTACCATAGTAGATACCGTGAGCAAGGCGCGCATTATGCCGAACATTGCCGCCAACGGAACCAACGGAGTGACATCCTCTACCTCCAAACCCGCGCAAATGCAACATATCTGGGTCGTGACCGGTCCAGCAGGATGCGGAAAGAGCACTGTCGGTAATGTCCTACGCACCGAGCTAGGCATTCCATTCCTAGAAGGCGACGACGTAAGTGCACCCGGTGCCTGAATGCACCAGATACCCAATTCACGCCGAAACCCCCCATTTACACACATAACTAACAAACCCCTAGTTCCACCCTGCAGCAAACAAAGACAAAATGGGAAAAGGCATACCACTCACAGACGAAGACCGCTGGGACTGGCTGATCTCCCTTCGACAAGCAGCAATCAACGCCCTCTCCCCCTCAGAAGCAAACAACTTCCACCCACCCGCCGGCGTGGTAGTAGCCTGCTCCGCGCTGAAGCAGAAATACCGGGATGTGATGCGTGTCGCCGCGTACGGCTCGTCCTTGGTGCAGATCCACTTCGTCTACCTCAAGCTCACCGAGGATGTGTTGCTGCAGCGCGTCTCGCAGCGCCAATCACACTACATGAAGAGCAGTATGGTGCAGTCGCAGCTTGCTGTCCTCGAGGAGCCTAAGGGCGAGTGGGATGCTATCACTATCAATGTTGAGGGTACGATGGAGGATGTGCATCGTAACGTTATTGATGCTGTTACTGAGAAGCTTGCCGAGTATAAGTGATTTTCTTTTTCTCGATCTTACTATGGGTTGATGGGATTGAGTTTACTTTGTTCGGTGAGATTGTCGATGATGTCTCATTGGCATGTTCGAGCAAAAATGGGTATGGTATATGCATGGAGGATTTCTTAGCATTTTGGTTCTTTTCTGTTTTTTATTTTGTTATTCCTCCAAATGGTGTTGGGTGTTTTGGCCGGCTTGGCTATGTCACCGGTCTGTTTTAGATCTGGCGTTTCTTGATGAAGCTCGCATCTTGAGTTTCTACCTGGTGATGTTTTGATATATCCACTGTCTGACTTGGCAGCTTTGCGATATCCTTTTATCTTGGGTGTGGATTTTCATATCAATTGACCTGTCTATATATACATATTTATTTTTTTTCATCTTTTTGCTTTCTCTGTACGATGTACTAAGAAACTCATACTATAATGAATATATTGGAGCTAGCAAACAAGTTATACCAAGTATGTAGTGTCTTAAGATGTACCCAAAAATTGATATTATTTAGATACAATTGAGTAGTTCACCAAAGAGGTGACTTGTCTATTCACCTGAGATTTAGAAGCATGAGCTCGGGCGACTCAACTAGGTCCTTAACTCTGTTACCCATCCTCGCCATTGTCGCACCATCAATAACACGGTGGTCCGCGCTCCAACTGAAGTTAACCATGTCCCCGCGTGTAACCTGTCCGTCCTCATCAAAGACCGGCACCGTTCTAGACCTACCCACGCCGAGAATAGCCACTTCGGTCGGCACAATCACCGGAGCCACATATGTACCTCCGATATTGCCGATATTCGATACAGTGATAGTACCGCCACTGAGGTCAGCGGGCGTCAACTTGCCGCTTTGACCAAGGGCACTGAGCCGCGCAATCTCAGCGGCAATGTCGAAGATCGAACGGCTGGCGACATTCTTGATGTTCGGAACGATAAGACCATTGGGCGTATCCATAGCAATTCCAATATTGTGCTTGGCGCGCATGACTAGCTTGGGCTTTGCGGGGTCTGTGGTATCAACTTTCGAGTTAAGGATTGGGAAATCAGTCAGAGCCTGTGAGACGGCCTTGACGACGAAGGGGAGGAAGGTGATTTTGGTAGGATCGCGTTTGTCGCTGGCGAGTTTCTTGCGGATGGCGGTGATGTCGTTGACTTTGAGTTCGTCTGCGTAGAGGAAGTGCGGGATGTTCAGGGATTTGGTCATTGTCTTGAACATCTGTGATTGCACCGGGGTCAGGTTGGCGATTGACTCTACTTGTCGTGTGTCTGGTGACATGGAAGCCAAGGCGGCCATCGATGTAGGAACTGCTGGAGAATCTCTCTCCGCTACGAACTTCAGTACATCTTCTTTCATCACCCGCCCTTCTTTGCCAGTTCCGTTGACATCGAGGATGTTCACGCCGTGGCTCTTTAATAGCCCGCGTACTGCGGGTACTGCAAGGGATGCATGCTTTGACTTGGGTGTATCATCCAGAACTTTGATGGGCGAAGGGGTTAATGAGGAGGATTCGGCTGCTTGAGGCGCAGCTGTGATCTCAGAGACAGGAGGAGTAGGTTCAGACGGCGCCCCCCTTGATTCATGCGGCGGGTTATCATCGGGGTATTTTCCATCTGCAACTTCGATATCGCAGAGTGCCTACCAAAGCCTGTCAGTATGGTAATTGCAGTGTGAGTATCAGATGGATAAGAGTGAAGGTAGTACACACTCTTCCCGTAGGCACTGTATCATCTGTTTCGAAATGTAGTTTCTTAATAACGCCCTCGTATCTCGAAGTAATCTAGGTTCATTAGCTATTAACTCATGATATGGGAATAAAGGAGGTAGCACTCACATCATCGACAGCTTTATCCGACTGATATTGACACAAAGGCTTCCATTCCTCAATATGAGCCCCTTCTTCCACGTACCATTGGATGATCTGGACCTCAGTGATGCCTATGTAGTAATTGTAAGTGAACAAATTGAAGAATGAGGCAGGGAATAAGCATATATTACCCTCGCCGACGTCCTTTAGAACTTGTGATTTGATCGCCCATAGCAGAGAGCTGGCATGGAATCTCCGGGACAAGAGCGGTGGTAGTGTGGAGCGGATGCGGAGACGATTCTGGGGTAGACAAGGCCTGAAGTTGCGGGCAGTGAGTCCCCCGCTGCGGCTGAAATTCATGATTAAAAAAAGACAGGTTGATAAAGACAGATCCAAGAGATGTCTTTTGAGATTCCTGAAGAGAAAAGGAGCATTGTGTCTACTTTATTTGGCTCTCGAGCATCGACTGTTCTGCCCGCATGCCGATGCTAACCGACGCTACCCACGTGATCTCCGGTCTCCCCGCATTTATTGATGCGGGCAAGTATGGTTCTGGGGAAGTATGGCACTAACGTTATGGTCTCATTTCTTTGTATATTTTTGAATTGCTAGGCAATCATTACTGTTTGCTTTCATTGTGAGATGTCAATTGGGAAATTTTGAGTAAATTAATACTGCACAGGTTATCCATAGACAGCTGGGTAGTATAAAATGAAGTAGACTAAGGAATAGAACCTAAAGCGCAGATATACCATTAGTAAGGGCAGTTGGAGTAGAATGTATGTATATGGCACAAGCAATTCATTCTATTTAACTCTAGTTTAATTTTAGCTGCTAATAATCCTTCCCAGATAGCTGAGTGGGTGAGAGACACAAGGCTATCTGATTGCTGAATGGAACAATGAGCCCGGGTGATACCGCATTGGGAAGTTCAGTTAATGGTGAAACTGGTGAGGGTTTCGATCCTGCGCTGGGAGTAATTGGAGGGATTATCTTTTTTCTTCTTTTTTTCGAGCTTGACCAGCTATGCACAGCTATGCACAGCTATGCACAGCTATGCACTATTCCACCAGTCTCTCTTTTTGATAAAGACGGCACCTTCCTTGTCACATTAGGAGTTCCTTTTAATATATGTTGTATTGACACTTGATATTCATATAGGTGCGATGATGCGGATATGTGATTCCCGGGGTCCACCTCTATTATGCAGGTACCCAGGCAGGTACCACTGCAGCTTTCAACCTCCACCCAGTATGCGATTGCGCTATTACGCTACTCAAAACTGAGCTTAAACAACCATTAGGATTTGAACGCCCTTATTTGGTTTCCAGGGCATGTCTGACGAAGAACACAAGGATGTATCCATCATGATTATCAGATTCGACTTGTTCCTATCAGCCACCCGAGTTCGGGGTCGGGCCGCAGCGGCAAACACTGACCTCATTCCCAATGCTCCACTGCAAGAATACGATTTGATTCTGCAAGAAGCAAGAGAATCTCGGAATCTGCCCGAATTATGTACGCGTGTCAGACGTACGTGGACACGACTGAAGATGATCGTCATCGCGTTAGCTCAATACAGAGACCGAGGCCGATCCTGCAAGACCCGAAATCCGCCAGACTAGACACCGGAACACCAGATAACGTCGTACGTTTGCTGCATAAACCTTTAATTTGCTGCATAAATCTTTAACCGGTTTCAATTTATAGCATGCCAAGTGTACTGACACTACGGAGTACTATGCACGTTACTAAGTACGTGGGTGGATTACGCCGGTGAAGAAGCTTACAAGGTATAAGGACATCCTCGGTCCCTCCCCTCCTAGCCTTGTGCTTCAAGTTTTCAATCGCTTCAATCTTCTTTTTCTCAGTGATCCAAGCATTATGGCTCTCCTGACCAAGACTCTGGCCTCACTGGCCTTGGGTGCTGCTGTCGCCCAAGCCCAGCTTTGGGACAAGGTCATCCAAACTTCCTACGGTCCTGTCGAGGGGTTCGAGTACTTTAACCAGTCCACTCTTGATAAGTACTTTGATGGCGCCGAGTCCAACGTCGCCGCTTTCTTGGGTATCCCTTTCGCTGCCGATACAGGGTATCAGAACCGGTGGAAGGCACCGCAGCCCCGCGAGCCATGGACCAAGACCTTGAAGGCCACGGACTTTGGCCCTGCCTGTCCTAATCCCAGGGCTTCCGGTATTAGCGAAGACTGTCTCAGTCTCAACATCTGGACCAACGCCAAAACCGCTGCTGCCGGCCTTCCTGTCATGGTTTGGAACCAAGGTTCCGACGAAACCAGCAACCAGGAGTGGTGGTACGGTGGTGGCATGGCCTTGAAGGATGTCATTCTCATCACCTTTAACCGGCGTGATGATGCATTCGGCTATCTCGCTACCCCTGAACTCAACGAGGAAGGGTACAAGCTCACTGGGCACAAGACCTCTGGTAACTATGGTATTCTGGATCAACTGGAGGTTCTCAAGTGGGTGCAGAAGAATATTGCCAAATTCGGCGGTGATCCTGACCGTGTCACCCTTGCTGGTCAGTCTTTCGGCTCTTCTCAAGTCTACCATGCGGTTAATAGCCCTCTCTTCACGGGATACTTCCAAGGCGGTATCTCCCAGTCTGGGATTAGATACCCCTACGATACCATGCTGGCTGGCCTTGCCACTTCATACGTCGAAATGTCTACTGCTATCTCCAATAGCGCTAGCTACATCAAGGCCCACAACGTTTCTACAATTGCGGAGATGCGCAACCTCTCGATGGAGAGCCTACTAGTTGGTTCCGACGACCGCGTCACCAACAGCTCCATTTGGTGGGTCACTGCACTCTCCGCCGGTTATCCTCTGATCTTCAAGCCTGTTCTTGACAACTATGTGCTTCCATCTAAGTACATTGACACCCTGATCAATGGCCCTGCCAACGATGTTCCTCTGGTTACTGGTAACACCAGGGATGAATCTGGTGCTTCTACCAACACCGACTACACTGTCGAAGAGTACGAGTACTACTGCGGGCTCAAGTACGGCAACCTCTCCAGCACATACTTCGAGCTCTACCCTGCCCAGAACAACGATACCATTGCCTCTCAGGCCTGGAACGCTGCTGCCTGTGATCTCTCTCTTGTCGGCTCGTGGGCATACGCTACCGAGTGGTACAAGTCTGCCACTTCAGACTTCTACACCTACTACTGGACCCACGCACCCCCAAGCCAGGATCAGGGTGCCTTCCACCAATCTGAGATCATGTATGCGCTTGGCGCTCTCTACGCCAATTCCGAGAGGTACGCCTTCACCGAGATCGACTTTGAGATCCAGGAGAAGATGGTGTCCTACTGGGCCAACTTTGCGAAGACCCTCAACCCTAACAAAGGCGGCTCCTACAATGGTAGTGGATCGTTGGCGCGTTGGAGTCCCAACAGTGCCGATGGTACTCAAGTTGTCATGGAGCTCGGCGACCAGTTCAAAAATGTGCCCATTGCGAAGCCAAAGCGGGTGAAGTTTATGATGGACTACTTCCACCAGCAGGTTCCCTACTAGAGGGTATCCCTTTGGATTGCCAATTCCTCTAACAAACAAAGCAGAGACCTTTCCATGCTCAGTAACTATCTCTAGTTATACATAGAAAAGTCATCTGCACATTTATCACTTTTTCTCGCCTTTTTTTGCTATCTACCTATAACTCTAGGAGGGGGATAAAATATCTAAAACAGGACACATCTGAAAAGACAGCTAGAAAGACAGCACAAGGCCGCATAAGTGGCCGCCTATTTTTGTGTTCAATAAATACATATACATACATGTGCATCTATATGTGGTCAACTTATACTATATTTCTTGAAGACATATATATCCATGGTATCCACCAACTGGACCAAGGTTATTAAGTCGATGACCTCAACCTACAATGATCTACAGAATATCCTAAGAGTAGCATTAAACTTTCCTCTCATTTTATAAGATAATCAATCAGAATAGCTTCAATCTAAGCAAACGAAACAAATGTGGTGTATGATGTACAGAGTAAGGGAATGTTGGGCCCAGATCGCCAGGGCCAAGCTAGGCGCGACACCGACTGGCTACATCGTACATTGTACAAAATCCTCCGCATAGATCTTGAAAATCCCCGCTATGTCTTGCAGAGATGTCCACACGAATCAGCCTTACATGCCAAGAACAAGGGCGCCCCTGTCGGGGATCGTCCACTGATCCCTAGTGGAGGGGTAATCCACTTCGATCCCAGCTCTCCAGGCAACCAATTTCGAACCAGATTGAGAGAAATTCTTCGCACAGGGATTTATTCTGCTTTCAATTCTCCAAATTGTCAATTCACCATGGTTGCTGAGCACCTTAGTCTCCGCAACAACACCTCCACTCCAATTGTCCTGAAGCGCATTGAGCGCTTCCAGGCACCGGAGAAAGATGGGTTCCATGCCTTCAGCACAATTGCCAGAAACCTTACCCAGGTCTTGACCAACCAAACGCGCAACGATGCTGTTGCCTCCATTGAACAAGACAGCAGTCCCTTTGAGGAAAAGAATGTCGACATTCGCCTGGAGCCATTCACAACGAAGAAGACCGAGCTACGCTCTTTCGTCCACTCTGACAAGGAGCGCATGCGTTTAATCTTCGAGGCAGAAGGCCAGAAATACCAGATCCAAGTCCCTGTCCCAACAGCAGAGTCAGCAACAATGAAAGCACTAAGCGAGAACCCCAAACACCGCTTTACCGGCGTCTTCGTGGTCCCAGCATCCTTCCTCACAATCTTCTCCTCTGCGCACATGCACGCTTGGATGCGTGAGCTCCGCGACGAGACCCTTGTTTCCGCCCTCTCAATCCCAGGCACACACAACTCGCCCACATGCCACATTGCGCCGCCGTCGGTGCGCTGCCAGGCTGTCAGCCCGAAAGAGCAACTCAAGAACGGCGTGCGGTTCTTCGATATTCGCGTGCAGCCGCAATACCCAGACGACGCTGCGCGCGACGAGCTGATCCTCGTACACAGCGTGTTCCCCGTCTCACTAACGGGAAACAAGTACTTCCGCGATCTGATGCGTGAAGTCAACGAGTTCCTCGAGCGCAACCCCTCCGAGACGTTGATCATCTCTATTAAGCGGGAGGGCACCGGTAACGCGACTGACGAGCAGCTCTCACGTATCTTGCAGGACCACTATGCTAAGGGGTGGTGGGTGCGGCCCAAGATCCCGACTCTGGGCGAGGTGCGTGGTAGGGTTATTCTGATGCGCCGGTTTAACTTGCAGCAGAAGCTGAAAGAAGCGCATGGTGGGACTGGTTGGGGTATTGATGCTGCTGCGTGGGCGGACAATACTCCCAATGCTACGTGTCCCAGTGGCCAGCTCTGCATTCAGGATTTCTATGAGGTGCTGGAGAGTATGAATATCGAGAAGAAGATTAAGTTCGTCTCAGAGCAGATTGATCGGGCTAGCTGCTGCCGCTATCCGTTTGGTGTTCAGCCTAATATGCATGCGACAAAGGCTTTCCCCTTTTACGTCAATTTCTTGAGTGCCAGTAACTTCTGGAAGACGGATACTTGGCCCGAGAAGGTTGCTGCTAAGGTTAACCCGGCGATTGTGGATTATATCTGTCGCCGAGGTAAAGACAAAGATGCGGACTGCTCGACAGGTATCCTTGTTACGGACTGGGTTGGTTTGAATGGAGATTGGGATCTTGTGCGCTGCATTGTGGGCATGAATGCCAAACTGCGTTTGAGACAGGACTAGATGGCGAACATATAGTGGACATATATCAGGAGGAAACTTGTTTTTTAGGCGTGGTCTGGATTTTGCCTCTCATATACAGGCAATACAATGGTTCATGAGTTAAATGAAAAATTATGACGCACCAAAGTTGATTTCTTGCAAGTATACATTGATCCTAAAGTAGGAAGTTGGGGGTCTTGAGGACGAAACGCAGAATATGATCTATTATACAGGAAAATGAATCAGAACGACCATGACCAGATTAGGACGATTCGCTCTTGTCGCCCTCCGGTCCCTTCTCCTCTTCTTCCAAAACGCTCCGGCGGCTCTCCAAGGTAAAGTAAATGCTCTTGCCAGCTCCCTCCAGAGTAGTTGCAACACTGGAGCTCATGCTCTGCAAGGCAGTGACAAGCTGGGAGCGGAGACCGTCCATGCCACCCTCGATGCTGCCGACCCACTTGGTCTGATCGATATCAAACACCTGGTTGTCCACACGGGCAGCCAGCAAGTTAATCTTCTGGAGACCGTTCTGAACGATGGGCTCGTGGTATTCAGGGTTTGCCTTGCGGGTAGGGGCCTTGAAGCCAGATTCCTTGGGGGCGAGAATTGACAGCGCGGCCTTCATGTGTTCAGGCGAGACGGTAGGGATTGAAAGGACAGCAACAGGGCCAACAAGCAGAGGAGAAAGCTCATGCATGCCCTTCATGTTCTTTACTGCGGCGTGGGCAGTGCGAGACAAGTCGTGTGTCAGGGCCGGGTCATCCTTTGAGCCGGAGATCGCAGGGAGCTCGGCGGAGGTTTGTGTCACGGGGTCAATTGCACTTGGGGGCTTTCCTGAAGCCAGAGAAGACTCGCTGGGCCGGAAGTACTCGACGATGCGCAGAGCCACCTCAAAGATGCTAGTCTGGATGGTCTGGATCTTAATGTAAGGAGCGAGCGCAGGCGCTGTCCGGCCCTCGGCGGCAATCTTCTCATCCACTTTTTGCAGAGCAATGGTTAGTTCTCGTCGGATGGCTGCCCATTCCATGGACTTGAGGTTATTGTGTTGGAACAGCACGATGAGAGGAGATGTGCGGAGAAGGGAGGTGTAGGACCGTAGGAGCTGCGACCGGCGGTATTCGGGATTGCGGTGCGAAGGTGGTTGAGTAGGAGGAAATCTTGATACAGGAGCTGGGGAGCGTGTCATCTGCTCAATTGACGCAGCTGGCGTGAATGCCGGGGCTGCAGCGCTGGATGCGCTCCTGGTAATTCGGAGTTCATATTGGCATCGAGGGATTTGCTGAATCGACGAAATTCTTAACCGAGGTGGCATTGTGAATATTTGATTAAGGTGTTGATTTTATCAATGCCTAAGCAATTCAAAAAGTTGATATACACAGGTCAAGACAGATCAAGACAGCCCCCGGGAACTGCAAAGCGTGATATTTTTTGGGTCCTAAAATGGTAAGGTGCATAAAAGGCGGTGAAGTATTTTGCCGGATATATAGGTCCTCATTGAGTCACTGTTGATGTTACGGATATTACAGGTATTTTTATTAAGCTTGTGAAACCCTATTGGGACTGCTGGGCTATTCTGAATACACGGTTGCTTACAAATATCTTAATTATGGCGACACCTATATCCTCTCCTACTCAACGGCCAGAGTCCATTTCGATCGCCCCGCTCCTCCAGCGCCTCGCTTACCCCGCGGCTGCTGGGATCCGGGTCAGCGCACAGGACCTCCCCCCTGTGAGTGCAGAGGAGATTGCTTCTGCATTCGCTCTAATTTTCGAGGACCGGCTATCTCATATTCAGACTGCTGCCCTCCTCACCTTGCTCCATTCAACCGGCAAGGATAGGCAGCCAGATGTGATTGCGAAATGTTCTCAATGCATGCGAGATGCTGCTTGCCAAGTTGAGAGAGGTCCTCTCATCAAGATTATCCAGTCTCGCAGCCTTAAAGTGGGAAATTATGGGGGTGGATTGGTATGCAGACCACCTCTATTTTGTCATCGAGTTACACTGACAGGCCGCGATGTATAGTGTGATATTGTTGGAACCGGAGGAGATTCTCATTCGACCTTTAACATTTCCACAACCTCCTCAATCGTTGCATCTCCTCTTCTCATGACAGCTAAACATGGCAACCGTGCTCAAACATCTACCTCTGGAGCCGCCGATGTCCTCAATGCTATCCAGCCAGTACCACCCAAGATCGCAGCCATCACCGCCGAGAACCTGGCGCAGGTCTACGAGAAAACCAACTATTCTTTCTTATTCGCTCCAAATTTCCACCCAGGCATGATGCATTCCAACCCTGTCCGTAGGGGTCTCGGCCTCCGAACGATTTTCAACCTGATGGGCCCTTTAGCAAACCCCGTTGACTGGGCACTGGAAGCACGTGTAGTTGGCGTGGCATACCAGAGTCTTGGTCCGGTTTTTGCTGAGGCTTTCAGACAAAGTGGAGCGAAGAAAGCCATGATTGTTTGTGGCGCAGAGGATATGGACGAAATCAGCTGCGCTGGAAAGACAAACTGCTGGAGGCTCTCTGAGTACCCGAACCCTGCATACAAGGCCTCAGAAGACGACGCAGATGACTCAAGTGGGGATGATATCGACAATCCTCGTACACTTGTCAAGCTTGACACCTTCCAGCTCCACCCATCAGACTTTGGCCTCTCTACTCATCCCCTTAGTGAGGTGGGTGGAGGTAAAATGCCCAAGCAAAACGCGGAAAAGCTGATGAGCATACTTCGGAATGAGCTCCCACGAGATGACCCCATCTTGGAGTTTGTTCTCATGAATGTGGCTGGGCTACTTGTCACCTCGGGCATCTGCGAGGCCGATACCAGCAACATGGGACCTGGCGATGATGGGCAGGTCATTACCGAGCGTGGCCCTGGCGGTGGCCGCTGGAAAGAAGGCGTGCGTCGCGCACGCTGGGCAATCGAGAGCGGCCAGTCTCTGAAGAACCTGGAGCAATTCATTGAAGTAACTAACCAGCTCTAAAGTAGAATGCTGTGTAACTAGTTTCGTAGGTTTATTTGAGATGTGATAGCCTTTTCGGGTCTAGGGGACGTTCGGTTTGAGATATGTATGGTTTCATCTGTTCTGATGGGTGCGCTGAGTGCACTGATGTGTGTTTAGATATGTGGGAATCTCGGGTAGTTAATCTCAACGCTCCATGTTAAATGCCTTCAATTCTCTGAAAGCAGGTACAGTTGTTTCTTATAAAAAAATTGAAGCCTGTCTCACAAGTCCAGACTTGGACTAGGACTAGAGGACATGGCCAGAACATCGCATCTAGGTCTTGTAGATTGAGACGATAGAAAAACTGGGTTGTGTGATTCAACTCCAAAGCGCCATTGTATGCATAATTCGTCAAAAAAAAATAGAACCTTCAAAACCAAAGGATCTCAAGCCGATTCCGCCTGAGCCATCGCAACCTCCAAACGTCTTGTTTTTGGTTGGGTAGATGAGACGCTTAACGAGCCTGGAACTGGACCATACTATTGAGAAGCAAGAAAGAACATCAGTCCATGTCTTGCGCATATCGCATGATAATTCTCAGAAAAGAAAATCTTACCGCTTGGTGCGCTCCTTGTACAGCACACGGTGACCGCAGTCTTTGCAGCGGATCTGGTCACCGCGCTTCAGGGGAACACGGGCAGAGCATTCGCCGCACAGGTAGGTGACTGAAGGGCTGTCGATGGCCATGGCGTTGCCGAAACCTCCACCTTGGGTGTCGAAGTTGTTCTGGGTGCCCGTGGGGACCTGGTAGGTTTCGCGAGACATAGTCTGAGGTTGAGAGTGGTATGATTGTGGATTGATTATTTTGCGCGCGAGCTAAACGTGTCCGGTGAGAGGGTGAGAGTTTTCAGCTGGAAACTAGCTTCTATGCTAAGATACTTGGATTCTTTTTCTTTCTGGAGCGCCGGGCGGGATTTTAGGTGCTTAGTCATGAGGTTGGCAGATTTATTAGTCAGCACATCCATACCCCCCGGGGCCGGGACCCGATCTAGAAGTATAGTTAACTTGGATTTTGTATGGAATTTTGAAAGGTCTTGAATTATATGTTTTGATAGTTTCATTAATATCATTGATCACACCTGAAGGTGTTTATACCTTCTATGTATTTATCATGTTATAGGCTGAAAACAACCTTTTCAGCACCTCATGTAATCATCGACTGTGACTCCAAAAATGAAAATGTGGTATATCCCAGGAACGTGCAAGAAAAATCAGATCCCAGCGCCATGCAAATGAAGCAAAGAAGAGACCATGAAGAAAATCACTCTAACAGTGGACCTCGTAGCAGCGAAATGAAGCAGACAACCGTTACCAACCACCACCAATCTTCCCCGCAAGCTCCACAACCCGACTAGTATCATTAGCAGATGTTTGATCTTTGCCAACATCACTTTCTACCTTGCGGTAGGTAGTATATACAAGCTTAGAGAGGGGGATTTTCATGTATTCTGACCAGCGCCGCAAGCCTTCGTGGATTTGAGCCTCTTTGTCAGCCAATGAAAACAGCTGAGACTGAGTCTCTGGTTCAGACTCAGACTCCATCGAAAAGTAAGCATCGTCGACGCGAGCGAGCCACGCGCGCTGCTCATGTGGTGATGGCTTCATAGATGCGTCTAGTGCCTCTCCTTGGGAAGGACCGAGGGCTTCTCTGGCGTCCTCGACTCGAATCTGTCCACCGCCATTTGTGCACCCACCAGGACAGGCCATGACCTCCACATAGGCGTAATCTGACCCCGAACTACTTGTGGACACGGCATTACGAGATATAGGCTGGCGCCGACCTGCGGCGGGTCTGGCGGCTGGTTTTGCGCCGGGAAGCCTCGATACACGTGCGGGCTTGAGCTTCCGGACGAGGTTTTGGATATTTCGGAAACCGTAATAGCGAGCTGCTTTCAGAATGAGATGACCTTCTTGAGACATGAGCACGTACTCGACAACATCAACATTGCGTCCACGGTTGATCACAAGTTCACTACCTGGATTGCGAGCTTGGAAATGCATGAGAACGTGGTGTAGGTAGCCTCCAGAGGTACCTGTAGTAAGAGATTGTTCTGTCCGAGAGCCTTTGAAGGAAAGAAAAGAATCGAGGATTTTTTCAGGGAAGGGTGGGGTGAAAGACGAAGGCAAAGGTTCCAAAGGCAAGTTTGGAAGTGAGAATCCTCGAGACGAAGCCAGAGACAGAAGCTCACGAGCAGTGATAACACAGTCTACATCACGAACAGGTTGTGTCTCAGAGGCAGTAGAATCCCCCTGCCGCCACGAGACATCTGTGAGTTCTTCTCGACTAGCTTCTAGTTTCTTGTCAAAGCAGGGCATGACGGCCAAATGCCAAATCCGAGAAGGATGAACTCCAAGAGATTTGCTCAAGACAGTTTTGAGGAATGTCCCCGACAGAGCCTGCGGGGACTTGAGTCGAGAAAGATGCGGGAGAATAAAAGGGTGTGTCTTCTCGGCGTAACAGATCCATCCAGGACATGCTGAGGACAAAATAGGTCGTTTGGGAAGAGAGTCATCCAACTGGCCGACTGTCAACGAGTCCCCTGGATTGAGCGAATCTGAAACCTCGTCTGCAGTGAGCACTAGAACAGCCTCTCGCATGGCATTGGTATCAACAACCCACGTAAACCCATTGCCGTGTTTACCCCCACCTCGCAAGCCCTGTGGGCCACTAAGTAATTGGTTGATCATGTATCCCGCTTCTTTGTCCGAAATCCCATAGGTTGTTGCCAGACTTGCCCTGACCTGTGGGCTGACACTGGCCACGAATATCTTACCCTCTCCAGAATCTTCGGTATTATTGACTACCACCCCATGACGTTCATGCGCCAAGGGAATCTCTGGACAGGCATCAAGTGTATTGAGGACCTCGGCGTGAGACTGGAGTGATATCAGCACTGCTTCGGCAGATGTAACACAGCCAGAGCAAGCGAGGCAGTCTGTCAAAGAAATCTGTGCGGGGGATAGATTCTCGGGCTGGACTTTGTCTTCCGTTGTTACTTCATAGGCGTTCTATAATTAGAAAATCAGTCAAATGAACTCCAATATTACACAGTTTCAACGAAGCCGATAAGCGGACATACCTCTTTTGTATCTTTCTGTGGAAGGGTTTCAACTGGTTTGATACATGCGACCCCTGGCGAAATGAAATCATTTAGATCGTCTGCTGACAAGATCGCGCTCATTGCGGCGGGGTACAGCTTTGGGTCGTGAATGAAGTGAAAGCAATGCCGTTTATTTGGCTGATTTTATTGCAAATAATCAGAATAAAGACTTCGAACCCTTTAAGGATTAAAATAGTTCTGCAAGAAGGCGACAAGCCAACAGCGTTGCACGCTTTGTCATGGTGGCGAGATCGGAGATAAGCTGACCGCCTTATGCGGGCTACACTTGCTCTGATTGGTTAGGTTGGAGGTATACACGTGACCTATTTGACGTTTCTTTCAACTTCTAGGTAAATCACAAGTCTCGAGTCTTTGTCTTCTCTATTCTTTCAAGTTCGTATATAGGTAGCTATATGAGTCTATATTTAGTTAACTAGTAAGTACAAATGGGCCATAAAGTGCCACCGGAACCCTCCTCTTCCTTAAATTAGCAACTCTCAAATTAGCGGCTCTACTATTTCTTTCGCATCTCACTATCACCTTCATTACTGAAAAAGCCATGCAAAAAAGAAAATCGCCTACCCAGTCCGACAGCTCCAGGTCAACACACTCCAAACAATCGATAGGTTCTCAGTATGCAAACCAATCACCCGCAGGCGGAAACAGTCGCACCAGTACTAGCATCACTCAAACCATAGGGAACATGTTTGAGAAAATGACATACGGCCCCAGCGACAATAACATGACATCTTCCGGGTCTTCGTCCGGCTTTTCACTTATACCAGGAAGTGAGGCGGACGCACTTAGAAAGAAACATCCGGCCCAAAAGCCTGTTCTGACTAAGAAACAGCCCCCTGGATTTTTTAAAATCAAAGGTAGTGGAGTCAAGAAGTTTAAGACTACATCCGCTACAATGAGGAAGGTGATCGAAGCAACACAGAAAGCTACATTGGAAATTTTGTCCAAAACGGAATTGCAGGGAACTCGCTTTGGTTATATTGCGAACAGATGGACCTCTTTTCCCCTAAGACCTAGTCATGTGGAGTATCCAAATCAGACAACTGTGGTCAGGGTCGTGGCAGGAGACACATATGACCAGGCCCTTGCGATGCATTATGCCGGTAACACCATCGATCGCATGCCAGTATGTGTTCTTAACTTTGCCAATGCTCACACACCCGGTGGGGGCTGGCTCCATGGTGCTCGAGCCCAGGAGGAACAGCTTTGCTACCGAAGCACACTCAATGGTACTCTCCATACAAACTTCTACCCAATAACAGATATGGAGTGCCTCTATTCACCCAATGTTATCGTTTTCCGAACCAGCGTGGACAAGGGTTATGACTTCCTATCGTCAGAAGATAAGCTACACCTGAACCCCTCTGTCAGTGTTATCAGCATGCCAGCACGAAGCAAACCTAAATTGACCGCCGACAACTCCACGTACCAGGATGAGGGACATCGACTTCTCATGAAAGGTAAAATGCAATTGATTCTACGTACGGCAGCACTCCACAATCACCGCCGTTTGGTCCTCGGTGCCATTGGTTGTGGGGCCTTTCGTCATCCCCCTCAGGAGGTGGCTAACTGCTGGAGAGATGTTCTTGCGAAAAAAGAGTTCAAGGGTTGGTTTGAGCAGATACATTTTGTAATTAGAGACGCACCCGGTGAGAACAATTTTGCAATTTTCACGAAGACATTGGATGGTATGAAAATGAAAATAACCTGAGTCTCGCAAGGTTCGATTTCATTTCTCTTTATTACCTTCCCCCTCTTAGGAGAGGTTTGGGACTTTATGAGGCAGGCGCAAATTATTTAAGAATATTTGAATCAAGTTATGTGTTGATGAAGTGGCCTAGTGAAGTGCCAGGCCTCGCTGTGTAAATAACTACATATATAATGTAGGCTCTCTCATAATTTCCTCAAAGATACTACATCAATGTCTTCTGGTTCCTTGTCCTCATACACCGTCCCAACAGGGGTTGCGTGCTCTTTTTCGAACTATACTTCTGTCTACTATTGCTTTCTTTCATATGGGATTCACTTAATCACAGTTCTTCGCCCTTACAACAAGTATCATCTATTCTTTTCATCCATCATTATAACTGGTTTCTTTCTTTGCCACTTTTCATAAATCGGTATTCTAAACTACTAGTATCTTCGCGCATGAATCCACCCGAACCGTTTATACTACCTAGATACCTAGATATGCCTGAATTCGGACCTCACAGGCGGCCCATTACTCATCATTGCCCACCCACCGGGGCCCAGGGGCCGCGCTATCCAGGAGACAGGTAACGGGGGCGGTTGATGGGGATTTATGTCTACATTTCCTATGGAATACTTGAGATTGACCTGGGAATGAAATTGCATTGTCAACAAACGCGGAACTAGAAAATCTAGATAAAACTTTGGCCAAGTGGAGCATAAAAGTACAGATGTATAGAGATGGAAAAGAGAGGGATCAATAGACATACAAAGGAAAATAGGCGATAGATCCACATATACAAAAAAAAATGAGAACAGCAATGACAAAAAGCATATGCGATATACCTTCGGTATTTCAAATTATCAGGAGAGCTCTTCACCCCAACCATCTGCTAGTCCGTTGCACTATTATTTAGCAACCTGTTCATCTTCAGCAGTTCCGGAGACCAAGACCCAGCAGCCATCTCCAATTTGCACGGCATGGGTAGCCTCCATTTGATTATAATAATCAGCGCTGGTGCCAGCAGGAACCAGGCATTTGCGCTCAAGTCCGGCAAGCACTGCAACGATCCAACGTTGACAATCTTGTACAGGGACTGCCACTACCGCCGACTTAACCTTGTTGATCTCACTTGCGGCAATCTGGCAGATGTACTGCTTTCTCGATATACCAAAACTGTCCATTCTCTTTCCTGCTTGAATCTTGCGCTCGAAGTCCCGATTTTGCGTTGGGCCTCCGACAACATGGTACCATGTACAACGCAGTGATCCAGGGTGAGCAAACAAAAGCATCCAGTGCAAGGGGTCATCACCTCGCCGTTGGCAGAATGCTACATAGACGTCCCATGAGTCAGCCATCTTCGACGAATAAATAGTCGTGATCGTCAGAAAATAATTGAGTTTTTTCTTTTCAAGTGGGATTCAATGGTAAGCTCGTTGTTTAGGATTTGAATGAGACTTGAGACTAGTATTTTTTGAAGGCTAGGGCTGTCTAGAGACTTTATATATCTGTGTATTCGTTGGTTCTATCCCCTCCACATACAATGACAGACGAATACTCTTTATGAGCGAACAAAAGAACAAAGCGATATAAAACCCAGTGTCTAGGGTTGAATTGAGTAAAATCATTAATAATTGGGATGATATATATTGATTTCACATATATATTCCGGTGTCCACACTAATAACTATGTGATATAAAGCTCATTGTCTGGGATTGAAATATGTATAGTCGTTGATCGATATACTGATCTATACGCTTATTATGTGTATGCCTATATATATATCTTACTCTGCACGGAATAGCTATTCGCAATACCGAAACAATAGAAATAACAAAGAAATTTGAAACAGATCCTTGGCATTCATTCAGAAATAACGTTTCAAGTATCGCCTATCGTCCTCTCTGCCTCACCTAAATCGACCAAAATGTCAGCATACCCCGCCCCTCTAGTTATCTCACCGCAGGGCGAAGAGCATACACATACCATCATTTCGCTCCATGGAACAGGCAGTAATGCTGAACTCTTCGGTCGTGTACTTATTGCCGCTGCAAACCTGCAAGCTCGACTTCCTACAGTTAAATTTATCTTTCCAACTGCAAGCAAACGACGGGCAACGAAGTTTAAAAAGATGGCTATCAACCAGTGGTTTGACAACTATTCAATTGAGGATCCCGGAGAGAGAACAGACTTACAAGTCGAGGGGCTCTGTGGGACTGCTGAATTTATTCGGGACTTGATCAGCGAAGAGGTTCGCATCTTGGGCGCAGACACCCATCAAAAGATCATCCTATGGGGGTTAAGTCAAGGTTGTGCTGCGGGTGTCTTCACTTTGCTAGGTGGCTGGCCCGATGCTAATGAAACAAACACAATCGGAGCATTTGTTGGGATGAGTGGGTGGCTGCCATTTGAGCAGCAGTTCCATGAAATTCTGCGATGCAACGAGATTCCTGCGTCGGCTAGAAACGGCCAGGCAACTCACTCCAATGATAGCTTAGACTCAGACTCAGACTCAAACAACGGAGAGACAGCTATGCAACAGTCCAACAGTGATGGAGAGTCAGACGCAGATTTAGATGCATTCTCGGAACTTGACTTGGATGACGACTCATTCAAAAAAAGCAGCTTCTTTTATGAGGATTTCGACCCTTTTGACGACGAGGAGGGAGAAGGCTCACTGCTTGACCATGCTGTCAGCCATGTTCGGGATATTCTTGATCTTCCAATGATATCAACAGATGATCATTTGCTAGAAAAATCGCGACCACAATCAAGATACCATCATCTCCAGACGCCTGTCTTTATTAGCCATGGCTCTGAAGACCCAAAGGTTTCTGTAGAACTTGGAAGGAAAATGTCTCATATTCTTTCAGCTGGTTTTGGGATGGATGTAACCTGGAAGGCCTATGAGGGGTTGGGACATTGGTATCGCGTGGAAGATGAGATTGAAGATATCTTGAGATTTCTCCAGGCTAGGGTCGACCTGCCAGTGAAACAAGTGCCATCCCAAGACCAACACGAGTAGTCCATAATATAATATTGGTTTTTACAAGTAAAGTATATTTCATTTCAGTGAGCTGCTGAGAATTTATGGTAGAAAATAAATAACTATTCTAGAGTTAGATGCAGTAGCTAGTACCTGAGTTTCATATACATCTCACTTGGATGTACGGGTAGATCGTCTTCTGCCAACAACGGCGGGCTTTGTCTTCTCCCCATCAGAATCCGTACTCTTTACAGTGAGCTTCTTTTGTTTTTGGGTCCCCCGCTTCTTAACCTGTGTTGTTTCGTCCGTTTCGGAGTCGCTTTCTTTCTTTGGGGCCACACGTTTCCGTTTCGAATTAGCTGGTGTGGATTGTGTGACGTCTTCGTCAATATCTTTGGCGACGGGACCACTCTTCTTCTGGACAGCTGGGACAACGGCACTTGTTCGACCTCCAACGGTAAGGAAACTGATCTTATTCCCATTGGGTAGGGCGGCGAGCTGATTCTTCTTCCCTTTGCCCCAGCGGTGTTTGAAAAGCCAGTGCTCGGGAAACTTCTCTGAGTCTGCCAGTACACCAATAGATGTGGAGCAGACATAATGAATAGCAGAGTGTAGCGCTTTGATCTGATCACCATTCAAAGTGTTGCTGTATTGTTCTGGGTGTATCTTGGCATGGTAGAGAATTTCATCGCTGAAAATAATCAGCTTCTGTTATTTCATGGGTTATGTTTGACTGAAGAACTTACCCCATCCAATTTCCGATTCCACTAATATTCGCCTGGTCGAGCAGAAGAGCCTTGATCGGCACTTTCTTCTTTCCCAGCTTCTCTGCCAACCATGATTCATTCACAGTATCTTTATCAGCGACTGGATCCGGCCCATTTTCCTTGAGCGGAGTATGATTTCGGATCTCATCAGCGGGGCAATCCACCAGTCTAATGCGACCAAGCCTGCGGGCATCCACAAATGCTGCCTCTGTTTTCGGCTCATCACTTGTCTCCAGCAGAAACTTCCAATATTTAGGGGGCCACTCCTGGTCTGTAGGCTTATCGGTTCGATAGTAGTATGTATCGGCATCCTTGATCTTCAACCAACCAGCCATTCCAAAGTGCATCACAGCGTGTGGTGGTGAGGACATTGTGATCCAGAAATATTTCCCTTGTTGGCCTGCTCCCACGACCGTCTTCCCTTGCATTGCCTTTTGAAATTCAGCGGCACTAGTGCCAACTTTGCCAAATACAATATCATCATGTTGTGCTTGTACTTTAGATAGCGTTTTCCCAACTAGGTGTTGACGAATGAAATGCACAATGCGGTGGATCTCTGCTAGCTCAGGCATCTTGGTATGATATTTCAAGTAACAATGGTAAAAATGGGCAAAAAAAATGAATTCAAGAGCATATACGGATACAAATGCTTTTTCTCTGAAAGACGATCTGGCATAAGGAGAGACGCGATACTCCTAAACGCGACGCGCTATCACGTGCATATAATTTAGTGAGCTAATCCCAAAACGGCTACGGAGCTTATGGCTGATTACGGCATGACGACGGTGATCCATCGATCCACGGAGAGCTTACTTGTACTGTCCTTGGAAACTATCAGCGTGTTACTTGTGCTCATAACAGATCATACTGAATTCCATTAGGACATACTCCAATATCATAATTATCAACACTACGCTATACAACGCTGTTGGACGACTTAGCTCTATCAATAACGCTATCACAGCCTCATTACAAACTGGAGTGGCTTTGGGTCAAATCAAATCGGGAAGCTGGGGAGGAAATTCTTGGGAGGATGTCACAAACCTCATCTATAGATGCTCCGGCGCTGACGCCTCGGTTCTGTTTTGACGAGAGACTGCTCAGAGGTTCGTTTGAAATTTGACGACTTAATACCAGCTCATATTGACTTTCCTGTTTTTGTTTAGATTTTCTTCGACTCTCAAGATCTACTATCGATGACTCGATTACACAGCACTTGAACGCGTTGATTACTCCGGCTCAGGAAGCATTTGACCCATCATCAACAGCGGTGCGACAAACCGAGTCGAGATCTCGGATCAACCCTGCAGCCTGCCAGAACTTCAAGGATAATGTGTTATTTCCGTCATGGCAAACGAGATCAGACGTTCTCACTTACTGTGCTGGTGTAGCTACGAGTCCGGATCCCGACGATCCCGACTTGATTCTTCGGCAAACGGAATCCACCCGAGACCGGGAACGAGAAGTTGATGAGCGTTTGGACCCGTACTCCGCTCGCTTTTTTCCACGTGAAGCACGGACTGAGTCATTGGCCAATTTAATTCGCAATGAGCGCACTGTCGAAGAAATTATTCGGGCCCGAACGTGGGGAATGGTGTCAGAAAAATGCAGTGGCTCTTCTTCTTGGGAAGAAGCTCTCGATCACTGGCGCCATTCTCATCAGAAATAGCTGTTCTGGTAGGGGCGTGCCACAGTATGCTGGAATTTCTGTATAACTCAACTCTTCTTTAGACCCGGGGAGGCTCACCCCAAATTGTACATGTTTGAACAGTCCTGGCATGGTACGTTTTTGTTATTTAGTATCCTCGCTTTGCTTATAATAGAGTAGATTGCTTTTGGATCTTGTGTGGAAAGGCAGACAATGGTATAATATATAGTCCGGAGATACTACCTAAGAGAAGTAGCTTGTGCCACAGACTGTGATTTTAAGAGTAAATAATCAATCCTTTCATTTTGAACATATATCAAAGGCGTCCGTTACCTTTCTGCTATCCTCAGTAGTCACTCAAGAAGTTACATTACAGAGTATATGCACACAACAAACCACGTGTGCATCATGAGATATGCATTTTACACCCTATACCGCCTTGATGAAAATATACACAGGTACAAGTGTAGAGTCAATAAATTTACGTATCTATGTATTTCAGCCTAGTCTCAAACCACAATTTAGTTCACCTTGCTTTACTTGTTTTCCCGTGAAGAAGTTGGATGGTGCACGCTATCTTATCGGTCCATTTAGCTCTGCCAAGATCGGACTCGGAGAAGTCGTCCCCCGCACACATCGATTCCTTACTCGCACAAGTCAGGTCCCTCGACGTCAGCATCGCCCACAATGCCGGAAACATTGAGCACCAAGGATCATTCCTTGTTTCGTCAAGTGGTTCACCACTTTGAGATGAAACAGTATAAGAAAGGTCGGCCTCCGAAGTGACCTTGAACCACTTAGGCCTGTCTAACCACGTTTTACTTCACAGGCATCAAGATAGCAGACCAGGTTCTTCGCAAAAACCCCAAACATGGCGATACGCAAGCCATGAAGGCTCTGAATATGAGCCAGATAGGGCAATTGGAGGAGGCTTTTGCGCTCGCGAAGAAGGCTCTCCAGAATGATATGAAGTCGCATATCACCTGGCACGTGTATGGGTTGCTATTACGCCAGGAGAAGAACTACGAGGAGGCGATCAAAGCATACCGATTTGCCCTGCGCCTCGAGCCCGAATCGCAACCTATTCAACGTGATCTGGCGCTGCTTCAGATGCAGATGCGGGATTACCAGGGATACATTCGGAGCCGCAGTGCGATGCTGCAAACTCGTCCAGGCTTCCGCCAGAACTGGACGGCGCTCGCGATCGCTCATCACTTGGCCGGAGATTTGGCAGAGGCCGAGAAGGTTTTGACTACCTACGAGGACACATTGAAGGGTGCCATACCACCTGTCGCCGATATGGAGAACTCGGAGGCCACCTTGTACAAAAACACGATTATTGCGGAGACTGGAAACCTCGAGAGAGCTCTAGAGAATCTTGAAGCTGTTGGATACCGATGCACTGATGTGCTCGCAGTCATGGAGATGAAGGCGGATTATCTTCTGCGATTGGACCGCAAGGCCGATGCGGAGGCTGCATACACAGCTCTTCTGGAGCGCAACCCAGACAACTCGATTTACTACAATGGCTTGATCAAGGCAAAGGCTATCCCTGAAAGCGATCACAAGGCATTGAAAGCTCTATATGATGAGTGGGTGGAGAAGAACCCCCGCTGTGATGCTGCTCGTCGCATTCCACTCGATTTCCTAGAAGGAGAGGATTTCAAGCAGGCCGCCGACGTCTATCTGCAACGCATGCTGAAGAAGGGTGTCCCTTCATTATTCGTGAACATCAAGCAGCTTTATGTCGATTCGGTCAAGCGTGACGTGGTACAAGAACTGGTGGAGGGGTATCTCTCTGAAAAGGCAGCAAACGGCTCCGCGGAGTCGAATGGAGACAACACCGAGTTCCTGTCATGCACATACTACTTCCTGGCTCAACATTACAACTATCACCTCAGCCGCAACCTCCCCAAGGCCATGGAGTACGTTGAGAAGGCCATTGAACTGTCACCAAAGGCTGTGGAATATCAGATGACAAAGGCGCGGATCTGGAAGCACTACGGAAACCCAGAGAAGGCAGCAGAAGAGATGGAGAAGGCTCGAATGCTAGATGAGAAGGATCGTCATATCAACACCAAAGCGGCGAAATACGTGCTCCGAAACAATGATAACGAGAAAGGCCTGGAGCTCATGAGCAAGTTCACTCGCAATGAGACTGTCGGCGGCACATTGGGCGATCTCCACGAGATGCAGTGCACTTGGTTCTTGACTGAGGACGCCGAGGCATTCCTCCGACAGAAGAAGCTCGGTCTTGCCCTGAAGCGCTTCCACTCGGTTTATAACATCTTCGATACCTGGCAGGAGGATCAATTCGACTTCCACGGCTTCTCTCTCCGCAAGGGAATGATTAGGGCCTACGTGGACATGGTGCGCTGGGAAGACCGCCTGCGTGAGCACCCCTTCTACACAAGAATGGCTCTCGGAGCCGTCAAGGCCCACCTACTTCTTCACGACCAGCCGGATCTCGTGCATGGACCGATGCCCAGTGGAATTAATGGAATCGATTCTACGGACGAGAATCAGAGGAAGAAGGCTCTCAAGAAGGCCAAGAAGGAGCAGCAGCGCCTGGAAAAGATCGAGTCTGACAAGCGCGCAGCAAGGAAAGCGGCTGCAGCTACCGCCAAGAGTGCTGATGGAGAGACGAAGAAAGAAGATTCCGATCCTCTAGGCAACACCCTAGTCCAGACTCAGGATCCCATGAAGGATGCCATGAAGTTCTTGACACCGTTGCTTGAGTTTGGATCCCAGAACATCGAAGCCCAGTGCCTCGGATTTGAGGTTTACTCTAGAAGGGGTGAGTTAAATTGGTAGATTCTAAGGCGAGTCCTTTGTGCTAATACGATCATAGACAAGCATCTCCTTGCCGTCAAGTGCCTTGCGGCCGCCCATTCCATTGATCCATCTAACCCCACTCTCCACCTTCAATTGCTCCGTTTCCGCAAGTCTCTGGAGAGCCTTGCCGAGCCTCTTCCCGAGCAAGTCGCCGAGGTTGTGAATGCTGAATTTGACAAACTGCTCCCAAAGACCCAGAAGCTCGAAGAGTGGAACGAGTCTTATATATCGGCTAACAAGGGCAGTGTTGTACACGTGCAGGCCGGCCTGTCTGGCCGTCAACTTTTGAACCCCGAATCCAAGTCGCAATGCGAGCAAGACCTGCTTGCTACCCTCGATACTCCCGATATCACTATCGACGAGGCTGTCATCTCCTTGGACATTCTGAACAAGTGGGGCAGCGATAAGACTGCCTACGCCGAGAAGGCTAGCAAGAAGTGGCCCGAGTCTTCGGTCTTCGTGCTGAACTGATTTGATACGAGTGGAGGACCGTGTGGACTCCCAGCCTCATTCCCGCTTCGATCATGAGTTGCCTAACTGCCTAGCAAAACAACGGAGTTGCAGGAGTTGGGACCACAAAAGAAGGGTTAAAAACATAGAGGAAGACACGGGGAGAGCAAAATATACTCTGGTATTGGCCGATGCCAAGTGGAGTGAGTATACAGGTGCTGGGAGAATCCAATGTACCAGTATCTATTGCCAACCAAGCAAAGGCTAAACGTAGAACAATCTACTCCAAATTTGAAGAACACCGTTTCCATCAATGTACATTTCTAAAATGGGACATCAAACGCCTTTAATATACAAGCCGAGGAGGGAGTCGCAATATGCTAAACAAAAAGACCAACACATGCCGTGCTGAATGCCAGGGAATAATCCATCCCGTAACCGTTATTGTAAATAACCAATATCAAATTGTGAAGATCTTTTCACTGTCCATCTTCTCCGTCGATGTTACCCAAAATGGGTTTACGTCTCAGGACCTCGTCACTCTCGCCGTAGCCGTAATCGATCCACATGCGCTTCCAGAAAGGCACAGGAGCCGGCCGCTCCTCGCCAAGAATGTATTCCTGTTTCGCGGCGATGCGTTGAGCGCGTGCCTCATCTTCGGGAGAAAGGATGGCACGCTGCATACGCGATGCAATGCGCTGATCGAGCACAATATCATCGAGCCACTCGCGCTCCTTCTCCTCCTCGCCTTCTTCGCGCTTGTGTACAGACTTGTGCCACTCACTTTCAGCAGTCTCCATTACGCTCTGCTGCTCATAGTTGCGAGGGGGGAGGTCGGTGAAAGAACGGTCAGGAGAAGGGGTGGGGTCAACGCTGGCGCTGGTGGGCTCGGAATCTGCGCCGAAGGTCTCAGCGTGGTATGGCCGTGCGCTATTCGCGAGGACAATTGCGGCAACTTCGCGCCCAACGTCCTCGGCAAGGTAACGTTGTGTGAGGAAGCGGTAGAGTCGGATCGGGGTGTTCAGGAAGCCAAGGATATGTGGGAATTCGACTGGGGTGGAGCTGTCAAAGGTCTGGGGGAGGGTGTAAGGGAGGATGGCGGACGAGTATTCGCTGGGGGAGATGTATGCAGGAGTAGGACCAGCCGGCTTGGCAGGCTTCTCTTCTTCCTTCTCTTCTTCTTTGTCTGGTTCCTCGAACTTGAGCTCGGGGATCTCTTCTGTTTTCTCTTCAGAGAACTCGGGGGAATCAATGCTCGCAACCTCGGGGTTCACGAGACTAGCGGGTTTCTCCGCACTGGTACTAACGTCTTCCACTGTATTCGCGGTCAACTCCTCCGGAGGTGGAGCTGGCGCATCCAAGGGGCCAAGCCAGCCCTCGTGCAAGCCCCGGATATACTCTTTCCAGGTGTGCCGGCCGATGACCAAGTCGCCCTTGGGACCCGGTTCGTCAGTGACCCCCATATGTTCCCGGGTGGCAGCAACGACTGCCTCCACACCGACCTCTTCGGGAGCTGAGCTGGGCTCTCCAGCCTTTCGGCGCTGCTTGCGAATGCTTTCCGCCATGCCGGCTCTCACGTCGCCCTCACGCCGCCCTTCGATCACCGTGTAGTCCAATGCCGCGGCCACCAAAATGGGCTTGACATATTCCTTGAAGTGATCCCGGGCCGTACGCAGGCCATCTCCTGGTGGCGCAGCCAAGTATACCGTCAATTTCCGGCGCATTTGGTCGATTGGTAGAGATTCTTTTGAAATATGAGCCACAAGCTCTGACCACTTTTGTTGAACGCGACGCTTCTCCCGACGATCGTATATAAGAGCACCGGTGAATGATCCAGTGATAGTAAGGAAGATCATCCAGTTGCGAGAGGGTAGTTTGAATCGCATATTAGGGAGACCTGTCTCATAGCATTATGAGTATTTTTGGTCGTTGAAATACGGAGAACAGAGACGTACCCATCATTTTGAACGCTGGGTTAGGCGGCTTCGGGGCCGCCTGGGGCTTGCTGGCACCCGAGGGCGCAGCAGAGCTCGAGGAGTCTGCCATTGGGCGGTATAATGGAGAAATGGTCTATATGTATAAATAACGTACACCCGGGACATGCTCGTTCGGGGAAAATTGTTGCCTCGGGATTACATTATCCCGATTCACGTGACTGGAGATAACCTCGTTCGTTAGATCCCGAGGTCGTCGGGTTGACTCCTGGAAGACGTGAGATATGAGTATCATTTCAGGCTTCTTGCCTTGGTTGTTTGATTTTATAGTCACTTGAGTCTCTTGATTCTACCTCTACGGGGGATATTTCAATTCTTTCGGCACATTATAGAAGAAGCAACTACCTGACAACCCGGCATGGCGTTTAGGCCCTCACAGGGCTTTATCCTTGCCACAGACAATTGGTGATTATTAACCAACAGGCATGGAATGGCGAGAAATGATATAATGGTACTATACATAGAACAAAGGTGACCAAACTGTCTTTCGAGCCCATAGTAAGCTAGTCAGTAATTGATATATACTAGGAACAAAGCCCCATCATCGGAAACAATCTCTGCACAATCTGTATGAAAAACTAAATGGCTTATATTGCATATGCTTATATAGTCTCTCGGTTTTATAGGTCTAACTGTGACCTCATCTGATTCTTGTCTGGTGGAAATATCGTGGCGATGATATTGAAGCCCTATTTAGCAGCATTGCTCCATCCATATATCTTGACATAGTTGATCAACCAATACGATTCCGAAAATGCCGACGGATTCTGCGCCACATATTCCTTACAGGTAGCAGCTTTCGCACTACACTGGGATGGCCACGCACTTCCACTGGTATGTGTTAGCGTACCTCTTAATACATCAGTGGATCTTGTATCTTACGCCCAGCCACACAAATTTGTGTTGAATATAATGTCATTGCTTTTGAAGTGAGAGGCAAAGTCGCAGCCTGACGCCACGAACCGGGTCAATGGCGTGCCCCAAGTGGATGGTGTTGGAGCATCTGCTGTGATGTCTGCCGGGATACTGCCACGGGGGAAGAACCATATTGAGATGGCACTGTTTGTCCATTGTGTTGCGTAAACACCACCATTGATCGCATTGAAGCCATCACCGTAGGCCTTGGTATTTGTCGACGTCTGGGAGCAGCCACCAGAGGAGGTACTGCTATCACAATCGGGATCGACGAGGACAGAGCCAGCTGCCGAGCCAGTATTTGTGACGGTGCAGTTCGCCCCAGAGTGCAGGGTGATAATGGGGGTTTTCTGCATGTTGATGCCTTCGATAATATCGATCTCGCCGCTGTTAGGCCAGTCTGGTCCACTAGTCCAGTAGGCTGGCCAGATGCCACAGGCACTACCTGGCATGTGGGCGATATCAGCGATGTAAACTCCGTTGGTCCATACATTCTTTGTGATGACTCTGACAGATTGTCGACCACCAGTCGTGTTTTCAGTCGTGTTATCAACGCCTAGGTACACCTTGCCATCCCTGATACCTGCTAGAGACTTTGCCTTTGCGGTTGCTGCATCCACATATTGAGCAAACCCACCAGATCCAGTGCCGTTTCGAAATTCAAACCCGTCAAAGAAGTTGGTGGCATCATACGAATTGAACAACGTATATTTCGCCGCGGCCGTCTTTGATAGCGCTAATGTAGCAACGCCAACGATGGTAGGAAGTCGGACCATTCTTAAACAGGTTTGACTAGATATGATGGCTGAAAAACAGAAGAGTTATAGGAGAATAAAGATAGCTTCAACCACCGGTGCAATCATCCTTCTTTATATACTTCTAAGAAGCTAGTGTAGTCTTGATTGTTATGATCGTAATATAGATATTGCACCATAGTTGTAGATGCAATTGGCGAACTTTCTAGCGAACTTACTTGCCATACGCCGCTATAATTACGTGCTTCGTAAAAAGGCTGAGTTTTCACATACAACATAGTTAGGGCTCTATGTATTAGGAGCGGGGTATGTAACAGCTTAGAAGAGAGGATAGATTAAATCTCCGCCTCTTATTACATGTAGAGTGAATCCGATGTTACATTGCAGTAGAATCTACGGAGTATACATGTATACATAGATAGGGTACTGTCTATCAGTGGGTCTACTCATTCCGTTTATTCACTCAGCGATCGATATGGTGCGTCACCATAGACCTGGGGTTGCGAAGTATGCCGAAATGTACGAACTATACATTAACTTTGTACGTACGTGTGCAATTTGAGCTAGTGGTTAGCTCCGGCTCTCGGTGGCCCATAACTAAAGGGGTTAGTGCAATGTATAGTGTCTATCATTTTATATTACAACATCCAGTACTGCACAGGAGAACGACATAAATGCTAAAAGCACGACATGATTCGTAGGAGATTAGTATCGAACTAACAACTTCTAGTTCTACTAGTGTAACCTTACACGTACAACACTGCAATCCTGCAGTGTTCCTGAAGCATCACGACATCGCTTCGTGTAAGAGTTTATAAATGACCCCTGGTCATACTAGCGCTTGGATTTGAATATAAATCATGCATCTGCGGTCTCCAGAAGAATTGTTGACTTGCCATTCATTCGAGTCATCATGAGGTGCTTTGCCTTCCTCTCCTTTGTCAGTCATGTGGCGGCCTTATGGCCCATCCCTCAATCTTTCACAAACGGAACTTCAACTGTTTGGATTGCGGAGGACTTTGGGGTCTCATACAATAATGGCGATGTAGGTTTATACAATAAGGCTCCTTTCCCCTTCCATCCAGAAGCTGACAATCATGTTCAACCAGCTTCCGGACCCCAAAAATGGAACAAATACGATCTCAAGCTTGGAGATTGTTGCAGCCGCCGTGCAGAGGGCTCGAGAGTCTATCTTCACAAGTAGTATTGTTCCTTGGAAGTTCCATCCACGCAATGAGCTGGAGAAATTCGAACCCTCTGCGACTAGCGATTCAAAGACATATATAACGGAACTTCAGATCATCCAGACGACAGAAGACAGCAAATCAACATTCAAGCCCCTAGCGGGCACAGTTGATGAGACTTACAACTTAACCATTGGAACAAACGGCGCGGCAACCATCTCAGCAGTATCGTCTACTGGCATTCTTCGCGCTCTCGAGACTTTCACGCAGTTATTCTATTCGCACTCGGTCAAAGGCACTGGCGTGTATTCCAATCTCGCCCCCGTTAGTATCAGTGATTGGCCAAAGTTCAGCCATCGAGGTTTGGACTTGGATGTTTCCAGAAACTGGTACCCCAAAGAGCACATCCTCCGTACCATTGATGCCCTTTCTTGGAGCAAATTCAACCGTTTCCACATCCACATGACCGATGCACAATCTTGGCCTTTGGATATCCCCGCGCTACCAGAGCTATCTCAAAAAGGCGCGTACCAAGCTGGACTATCCTATACGCCTCAAGATATCGAAGATATCCAGATCTACGGTATCTATCGTGGTATCGAAGTTATCATCGAGATAGATATGCCTGGTCACACAACAGCCATTGGATTCGCGTATCCAGAGCTTATCACTGCATTCCGTCAGCGGCCATGGCGGAATTATTGCTCTGAACCTCCTTGCGGACAACTCAAGCTTAATTCCACGGCGGTATACGAATTTGTCACCAAACTGTTCGATGATTTGCTGCCCAGAATTTCTCCATATTCGGCATATTTCCACACTGGTGGCGATGAGATTGAAAGTAGCGACTACCTTCTGGATGACACTGTCAACTCCAAGGAGATCGCAGTCATCACTCCCTTACTTCAAAAGTTTATCGACCACAGTCATGACTTGGTCAGGAAAGCAGGTCTTGTACCAATTGTCTGGCAGGAGTTGCTTCTCACATGGAATCTTACCCTCGGAAACGATGTCATCATTCAGACCTGGGATGGTGTTAAAGCTATTGGCACAGTGACCTCGCGAGGACACAAAGCTCTCTTCGGAGATACCGACAGCTGGGTTCGTGAACTATCCATGCAAGACTTTTGTCAACCGCTAACAACATCTAGTACCTCGCCTGTGGCCACGCAAAATGGTTCAACTTCAAAGACGCCGACATCCCAGCTAACTACCCGTACACTGACTTTTGTTCGCCGATTAACAACTGGCGTGTGGTGTGGGAGTATGACCCAACCGCTTCTCTGTCTGCTGAGCAGGCTGCGTTGGTCATCGGAGGCGAGATCCATCTCTTTAGCGAGCAGAGTGACCCGTCAAACCTGGATATAATGCTCTGGCCACGGTCGTGTGCCGCGGGAGAAAATATGTGGTCTGGGCGTAAATCTCTGAGTGGGCAAACGAGGAGCCAAATCGAGGCAGCCGTGAGATTGTCTGATCTGAGAGAGAGGATGGTGTTGAGGGGAATAAAACTTGCACCGGTTCAAATGGCGTGGTGTACACAGTATGGTGGTGACTGCACGTGGTGAGGTTTCAATCTAACTGAAAGATGATATGAAGGAAATAAAGTCATTTGAGTTTCCAAAGTTACAGCTCTGTACGCCTTCATCTAAATTGTACCTATTAAGACATAATGTCTGTTGTATGTCTGAGACCTACAGATTAAAAGCCAAAGATTATAAACTGTGTTAACAGTTAACACAGAGGATTAGCGTTGATAGGGCTAGATTGGGCCCATTAACACCCGTGGACCCACGTGATCAGCTTACACACTCAGGGGCTTTCCCTAAAAGCGGCAAGAGCCAAGTACTCAATCAGAAGAAAGTCAAAAAGTTGCAGAAAACCGCCAGGGCTGTACACAATGCCTAGATTCCAGTAATCGTCAAGGGCTGATCCTAGAGAGCTGTGGTATATTGAATCACTACTAGCAGGATATTTATGTAAAATGAGCTCTCGTCTTATAAAATATTGATATTAGCCCATTAGCACACTGTGATTCCCCCTCCTGAACTACCTAGCCGCCTACTTGTAGTAAATCATTGGATAAAAAGGAAAGTATCACAGACTGGGAACACACACAGTTGTTTCAAGTCAATCGAGTGGTGTAAACATGTAACATCCATGGATGGATGTAAACAATATTGTCAGCCAGTCACACTGGGGCTAGATTGCCTCCTGAGCCACCGCTTCTTTAAACTCCCCGCCCTGGTCCTCAACTTCCTCTCTCCCATCTTTCCTCCCCCCATCTACCTTGAAAAGTCCCTTGGGAGTTCGAGTCAAGATGGATCCCAACAATAACAATCGCAACAACATGAATTACGGCTATGACCGTAACTACAATGCCAACAACCGCGCCTATCCCACTACCCCCTCCGCGTTCCCCCAGCCCATCTATCAGACTCAGGGGGCCCAGGAATACGTCGATCCCTCCAATCCAGCTTATGCTCCGGGTTACTTTATGCCCAACAATTACCCAGCCCAACAGGTTCAGCAGCAGTATGTCCAGCAGCAGCAGCAGCAGCAGCAATACGCGCAACAGCAAGCGTTGCAATCGCCCCAGCCCGCCTACCAAGCACGCCCGGGCTACCCCGATGGCACCAACGGTCTGATCCAGCAGTTCTCCAATCAGGACCTCAACGCAAACCGTGCAGGATTTTTCAATAATCGGGCGGGCTCTCCAGCCCAGCGGCCTCGCACCGCCGGTGGTTCCCCCGCTCAGACACAGGCCCAAGCATCACACCTGATCCCACCTGTGCCTCGCAGCCCTCGCCCACCCTCCGAGAATGAGGAGTTGCAACGCTTCCCCGACCGGTACTCCGAGAATGTGCACAAGCGAGGCAAGGCGGCAAAGGAGCTGGTGACCGTATTCTTCCACGAGAATATTGAACGGGCCCGGGACCGTAACATGCGGTAAGTATCCATATCCCAAATGGGAGCCCTGAAATATTGTTCCGGGATTGTGGCTTATACCTATGATTCGCCCCTACAGCTCGGCCGAACTTGACAAAACAATCCGTGATCCCAATATCCCCGTCGAAAAGAAACGCCAAGATGCCGACGTGATTTCCAAGAGAGAGTCCGATTTCCTTCGGTTCTTGCGCACGAAGGAGACACCAGCGAACTTCCAGACCATCAAGATTATCGGGAAGGGTGCTTTCGGTGAGGTCAAGCTGGTGCAGCGCAAGACTGATGGCAAGATTTACGCCCTCAAGTCGTTGATCAAGACGGAAATGTTCAAGAAAGATCAATTAGCCCATGTCCGTGCCGAACGTGATATTCTGGCAGATTCGAAGGATAATCCTTGGCTTGTGAAGCTTCACGCATCGTTCCAGGATGCTGCGTACCTTTACTTGCTGATGGAGTTTTTGCCCGGTGGTGATTTGATGACCATGTTGATTAAGTATGAGATCTTCTCTGAGGATATCACACGGTTCTATATGGCCGAGGTGGTGATGGCAATTGAAGCTGTACACAAGCTTGGTTTCCTCCATCGGTAAGTGATTCTTAGTGCTTTGTTGCGAGTTGTGACATTGGCATGTGGATTTTCTTCTTCTCCTTGAAATGAAGAATAAGGTGCATATGCTAACACACAAGATAATCCATACTAATGACTCTTTGTTGCGCAGTGATATCAAACCCGACAACATCTTGCTCGATCGGGGTGGACACGTCAAGCTTACTGACTTTGGTCTGTCGACCGGAGGCAAGAAGACCCATGACAACGCTTACTACCAAAACCTCCTCAAGAATTCCACTTCCAAGGACCGGAACCGCAACTCTGGATACTTCAATGATGCCATTAATCTCACAGTGTCCAACCGTGGTCAAATCAACACCTGGCGAAAGTCTCGTCGTGCCATGGCCTATTCGACTGTTGGAACACCGGATTATATTGCTCCTGAGATTTTCAACGGTCAAGGCTACACTTATCTCTGCGATTGGTGGTCTGTTGGTGCTATCATGTTTGAATGTCTCGTGGGCTGGCCTCCATTCTGTGCTGAAGACACAAATGACACCTACCGGAAAATCGTCAACTGGAGAGAGTGTTTGTACTTCCCCGATGAACTAGTTCTTGGGCGTGACTCTGAGGCGCTGATCCGAAGGTAAGTTCTTATCTATCTATCAAACCCCAAAGGGATTACCCGCTAACCGAATTGTCTAGTTTCTTGTGTGACCCGGATCACCGTATTGGCAGCGAAGGTGGCCAGCACGGAGGTGCGACACAGATCAAAAACCACCCCTTTTTCAGGGGTGTTGTTTGGGACCAACTACGCAGCATCCGTGCTCCCTTCGAGCCGCGCCTCAGCTCAAACATTGATGTGTCGTACTTCCCAATTGATGAAATTCCCCAGGAGGATACGAGTGCAATCCACCGCGCCCAGGCCCGTGCCATGCCAGACTCGCAGGAAGCTGAGATGAGTTTGCCATTCATCGGCTATACCTATAAGGCATTCAATGCCTTCCAAACAACTTAGGTTTGTTTGTTGTATTCCGAGACTGACCGATTCCCAGAGACAGTGGAAGCAAGCAGGGCTTGCTTCCTTTGTTTCTCATGGTACTTTTTTATCGGTTTAAAAATAAGCTCGGTTCTTTTACCTCGTTACACATTATCATTGAGCATATCAGCGCGATCTTGTTTTCCCGAATCATGACCCATCTTCGGTTTCACTGGTTGATACATATGTATCTAACGCCTTGCATCCTTCTCAAGACGATACACACTACTTGTCACACTTCGGAGAGACCCAGCTGATTTAGGATAGTCAGGATATTACCCTAAAGAATAAAATGCATTTGTCTTTCTGACTATATCCGCCTCCTCACAATACACTATCTTCATGCCTTGGTGGATTCACAGTAGAATGTGCTTTGGGCCTGTAGAACAGGGAACTTTGACTGCATTGTATGTTAGTACCTCAGCCACAAGCAATGCCATACTCGGCCCAGCGCACGGGAGTTGGGCCGTGCGTTGGGCCAAGTAGCTGGTTGCCCACTACTATCACTACTGTTCTTGGGGCTCTCGCGGCCATCTAAGTAATATATAGGACCATAAGGAACATTGGAATTATTGTTAATGGCATGTCAGCCATAGTTATTGAATTTCAATTGTCATAAAAAGGGATCTCGTCGCTCGAGTATCAGATAAAAACCGAGTATCCACATGAAACAACCCCGAAACGCCAATCCTGATTCCCGCCATAGAGACAACCATCATTTGCGATGTGAGTCCGAAAAAAGAGCAGAACAAGACAGATAAACGAGCGAAAAGGGCATTGAAACGAAAGAGTTAAGTCTGCGCGGGCGCCAGGCCAGGCACACCACTGAAAATCTCCTCGCGTTCAGTTTTGAACATAATCTGGATCCAGAACTCTTTGGTATCCTCATCGAACCAGGTCCAGTAGCGTTCGTCACGACGATCGATTTCTCTAGCCTGCAGCTTAATGGCACAAGTCTGGTACGGCTCGGCAGCAACAACCAAGTACTGGTAGTTACTATCGGGAGTCTCGACCTGCTGCTCGAAAGCCGACATGAAGCGTACACGGGGCTTCACACCGGGGGTGATTTCCTGGAACTGCATCTGGAATAGTAGACCGAGTTGACGCGTCAGGGGATCTCTGATCTTGGTGATCTTGTATCCTGGTCGGCCGATTTTGATCAATTGCTTCTTGACTTGAACGCCCGCGACCCCAGCGGTAGACGAAGCATCCTGGTTCCTGCCTTCGCGTGCCTCGCGCGCGGCGCGTCGCGCAAGGTTGGTTTGGTGCTTGCGACCCTGCGTGTGGGCGAGGTAGGAGCCATCGTTCTGGTGAACTGTTAGGCAAAGGCGGCATTCGAAGGTGCCGAGGTGGTTGCGAAAGATGTAGGGGTCCTTCTCGACGTCCATTGTCTCCATGGCGAGCTTGCGTAGTCGCTCACGTCGGTCTGCATTCGTAGCAGATTTGGAGGCGACGCCGCCCCCACCGAATTTGGAACCCGCACGATTCTGCGCGATGTGTCAGCGAGATCATAAGTCACAGGGGTTGGGCGACACGCCGGCCCCGGGGGGTGTACTCACCTGATAATCCATTTTCTCGGCGTTGTAGCTCTCGAGGGTTGGTGAGGAAGTTGAGTTGGTGAGATTCACTATCGCTCGTTATCCAGGTGTTTTGCAAAGGCGGTGGACAATATCCGCAGCGACCGCCTTCCTATTGCGGCTAACATAGTACATACCATCATAACAATTCTTACTATGACTGTGACTTTCCAAGATTAATTTGTCTAGTACTACATGGAACGTGCCTAGTCTTCAGCCGTTAATCCAAGTGAAGTCTGGGCCCCAGGGTAACCAACCTTGGAAGGTTGGAATCCGAAGTTGATTATATAAGCAGATTGTTTGGGCGATAACTAACGTATTCGGTAAGCGAGCGGCGGACGCAAGCGAGTGGCGGACCCCAACCAATGCATTAATTTCAAATATAAATATGTCAACCAAAACTCCATTAAATTAAATACAGTGAAATCATCTAGCTAGCTAGGCATCTATTAATCTTATGTCCTATTTCTCCACAACCACTGCACTTTGGTGGGGCCCGCGTACGTGGTTGTAAAGCCGGCGAAGGGCTTCTTCGTAGAGGGGAGGGAGGTGCTTTAATTGCTTCCACCGGCTCAGTAATCAATTGAGAAGCTTCCTGTACTGAAAGGCCTGCTTCTGCCTGTATTTGCCTCCGGGATCTAGTACGCTTTTGCTTCTGCTTCTCGTTGGCGGCGCGTAATTCCTTATTTTCTTTGGCGAGTAAGATAGCACCTTGCATTGTAAGACGGAAGCCTTTCACAAGCTGGTTTAATGCACGATCTGACGGGCTAGGCGGGCTTCGAGACCTTGTACGAAGTAAGGCTTTAATTGATGAAGCCTGACGACGTAGTTCTTTCTCCGTAAAGGGGGTTTTTGGAGTAAAATTCCGGCTTGATTCACTACCCCGGCTAGCTGGGGGGGTTGGGGTTCGAAGTCGAATATTAAGCTTTGAAATCACTCGGTCGGGTGCAAATGGTATTAAACCAGCTGCTCCGAAGCTATTCTTAATAGTCTCCGATTTAAAAGCTTCAATTCGTGTAAGGGGGTATGCTTCGAGGAAGTCAAGTTTGTCAATATGATTGATCCCGTTCCGCATCTTGATTTCAACCATCCGACCATATATACGTTTTAATGCCGCAAAACAACCAATGTCCAGAGGTTGTAAAAGATGAGATGAATGCGCTGGCATACAGATTGGTATCACCTTATTTTGCTCGCAAATTGCGTCAAATTTAGGCGTTAAATGACTTCCGTGACCGTCGAGTATCAAAAGCCGATAGCTCCCCTTCGTACGTAAAGAAGTAGTCGGAATAAAGAGCTTTTCAAGCCAACGAAAGCTAATTTCATCAGAGGTCCAGCCATTAGGACTAACTTCGAAGCGCCAATCCCCCGGAAGGCCGTCGAACCATGATTCAATAAAGACTTTGCCTTTAAAAATCATACACGGAGGAAGGGCCCAGCCCGAAGCATTTATACACTCAATAGCAGTCACCCACTCTCGATTTCCAGGTTGTAAAAGTGAACGCCGACCATAGTATTCACTCCTCGTAATAACCTTTGCAGTTGCAGTCAATCCCATTGCAAAACCAGTCTCATCGAAGTTGTAAATATCATCGGGATCGATTCCAAATTGAAGAATCGTCTTTTGAACTAAATCAAACCACTCCCTAATGATTTTAGGGTCTTCGCATTTTGCACGTTCGTAATTGTACCGTTTCGAGAATCGGGAGGAGAGAAGAGGATGTCGTTTCACAAAGTTATATACCCATTTTTCGCCAACCGAAAGAACCGGGGTAGTTCCACGCTTTTGAAGAAGAAGATCCGCCATTTCTCGTACCATAGAGGGCCGGGGGGCTGCTCCACGAGAATCCATAGAGAGAATCCATTTTTGAAGAGACTCCTCTTCAATTTCCGTCAATTTAGAGGAATTTGCGCGACAAATCACGCGGCTCTGTACCCCCTTAAGGCGGCGGCGGAGGGTAGTTTCGGGCACACTAAAACGGCGCGCCACTTCACAAATTGAAGAGATTTCTTGATTTTTAAAGGCCTGGATAGCTAATAAAAGCCTGCCCTCTTGCTCTATTAAATTTGTAGAGGATTGAGAGCGAATTGGTGGCATAGTGGGTGGTTGAACTAACTAAGTGCTAATTCATGGACGCGTTTTGCGTGGGGTCCGCCACTCGCTTGCGTCCGCCGCTCGCTTACCGAATACGTTACATAATTAATTAACTAGTATCATAAATCACAATACGAAGTAGCACTTACCGAAGCACTAGCTGTTAGACCTAGCTTGAGCTATGGATGCTCCAGCTGTAGACCAACGTCGGTCGTTTGATGGCCATTTGAGTACTATTCGCTATGTAGGCACTGTTCAAGGGACCACCGGCGACTGGTTAGGTGTTGAATGGGACGATGCAACTCGTGGCAAGCACTCAGGAGAACATAAAGGCATCAGATACTTCTCATGTATGAATGTCTCAATTTTAAATTGGATTATTGCTAACCTGGCTATAGGCAAAAGCAAACATCCCACAGCGGGGTCTTTTGTTCGCCCCGACAGGCCTTCAGACAAGCCTCTGAACTTCCTAGAGGCCTTGCGGGAGAAGTATGCTTCTGAGTCTGAGAACAGCCCTGCTGAAAATTCCTTGGTTGGTGGAGCAACAGTTCGAGGCAAGCCAATTGAAATTAGCGGCAAGGTTGTTGAAGAAGTTGGCTTCGACAAAATTCGGAAACAGCTCGCCGAGCTCCAAGAGTTACGCATTGTTTTGCTTGATGGCCTACGGATTGCCGGGGTCCTTTCGTCCTACAACCAGGATCAAGCCTCACATAGTGAGGCAGCACAAAAGATTGGAGAAACTTGCCCCAGGATCACGGAACTTGATCTCAGTCGAAGCTTATTGAGCCGATGGCGTGATGTTTGGGATATCTGCGATCAGCTCAAGCACCTGAAACGACTGAAGTTGAAGTAAGTCTCTAATTTGTCCACCTCGTCAATAGTAGAGCTGACTGGAGAATAGTGGAAACCGGTTTCAGGCTTTCGAAGATGATCTGACCTTCAGGGGAATCAATGAGCTACATTTAGAAGAAACTTTGCTTAGCTGGGATGAGGTATGTGCCTTATTTATCACGAATCATCTTGAGCAAAGCTGACTTCGGACATAGATTGCTACCATTGCATATCGATTCCCTGGCTTGACAACTCTCACAGCATCTGCGAACCAGCTCTCTGAGATAACCTGTCCACTACCTAGCACTATCACAACATTAACCATCGAACACAACGATATTACCTCAATATCAGCTCTTCGGTATCTTGCTGGACTTCCAAAATTGGAGCACCTCTCCGTTCGTGGGAACGGCATCAGCACCGTGAACCAAAACACGACAGATACAACCCTAGACTTCCAATTTCCGTCAACTCTCCGCTCCCTCGATATATCCCGCAACAACATTACCTCCTGGGCCATTCTGAACACACTCCCCACAGTCTTCCCAGGTCTAACTACCCTCCGAATCACCGGCAATCCCCTATTCGACCAGCCACCCCTCCCACCCTCTGTCGCAGAAGCCTCCAAACCAATGACCGTCGACGAAGCCTTTATGCTAGCCCTATCTCGCTTCCCATCCACCCTCACCACCTTAAACTACAGTACTATCTCACTACAAGACCGCTCCAACGCAGAGATGTACTACCTATCCCTCATTGGCAAAGAACTTTCCGCCACGACCGAAGCAGAAGAGCCCGCCATTCTCGCTACACACCCGCGATACAGCGAGCTGTGCGAACTATACGTCGAGCCGACTATTACAAGAGCCGTTGTATCCTCTTCAGGCGCCAGAATTATCCATCCACGGTCCGTCGCAGCGCGACTGGTCAAGATGGCCTTCCATCTACCACTTGGAAACGAAGAATCCAAAAGTCGAGTCAAAGAAATTCCTGGCTCATTCGATACGTACCAGGTCAAGGCGTTGGTGTCGCGGCTCTTCGGCCTACCGGCGTTTGGGTTCCGGCTATTCTGGGAGACGGATGAGTGGGATCCTGTGGAGAAGGAAGTTGGTGATGAGGCCATTGTTGAATGGGATGAGGATAGTGAGGATGAGTCTCGACCTGACGTTGGCTTTCGGGTTGAGACAACGGGCGATGGCCCTGATAAGAGTCGGTTTGTGCGTAGGGAGGTGGAGCTAGCTGATTCGACAAGGGATATTGGGTTCTTGTTTCAAAATGAGGTGGGAGAGGTTAGGATTCGGGTTGAGATGCCTGATTGTGCGTCTAAGAGGTAGTGCTTCGAGATGATAGTCATTATACGCCTAGAACCATTCTATTAGAGGTTTAATAATTTCCCTAGTTATACATAGAAAAGTTGTCTGTACGGTTCAGGTTCTATCCTGCCTTCGTAGATTGTAGAGTGATAAGCCCGGCATGTCTAGGTACTCCATGCTATCATTCACTTTTCTGATGGTACTTCTCTATAACTACATAACCATCCTTCTAGCTCTAATACCGAGGGGGAAAAAACTTTACTAAAAGGAAGGCTCTAAAAGGATCGAAAAGGGACATGCCAAAAAAGATATCGGAGTGCTATCTTGCATGTAACATCCTTAATATTATCTCGAGCCAGATAGATCAGATTACTACAGTCTTACATCGGAGGTCAAAGACAGATGTTGCATACATGGCCGGCTACTCCTATGTGGTCTAAGATTTTGTAGTATCGGAGCAAGCTATAGTAGCGATATTTCTGAAGATCATCTATACCTCGATCGAGTGTAAAAGTAAGAGAAAAATCTATATATATTTATATATACAACGGCACCAGCTCATAAATCCTAAATCAATTTACCGTCTATGACATGGGGATATATGTAAGTAGGTAGTTGATGTTTGGCAAGTGACTGTAGACTGTGAGTTCCTGAATTGGCCGGCTCAGTTAGACTTGTCTCGAATGTAGGTGACCCAATCTGTGGTTATGTTTCGGGGGAAATAAACATACAAGTCTTGTCATGTTCCAAACCATCAAAAAGGACAAGTAGATAGATAGATGGGTTGTTTCAAAGTTGGATGTTGACAAAATCTAAATTGGAATGTACGGCTAAGGTATCTCTGAGTATGTTCTTCTAGAGCATAATCAGGACTCGAAGGCTTCGAATAATATAGCCTGCTGCTCAGTTTACTCTGTAATAAGAATAACCAGAGGTAAAAGCACTACAGCAAAAAGGAAATAATTTCGAGTGACAGGCATTATCCAGTATATATGTACACAAGACAGATGAAATCATGATGATTCCACATGTTCGGGGGGAAAGGCCAAAACGCCGTAGTGCTTTGCTCGCTCACTGCCCAGTCTCCTGAACCCCAATAAAAACCAAAAAAAAAGAAATGTAAACGGGCAGAGAATTGAGATCATATCATTCAGAGCAAAATAAACATAACGCCTGACCATGATGCTTTTGTTTTGTCGACCGCAAAAGAACAAGATGAAAATCCCGTGAGGACGCAGGATCGAGAGGAGGGTGTAATGGCCCTTGGTTGAGGAACACATTATGCAAGGAGTAATAAAAGAGTATAAGAGGCAAATGCAGACGCTCAGAAGCGATGTTGGTCACAATAATGTTGATTAACCGCGAGCAACCCACCATGAGCGGACTGCCATGCAGCAAACCCGCTTGTAGACTTGTGTTGTGCCCTTGCCCTCGGCTTCTTCTTCGAGGAACTTCTGTGCGACGAAAAGCCTGGTTCCAGCCTCTTTCTCGGTGGTGTAGCCCACCTTTGGCAGACTGTTGGGAAAGTCAGCCCAGCGCTGTCCTAGGTGACGTGCGACAGAGATGGAGTATATGATATCACGGTTCTCGTATGTGTCCAACAATTGGCGACACCGACTGAGCGTGTCGTCGATCTGCTTGGCCGAGCTTGCTTCGTTGTCATAAAGTGTGAGGAACTCTCCGACCTGGTCCCAGAAATCTAATTGGCGGCTCTGGAACTGATCAGGGGAGTTCGGGGGGTTGGCGGCATCCATAACTAGCTCCCGCGACAAGGGGTTCGAGTCCAGGTGGTTCCAAGTAAGCAATGCCTCGACCACATTTAACCGTGCGCAAGATACACATAGATTCCAGTCTCGTCCCTGTTGTCCAGTTTCTCCATCCGGTACCTGGCGACACAACGACATGCTCTTCCAGATGATTGAGGCCTCGAAACTCTCTAGACGCGCAAGGGTTTCACCGTCTTGGAGATCCCATTCATTGAACGCAATGATCAGAGCCGAATAGTCTGCCATAAGTTGGGCATCGGCCATGAGTAATGAGAGAGCATTCTCCGAATACCAGCGAACCTCAAGAAGCTTGTCGATCGCAGGTGCGTAGGTAGCCAGGAAAACTGCCTGGATCTCTTCGAGGCGACCAGGCGGAAGAGTTGCGATCGGGTGGGGAGGAGGAGGGGCGATTCCCCTCAAAGAGAAGAGGTCGTTGACATAGAGGTTTTTGGCTGTGGAGACGAATTGTTAGCTACTCATGCACAATGCTGTAATGCGCCGAGAAGAAAACAATTTATATGAACTCACCTTTGTATGCAGGCTCTGAGCCCTGTTGACGTGGTACGCCGGTGTTCTGCATTTCGGTATGATTGGATTGACTGTTCGTCGCCAAAGAAGAATCAATGGAAGCTCCGTGCTCGTGCTGGTCGGCAGAGGCAGTGGGCGATGCGGAGTGGAGGGAAGGTGCGAATGGTTGGGACGAAGCGGGCATGTACCCAGGAGGCGCAGAAGGATAGGAAGGATATGAAGGTGTTGATGAAGTAGATGGGCCTTGAGGATTGACAACCAGCGAAGGAGGAGGGTTAGGAGCTGGTTGGATAGCTGATGGTGTAGATGCTTGAGTCCGAAACACAGGATCGTAGCCCAAACATTCACGTTTGCTCTTCACACAATTTCTGCAGACCGGATGTGCTTCGTCGCACTAAAATAAAGTTAGAACAATAAATTATGCGAAATGCAAAACAAGAATGAAAAAAAAGTTAAAGGTTGAGAGGGAGGTGGGTTTAAGCGGACAAAATAAATGGCGGGGTCTGACGGGCACAAGCGAGACTCCGCCCCGCGAAACTACATTTGCGCTCACCTTGATTCTTCGTTTGCGACAAGTCAGACAACCGGTTTTTGTGCGTCGCTTGACTTCTTTCTTGTGTCTATTGCCTGATAACATCTTGTTCGGGTCCCCTGGGAGTTGATATCGCATTTGCGCATTCCCCATATTGGAGGGATATCCAGCCATGTACTGTCCCATAGAAGCCATCGGAGGCATATTGTTTGGGAGCGGCGATCCGATCGGTGCCTGTGGCACCTGTCCTTGAGAGGAGTTGTGATACATGTCGTTTTGATAATGTTGCGGCTGTGCCTGAAACTGGTGGGTATGCGTCTGCGGTGACTGGTGGCTTCCTGGTTGTTGTGATTGAGCAGGACTATGCGAGTATTGGTATGAACCGTTGGTCGGATGATAGTGAGATGCACCATTCACACCCCCATTGTCATGCCCACCCGTAGAGTCTGCCATGCCGGCGTTCGAATCGTGATGGTCCAAATGACTATTGTCGCCAAAATCATGGCCATCCATTGTTGGAATATCATCTGTTCCAATCGCTGGTAAGGAGTGGTCAAGAGAAGGGAGATTTGTATCAATCGCAGGCAGCGACATATCGGGAGCTGCAGATGAACCTATTGAAGGCAACGCATCAAAAGAGTGCAATTCCGAATCATCGAAACCATTTGATGTCTCCATGGTTGGAAGTGATGGATCGATCGCCGGAAGTGATGATTCAACAGACGGTAAAGTCACATCTGGACCATGTGCTGGCTGGGTGACTTCTTCTGGCTGATACGTGCTCGCATCTTGTGGTGGGCCTGTGGATGAATTTGGCTCTGTTGGCACTTCTGGTGTTGCTGGCATTTCTGGTATTGGTAGCACTTCTGGCGCTGCTAAAACTTCTAGCGGTGCTAGTTCCACTAGCGGTTCTGGCGGTGCTGGTTCTGCTGGTTGTGCTGGCACTGCGGGTTCTTGGGTTGTTTCCACGGGGGGTTGATTCGTTTCCACTGGGAGCGGCTCATTCTGGGCTAAAGGTCGGTCTGTTTCAGCAGCTGGCGCATTCGGTTCGGTCGCAGGATTGGTGGATTCGCCAGGCGGGGCGCTCGAGTCCGTCGGCTCCGCCATATTGGAATTCACAGTCTCCCTATGAAAGTCTCGATCGTGTGGGAAAATTGGTAGGTATTTTGCAAGTAGGCTCCGAAGATAAGATCTTGAGTAAAGGTCGAGTATTCGAGTATTCGAGTATGCAAGGTCAAAGGTCGTCTGGTTTGTCGCTGAGCGAAGAAATCACACCAGGTCGAACGAATGGGGAGTTAGAAATCATTTATTCCCAATAATCTGTGGGGTCCATCATTTGTTAGTCAAAATATTCAGCCAGCAATTTCATGAGTGTCCCGCAGCGGAGAGTAACAGAAGCGCGGTAAGGGTAAAGTTCTCGGTGTCGATCATGAGCATCGCCAGAAAAGAAGCAACGTGCTAGCGCAGGACCCTCTGTTTTCACGTCTTTAAATCCAATCGGCGGGCTAAACCATGTACAGGACATAGTACTGAGCGCAAGGACTCTGTAGTTGTACGAATTCCCATATCAATGATATAGACACCTCGTGGCATGTCCAGATATCCTACTAGCCAATTTGAGATTTGTAGGTCGCATTCGCGGTGGCTGACCAGCCTCAAATTCAACCATCTGTTCACAACTCCCACGGGGCCTCGGAAAAGCATCGCGGGGTACAATCTAGTACTCAGTGACCTTGTTTGACAGCAGGAATACTGGACATGGTATCGCACAGGGTGATGCTCCGGCGCGAGAGGATGCGCATGTCGAGAGATTGGCAGGGCTGCGGGGACCGCGACTTGATCGAATTTCACAGACTTACCAGGTAGATATATTAATAGAATTAGATCGACAGAAACACAAATCGCAGGGAGACTATGCAAATTTGAGGGTCGGAGGACAGGAAAAGCGCGAAAGAGAGGCTTAAGGAGCTTTCCTTTCCGGCGATGAAACTCTCCGCTTTGATTGCGAAGGAAAAAAAATTATAGTGGCAACACCGCTTTCTACCCCAACATTGCATATTCCAAGATTCGATATTTGTTGTTTTTTTACATTATTTACACTTGTTCTATTTGTTTTCTGGTGTTTTTCTGATGTTTTTCTATTTTTGATATCATCTCCTTCTATTTTGGATTCAATTATACATAGGATCGAATTAATGATGTTGCAGCCCTTCTGGACCAAATCTATGGAAGCTATAGATTGTCCTGCGAAAAGGCCTTGGCATGATCAACCCTACATAACCAAATGTTCATGCCTCGGAGCTGCACGTGTTCCTATGGATAGGGGAACGCATTAAAAACAGGCATCCAGCACAGAAGGCTTGGGCTTGCAAATGATCCGCTTGGATGAATGAATTCGAAGTGTACATCCCAGAGAACCGAATTTCTGCCACAAGTCTTCTGGTCGAAGACTTTGGTACATTTCTGATATCGATTGGCACAGTAAAACCGGTGTATTGCATGCCTGTTGATTTAAGCAACATAGTTGCAAGCATGCAGGCTTGCAAGCTTGCGGGGTCAGGGGCCAAGTCCAAGCCCAACGGATTGGGGTCGGATGTATAAGACACCACAAGGAGTTAGGATGATCAAAGACATGGGCTCGCATTTAGATTTGAGCCATGACAAAGAATTTTTGCGGATATTGTATCCTCTCAAGGTGCAACTATTTTCTCATCGGCTTCGGCTTGCGCTTCTTGAAGATGACACCGGGCGCAGTATCTTCACTCTGTGGTTTCTCTTCAAAGACTGGCTCTACTGAAGATTGAGCGGGCTCTTCAGTCTTGACCTCGATTGATTCATTCGTCGTTTGGACCACTGGCTTGGAAGGATCATCCTCTGTCTTTGTGGTAGAGGTAGGTTGTTCGGTGGCTGTCTGCTGTTCATCAAGCTCGACCTTCGGGGTGAAGGTCTTCGTCCTCTTGATAGCTTTGGTGGATGCAAATAGGTCATCCAGGCCCTCATCCTCTTGAGCACCGGGATATTGCCTCATCCTCGAGCCCCAACCTTTGTTGATAACAGGTTCAGGCGCATGCTCATCTTCCTCCTCTTCGCCTTCAATTTTGCGCTTGCGGATTCCCACTGACTTTGTGGGGCCCTCTAATCCCTGCTTGACCTCGATCCTTGTCTCTGATGTTGTCTCCCAATCTCCTGCTAAGGCCATATCAGCACGGAATTCCTGGGGAACAGCGACCCCCATTGCCACGAGCTGTGCCATCTGTTTCTTTCGATCCTCTAGGGAAGCAGGCCGTTCTGTGGGTTTGGGGGCCGGCGGTGCGTTTCCTTTCGCACTGTCTTTGTCAGTGGAAGACCCGCCACCGACGGCCTGTCGCAATCGCTCGACTTCGGTTTTCGCGCGTTGTGAGTCTCTTTGTTTTTGTTCATTGTCATTGTGGATTTGTCTGAGGAAGCGCTTTAGGCTGCCTTGATGTTTTGGGCTGGCTTCGTGTTGGGTCTTCTCGAAGGGCGTGTCACGGATGAAGATCTTGCACTGTTTGCACCAGTAGCGCGGCTATAGAATGGTTAGCAATATTCTAAAAAGGAAAAAGATATATACACTTACTGCTGATTTCCAGAATTCAGCCATGATGAAGTGTTGAGTATAAAACAAGCAAGTGGTTTTGGTCGAGACTTTTGATCGCATTGATATTGCCTGGCAGAAATACGTAGTTACCCCACTCTGTTGGCCAATCAATTACCTCTTCTCTTACACCACCTACAAGGTACACAGTGCTCTAGATCCTCCTACCTGGAATTTGACTGATAATATTATACCAGTAGCCATCAGGAGAGAAGATCTACCTAGCCTCCGGGTGCAAGGTCCGTTAAAATAACCAGTTGCCGATTTCAGGCCATATTTGGTAGGTTTGAGGCTCATCCAAGGTTCATTTCTACATACAATGTACCATTGACTATATGTATGTAGCTATTGGATCATTTTGCCCAATACTTTTCAAAGGGCTGTCTTTAAAGGTCCGCCTGTTCCGGAACTGGGCTCTTCAGTTTTCCAAATTCAAGAGCCATACGGATGTTCTCAATTGTCCATTCTTCCATGGCGAGCATTGTCTTTCAACAAGTCAGCTTCATATCCTCTTCATGGAAAGGTACATAACTCACCTCACTAGTCCAGGTGCCCATATGGGGAACCAGAATTAACTTCTGGTTGCTGAGCAGCCCAGGATGAATCCGAGGTTCTTCCTCGAAAACATCAAGACCAGCCGAGAACACTTTACCACTGTCTAGGGCTTCAACCAGAGCAGCCTCGTCCATGACAGCACCGCGGGCAGTGTTGACCACTACCACACCGTCCTTCATCTTAGCGAACTCGGCTTTGCCGATGATGTGGCGTGTGTTTTTCTTAAAGCAATCAGCATAAGAACATACTGCGTTTTCTTTTGGAAATGAGAATTACTTACGTTCAATGGCAGATTCAAGCTGACCACGTCACTGGTGGACAAGAGCTCATCAAAAGAAACATATTCAGCACCTGCAGACATCTCATCACTGAGCTTGCGGCGATTATGATAGATGACCTTCATTCCAAATGCCTCTGCCTTCTTCTTTAAGTTACGTCCAATACCACCCATTCCCAAAATCCCAAGAACCTTTCCTTGGGGATCATGGCCGAGAGGAGGTGCCGGACTGCCACGCCATTTGCCCTCGCGTAGGGCGTTCATACCGGCGTTGAAATTGCGCAATGCGCCAAGAATCAGGAACATGTTCACGTCGGCAGTGGCATCGTCCACTGCAGTTGGGACATTGGAAACCCGGACTGGGGGGTTGCGTGTACTACAAGCACGAACGTCCACTTGATCATATCCAGCTCCTATAGAGGTTTTTCATGTCAGCATATACACATTTGAGCACTCATATGCTAATCTAGACGTACCACAGTGCGTGATATATCTGAGTGAGCTTGGTAGCACATTCAATAGTTCCTCATCCACGAGCCCTGTTTGGACCACAGAGCCAATTGTTCGGTATATCGCAACAACGCCATCCAGCTTGCCGTCTTTGCACTCTTGGATGAACTCAGCTCGGTTGGTTGCTGTTGACTCAACTAGCTCTGCAACGTCACCCAATGCATTCCAGGCTGCCTGCGCACTGTGTTTGAAAGATGTTAATATCATGGAATGGATATAAATGGTGCAAACACACGGATCGAACACACTGATCGATATTCCCAAGCTGTAAAACCTTGGGCTTGGGGTCGGTAGAACTCATTCTGATGTCTTGATAGTAGTCGATTCTGTGTTGAGCGAGACAATTAGTGATTTGAGTAGGCGAGGAATGTATAGTGATGCTAGAACATCAACTCTAGGTCAATTTGCCAAAAGGTTCTCTCTCCGATTTTACTTCGGGTCATAATATTCCGGCGCCTTCTCTTGACATGAACTTACCGATAAGCTTAGGGCTGTCTGATCAACGCGCGTATTGACCTAGTTTTTACGAGGAGGGGTTGAAAACACAAGTAGATTCAAATGGACAGAAGTCATAAGAAAAATTCGACTCAATAAGAGTTATAACTTTATGAATTTTACTACATAGCATCGGCCGAGAAGGGAAAAAGTGCCCCACGCTTATCGGGTAAGTCTCCGCATGCCTTTGCGAAGTAGTATACGAGGCGAAAGGGGAGAAACCAGATGAGAGTATTCAATGTGAGCAACCCTATGTTTATTTTGTTATAAACAATGAATTTCAACCGATACGAGTTGTTATGCTAATCTCCGGTTCTATAATGGGAGATTAAGGAGAACAGTACCCGGTGTCTCGTCCCGTAGCCGCCGGCTTGAATGCCGATGTCGTTATCTGTTGACATATTATGATGCTGGCCCACACGAGTGGTACCTGTATCCTAACTTGAATGTGGTATTACGTGGAATGAAGACTGTCCGGGACCATGGTGCTTCCTGTGTTCAACTTTCGAAATGAAACCCGCTACGGTACAAGTAAATGTTCATCCATATGTGTACAATATAGTGTGTCGAGGGGCCAGCTCCAGGCTCACTAGCCTTCGACCAGAATACGGGTCCAATCAAACTTCTTCCAGCGTTTTCTGAATCCGTCAACCCTGCGATCACCACGGTTCCAACGTCCTTGTCGTTTGATGACATCTGGCGCAACATCCAACATTCCTCCGATAATCTCTCGGGCAAAGAGATCTCCACGAGGCCAGCGGTTATCGTCTTCCACAATATGGCCCAAACCACCGTCTATTTCAAACCAAACGTGGAAGTAGGGCATCTCCTTCACGAGAGTTCGGCGGAAGGCAGACCGTCCTAACCCTTGCTTTGATTTGGCAAGAGTATCGATAAGCTTGCGGTGCTGCGACCATTCCGACTCGGCACTGAGAATAGCTTCCTTGAAAAATGCAGGAGAGGTCTCTCCTAAACTGTAGGGTAAAGGCACAACTTCCATGGATGCATGTCGCTTGCGCTGTGGCTGGGCCGCATTCTCGTAGAAGATTACATCTCGACCTTGGTCGTGGTACATCCGCGTGAGACTCTTCATGAAGTTGCGGATTTCTTCCCACTCATCGTCATCACATTCCATCAAGTTAGTGCGATGTTGAATTGGTACGATGGTAGCACCTCCTTCACTGATTTCAGGTTCGGTAGGAAGCGTGAGGAAGACCCTGGTCGCGAGGGATACCACTGGGGCAAGCGGGGGCGTGTTCTTGTCTTCGTTGTGACAAAGGGGGCAGTTGTCCAATATCCGGTTCATCTTGTGGAAGTCACTGATCGTTGTGTTTTTGAGGTCAATCTCAGATCGATGAACTCTTTTGGCCAGCTTGGATGCATTGTCGTCCATGTACTCCAAATCGTTCTAGGCATGGGTTAGCAAAGGAAATAGGGGGCATCATATATAACTCTGGAACTGACCTCGAACTTGGCATCACGGCCAATTTGATCAGCCAACCGTCGTCCCTCTCCGCCGGGTTGGCCGCGGGTTTTGCGCTCTTCTCGCACCATATCTTCAATGCTCATATCTTCATTTGCTTCCACCAAGCCTCTTTCACGACCTCTCTTAGTATCAATGGCTTTGACCTCATTCCCTGAGCCTGCTAGCATCCGGTTATGCATAACATCAAGGACCACAACATCGGATTCCTTGCGGTTTGACATTGCTGCCGCGGCTGTATTGTACTGTTCCTCAAGGGCAGCGGCATCTGGTGCTTTTCTGAGCTTTGCCTTCATCATCTGGGCTTTCAGGCGATTCAATGCCGTCATATCTAGGTGGTGGGTAGTCTTCGGAGGAGGCACAGTATCCATTTTCTTGCCTTGGCCTTCGGCGTTCAGTTCCTGCCCTGGATCACGAACATGTTCGAGAGGATCTCTTCGTGTATCATTTTGGAGTTTCCTTTCTTGGAAGAGCTCCCCACTAGGTTTATCTTTACCCACGTAGGACTTGCCATAGGTCTTGCGCCGATCAATCTCGGTTTCCTCCTCCCGAGCGTCATCAAAGGAGCGAAGTCCTCCAAAACGCTCAATGGCAATATCGTCAATGGGCCTGCCGCTTTCTTCTGCCTCTCTGTAGACACCTTTGAGCTTTGTCATTCTCCATTGTGACCCTGAATCCCCGAAGGTATAGTCTACCTCATGCTGGGCAGGCTCATCTTCTATTTCCTCGACTGTTTCCCCATCTTTGAGATCACGTAGATGGTCGTTAAGCTCTTTGTCGTGGATCTTAAGTTCGTAGTCTGCCGAAAGCATTATTGGTTTCGGCGCTTCCTGTCGCGTCGAATCCGTTCGACGAACATATTCAACGTCGAGGGCCGAGGGCGCTTCCATCCAAGAGTCCCGTTTGAGATTACTGGGCTCCTCCTGTATAACTACTGGAGGAGCAGCGGATTCTCCCTCGTCTTTGGAGTTCCGGTGATGGCGTTTATGGCCATGCTCGTCTCCTTGGTCGTCAGAACGACGTGAACGCTTGTGCCGGTGGCCATCATCATCACGATGCCGAGACTCGCGAACTCGCTCGCCGTCCCGATCGCGAGATCTGGAGGAATGCCGCCGGTGATGGTGACTGGAACGATGACGGTGTTGTCTCGAGCGCTCTTTGCTGCGATCGCGATTTCGGTCTCGATGATGTCGCCCTTCGCTTTTTTCGTGTTGCTGCTCTTTCCCCTCTGCCAATGACTTTTCAAAATCTTCTAAAGTCATGATGCTCCTGGTATGTGGAAATGGGACGGAGCTGAAGCAGAGGGCAAAAGTTGGAATGACGTTGATAAAATGCCGGGCGGTCCAGTCGTAGATCTTTCCCCGCGACAAAAAAAAGATTTCGAGCAGAAAAAAAGAAGCTTATCTTTCATCACTTGTCTTCAACCCTTGAACCATACATTTCGACCACAGAAGTTTCTGTATTTTGATCACTTAATCGGGTCTTTTTTTTAATAGACTACTCACACCATGGCGTCTCCAGTGTCCGTGGTCTGCGTGGGCATGGCAGGTAAGGATACTGATATGCTGATCGCCCCTCACTTATCTGCAGTGATCTAATCGTCAATATTATGGATTCAATAGGCTCAGGCAAGACTACCTTCATGCAAAGAATCAACTCCTATCTACACGAAAAGAAGACCGTCCCATATGTGGTCAATCTCGACCCGGCGGTGCACTCGGTGCCCTTCGAGAGCAACATCGATATCCGTGACTCCATTAATTACAAAGAAGTAATGAAACAGTACAACCTGGGTCCCAATGGAGGCATCTTGACTTCTTTAAATCTGTTTGCCACCAAGGTCGATCAAATCATCTCGCTCTTGGAGAAACGCACCGCTCCAAACCCCGAAAACCCTTCCGTGAAGCCAATCGAACACATTCTGGTCGACACACCCGGCCAAATCGAAGTCTTCGTCTGGAGTGCGTCGGGCAGTATCCTTCTCGAGACCATGGCGACATCGTTCCCGACAGTCATCGCATATGTTATCGATACACCTCGCGCAAGCTCTACCAGCACCTTTATGAGTAACATGCTCTACGCGTGCAGTATCTTGTACAAGACCAAGCTCCCAATGATCTTGGTTTTCAACAAGACTGACGTCAAGGATGCTGAGTTTGCCAAGGAATGGATGACCGACTTTGATGCATTCCAGCAGGCTCTGCGTCAGGAGGAAGACTCGGGTGCCTTTGGAGCTGAAGGCGGTGCCGGTGGCTTTGGTTCTGGCAGTGGATACATGGGCTCACTTCTGAACAGCATGAGTCTCATGTTGGAAGAATTCTACCGACACCTCAGCGTCGTTGGTGTCAGCTCAATGACTGGCGATGGTGTCGAAGAGTTCTTCGAGGCCGTGGAAACGAAGCGACAAGAGTTCGAACGTGATTATAAACCGGAATTAGAGCGCAAGAAGAAGGAGCGGGAAGATCAAAAATCATCCCAACAGGAGCTTGAACTTGGAAAATTAATGAAAGACATGAATGTGTCTGGGGCAAGCCGGCAGCCGCTAAGAAAACCCGCCGGAGAGCCCGAGACTGTCAGTGAAGCCGAAGATGAAGAAGACGACATCATCAAGCGTGGATTGGCAGATGGAGAAGACAGTGATTACGAGGACTATGTGGGCCCTCATGCTAGCAATGACGAGGGTCTCACCCAGCGTTACCAGGAGGCTCTGTCAGGCTCCCAAAGTGCTCCATCAGAGCAGGACAACAGCTTCACAAGATATTTGCGCGCGAGCAATATGCAAAAGTGAAGAGGTGACTCACGAAACAGACAGTCGGCATTTGAAGGGTCTCGATTTTTTTTTAATGAGCTCTTTCGGTCTTAAGGAGTTTGTGGTCTTTAGAGGCGTATTTCATTTATTGCATTCATCCTAGTCAACATATCAGAGTAAACAAATACCATTCGATCTACCTTTGCCTTTGTCTTGATGTAGTATGTAACATGTACAAGTTAGACCTTTGCAAACAAGTCAAACGGCACGGTACCTAGATGACGTCACTTGTTTATAATATTGCAGCCTTAAAAAGTGGAAGCTTCATCTTCTCAGGATCTGACCAATTTTGACCAATTTTGATATAAGCTACTTCAATACCACAAGAAGAGTTCAATCCCATTGAAACACATACCAGCGAACTGCCACCATGGATGTGAGCCAATCCTATCACTGTCCCCAAAGTTACGGAAGATAGTCCTTGGACCGGAGCTCAAAACTAACTTAACAGGTGTTTCGCGCTTACACATACTCGACGGCCGCATGGCTGGCGCTTCAGAGTTTACCTTTGATTACCGGACCAAGCATGATAGTGACAATGCTGCTAGATGAGACTCGGCCTGCTTCCCGTATGTGGCCCACATTTTGAAGGTGCTGCGCGCACCCATTCACGAGCCATGCTAACCCTTCGTCCTTCAAAAGCCATGGAATTATACTTCGCCCGATGCCTCGGCTTCAGCTTTCTCACTATCGCTGTTTTGACCATGATGTTAACCGGCTCCATCCCTCTGACGTCCGATATCAAGGAATCCGTGACAACAGAGGACGACGATCCCAAAGCACCATATGCTGTGCCAACCCTGATGGTAACGTCTGTCTTCCATAGCGCATGTGCTTTTTACGCGTACACCTGGTATGTTTCCGGTGGATCGGGCCTCTTCGCTGTTGCTGTCGCTGCATACTCTAGTATTGCAGCTGTTGGGTTGTGGTGTATGCTCTTTGCTAGCAGCAATGGGAAGATCAGTCACCGTACGGGTGCAGACAAGAGGACGGCGGGCTACCCTTTCAAGAATTCAGAAGCAGCGAAGAAACATGGCAAGGGTCTGTAAGCTCGCGAGGCTGTTCATTAGGATCAATATTGCATCTATGGATTCAATGCGACTAAGTGGTAATATCTCAATATATCAGTCTTTGAAATAGAATAATAATATAAAAAAAATCTTTTTTATAAAATCAAAACAGAGAACCCATAGATGACCAGGCATGTTTTAGTACCTGAGAACCTCATGATGATCCGAGCTTCCCTTAACCCCACAACGCCGCTTCAACCGTCTATCTTCTCAACAAAAGCAGCACGCCTCTCCACAACTTTATATTGTTTACAAGATGGACTCTGAGCTGCGATTGTCATCGCCACGCTTGGGACCTTCTATGCCGATAAACGACCAATCCAACCTACAGTTGGGCCAATTTGATCCGGAGTCGCAATCCTTCGGGCAATTCCGTCCCCCGACCGAAGCTGAATCACAGCTCCAACATACGACGCATGCTTTTATTCGTCCACCACGATCAGGCGAGCTGACGAAAAATTTCATCACTCCGTCTCCATCCACTCAGCAGCAACAATCGCACCAAGGTCACTCTAGCAATGGAGTTGCCTCGCACTTGCAACCGCAAGGGCAATCCTCTAGTGGCTTGCATCAATCGCAGAACTACAACAATGGCGTCGCCCATGCAGCAAATATAAGCGGGGCGTTACATGGCGCTGGTGTTGGACAAATGGCGCCTCCAACGTCGCTGTCCCAAAACGAGCTAGGGATGGGGAACAACACACATCAAGTTCAAAACAACAGCTTAACAACGCTACAGTCCACAAGCCAACAGTTCCAACAGGACTTTATTGGGCTAGATACTGGCTCTGTGGATCAGGTGTCCTTCACTGGGCCTGGAGAGCTGCAAGGCTTCAAAGTGGTTCCAAATCCTCCGCATCTCGATTACTGGAGAGACAGGTTGTTCAATGTCGACGAAATGATCACCCTAAGCGAAGAGGAGTACGCAGACTCCATAGCTGAGATTCTTTTTACTCCACTGAGAGACTGACTTGCACCTACTTTTCTAGATTCCAAACCTATTTCCCCCATGTTGACAATGTATACTCTCATCGCTCAACCCAGCGGTACAAGCGTAAACCATTTGTGTCCCATTACTGGGACTGCCGACTCAAAGGACGACCGCCCGGAACCCCCAAATCCGATGACCCAGAAAAGAAAAAGCGCAAGCGTACGGCTAGAGAACGGGATCTCTGCCATGTCAAAATCAAAGTCGTGGAATATTTCCCAGTGTCTGAAATATCAAATATGACAAATGCAGTCGAGCCCTTACCATCAAACATCCTCCCTGGGATGTACACTTTCTCTCTGAATGATGACCCTGCGATTCGAAATGTCCAAACATTCGGTATGCTCACGCCGAACCCTGGTCTACCACCAAATCATCCAGGATCGAGTGGCGGGAGATATTTCACTATACAGCGGGTGAATGGCAACGGCGCCAATGGGAAGAACGACGGAGTGAGTGGTGGTCATCAACATACGCTTGAAGAAAGCGATCGCGTCAAGAAGAGTAGCGTGCAACGATACATTCTAAAGGAAAAGAAAGACAAAAGGACAAGAGCGGTATGTCACACCAGTTTTGTTCTGTTCATTTGTACCCCAAAACGGGAACGAGTATCCCCGCATGATCCCGGCTACGTCACAAGTCTACATTGACTTCATACTTCTCACCCACCAAGATCAAGATCAAGTCTTCGTCATTTTGATTCCATTTCTAGAATTTTGAATCGTGCAGCTTTAACACAGGATACACAATAGGATCGAGTCATGTCTCGAACGGGCCAAAAATCATACCATACAAAAGCGACGGGTCTGGCCGCTGAAACCGCGATCAAACACTCCGCCGATGTTAATCTTAAGCTATACGGGAGCTGCTTCTGGTGAGATCCCCTCGGGTTTGACTTATTCTAACGAAAGCTTGTTGTATGCTGACTTGGCCTGCATGTTTGAAGCCCCTTCGTGCAACGGGTATGGATTGCATTGGAACTGAAAGGTATCCCGTACCAATACATTGAAGTGGATCCGTACGAGAAGCCTCAGTCGCTGTTAGAGGTGAATCCAAGAGGGCTTGTTCCTGCTTTGCGGCACGACGACTGGGGATGCTATGAAAGCAACGTATTGTTGGAATATGTAAGAAAACTAAATGGCTAATTTCCCATTTCTTTCACTGATCAATCCCTCACAGCTGGAGGATCTGGGTGTAGGGGCTGCAATGCTTCCAGCAGACCCAAAGCTGCGCGCCCATTGCCGGTTGTGGGCAGATCATGTACGTAAACAGACACGCCTGTTCTGGTGATCATCACTGATATCCCACTAGGTCAATCGACATATCGTGCCGAGTTTCTACCGTGTACTGCAAGAGCAGGACCAACAGAAACAGATTGAGAAGACACAGGAGCTACGAGACGCGATGGAGAAGCTGCTTGAAGTGGCACATCCCAAGGGGCCCTTCTTCATGGGCTCGCAAATGTCCCTTGTGGACGTCCAAGCTGCGCCGTGGATCATTCGGCTGCGGCGGGTCCTGAAACCATACCGAGGATGGCCAGATGCTGAGGAGGGAAGCAGGCTGGCCTCATGGATGGATGCAATCGAGACCGATCGGCATGTGCAGGCGACAACTAGCACGGATGAGCTGTACCACGACAGTTATGAGCGATATGCCCGTGAGTATGGCATGCCTTTTCTTTAGTGACACTGCTAACACTTTATGTCATAGAGAACCGCCCAAACACATCCCAGGTCGCAAATGCAATTAACGCAGGACGAGGCCTCCCTTAATACCAGAAGAAAGGTATCTGACAGACAGTGCCCTAGGACGAAAAGATATTGACAAAATGTATATTAGCCTGTTCGAGCACCTCTGTTGAAATTGAAGCCACCTCTTCCACTTGCATCAGGGCCTCGAGGACTGCGCACCGGCTGCTGTGGAGCCTGAGTGTCAGAGCCGCTTCGCTCAACTTGTGGACGGCCACCTCTTTGTAGGAAGGGTGCATTTGACTTGACCGAAGTGGAGGGATCGTAGAGATGCCTAGACTTGCTTGAGGCCGACGAGGAATCTCTCTTCTGATGATCTCTTCCGCCCCCACGTCCTTTGCCTCTCCCTCTGCCCTCGCCTGTAGGAGTTTGACGAGGCGGGGTCGTACTGCCGGGCGACGAGGTACCCGAAGCTGTAGCAGACTGGCTTCCAAACAGACGTTCGCGGACTTCTTCGTACTTTCGCTGCTTCTCCTCCCGATTCTTCAATGCAATAGCATGGCGCTCCTCGGGCGTTAGCTGGGGCGGCCGGGTGTCATCATCTGAGTCGTCGTCTTCATCTAGTCCGAGTCGGCCAAGTCCGGCCGTTGCGGCACTAATTGTTCTCGAGGATGATGAATGTCTTGTCACAAGCTGAGGTTTCCGACTCAGCAGTGTAACTGCGGGTTTGAAGTCTTGCTTAAGGGGGACATCGGCGCGCGCTTCAACAAAGTGGAATGTTTCTGTGGATTCACTGCAACCCAGTTCAGTCTCTTGAAAATCCCACAGAAATGCGATAAGAGCTAGTTGGCAATTGAAACTTACGCTTCAGCCCATAACTGGCGGTTGAATTCCGCCTGTTCTGCCCTGCGTTGCGCCTTGGTCACCTTGGATGATACTTTCTTCTCAGACGGCGGGGTAGATCTGGAGTCGATTTTCTGTAAACGATGGCCATCAGCATGTCATTCATAGTTTGCAAGGATTGAGTAAACTTGAATAGCAGACTAGTGTCTGCACCAAGTGTCACATAATTCCCCAATATTACATACATCTGCTTGGTTTTCCCATGAATCTTCCCAGGCATCGGGAACTGCACCGGAGTTTGCGCTCATTGCACAGATAATGGTGAGTATGATTAAGAATAGAAAGGGTAATCAAAAACAAATATAATAAAAATATGTAGCCTAGTCACGAAGGCCAGCAATAATTCGTATGTTCATGCAGTATATAAGCTAGGGAAGAAAGAAGAAGAAAATTCATGCGAGACGGGCCACCGCCTGTCGACCGTTGATCTCTCCACTCCCCGCGCCTTGAAGTTTGAGAACTTTTGAAACTACAAATCGACCATCTAACACAATTTTTCTAATTCTCAGTCAACAATGGCGATTGGTAGGTTTTTCCTATTTCCTCAAAGCTATACGATGTAGCCGAGAGAGTACAGTGGGCCCGGCGATATCGATAGCGCTTTATACCCACATATGCACCCGCATCTTCTTCCTTACTACAAACTGCAAACCCGGGGTTACATCCATTAACAAAAGCGTCTTTTCAGACCCCAGAGACCCCGACGGTGACTCTACAATGACCTCCTCCGTCGACTCCATCCTTCCCGACGACGGCGCTAGAACCCGCGCCCGCACTCCAACCAGCGCCGCCCAAGCTTCCTCAGCTGGTATCGACGTATCGGAGCTTTCTCCTCCTGGCTCCCAGACAAAGCAAGAGGCTGGCACCTCTGTTGGGGATATTGGGACTGCGCTGGAACACAACGGAGGACAGACTGCAGAGAAGTTGGTTGAGTCGACTCTCGCGGCGTGGAAGAGCAAGCGTGCTCAGGACGAATACCAGCGTGCTATGGAGTATGTCATTGATAAAGACTTCAAGCTAGGTATGTGACTTCTTATCTCTATTGGGTCTATCTTGCGTTCTTGCGTTGTGTTTCATCCATGGATGTCTTTACAGTGTGCTGACTGGATACCTTGTGTTTAGATGAATTCGGGGACCCTTTTGATGAACGTGACTTGGCGGAGAAGTTGCTATGAGTCTCTGTATATCCGGAGGCCATCTGCCACCCGGGCAGCATATGATATGAATAATGAGATATGACTTGGTTCTTTAGCTTGCAGTTCTTTGGGTACATGTACGTTTGGTCTACAATAAGCTGGTAGTTTTTGCTCACCCGTGGGGAATATTATAGACGGAACTGATTCAGTTCACTGCCATACAGCGTAAAAAAAAAAGCCATTCTAGGCTCATTTCGTGCTATTTGGAAGCTTTATAAATGGCTTTGCGAGAGGGACATTCTATACCCGAACTTTAGGGAAATAGATCTGTGAGATGTAGCAAATACTCAGAGCCAATGTCAACCTGCTTTCTTCCCTAATTTTTCCGGTACTCTGGATTTTTGCAGTTGGCTGGTAGCTTGCTAATACCTTCGTTGGCTGAGATATACATCCGAGAGAGAGAGATATATATATATATATTACAAATTCTTCACTATTTGAGCTGTAGCAACGACCTTGGGATTGTGATTGAATTGTTAGGCATCAGGAGACTTCCAATGAGATTCTATACATTGGTGATCGCCATTATGTCCACGTTGGGCTCTCCCATGCAGCGGGTTGGCAGGGCAACGGCGGGTCAAAGGTCAACAAAGCAAAACCATAACGGCCCGCCTCATGGATTTCGCATCCATCACGACACTATCCGACATTTTACTGAGGGGCACGCCCAGTTGCATCCTTCGATTCGCATTTTTTTGGCATTATATTAGATACCTTGGATTACTTGATTTATCCAAACCACTTGAACATACTTTGTCGCCATCAAATTCCAACACCTTTGACACATTCCACGCGTGTCAATAAACATGGAGAACAATCCTCCCTCGCCGCAAGCATGGTATGTCAAATCTTTCTTTCTTTCTGCTTTTGAATTCAATGTTTGTTTTCTTTATATCAAAAAGATCATTCGCACCTCTCGCTCAGGGGTTTGGTCTCTTTTCCCCTTTATTTTGAGACAAGCCGCTATATAGATTTGACACTAACGCAAACTGCTTTATGCACCAGCAGCTCTACCAATCCTCCCACTGAAAGTTCCTTCAGTTTTACGCCTATCAAAGCCTTGAGTGCCTTGCCGCGACTGTGGGATCGCAAGCCTTCGACGCCTGTGCGGGCCGGAGACAAAACACGAAAGCTGTGGAAGCGCATTCGCTTTCCGTTTACTAGCATGAGTAATGCGACAGAGGGCAGACCCACGGGGATTGGCGCCTCCAAAAACTCGGATTATCAGCGTGGTGTGAAGCGCCAGTGTGTTGACCCCGCTGAGGCGGACCAAGAGACTGAGGCCGAGCAACGTGGCCGGTCTTTCCTTGAGACTAAATGGGAGATGCAGGCGTCTCGGAAAAGACGTAAGTTTCTTTCTTCCTGTGCAGGCTGTATACACATCACGCATCGCATTCCGTGCTAGTGCACTCAGAAAGACCTTTCATCTGATAGTTTGCAGGTAAAATGCCCGAATTCGATTTCAGCATTCACGACGAGGGCTCCCATGAGGTGTTTGGTTTTACTGCAAACCAACCTGAGGGAACAGCCAACGATGTTGTCGGCGATGTAGCTACGAATGCGTCACCCCAGCGTCTCAGTGATCTCTGGGCGACTTCCAAGACCCCGGTCTACAACGACGCTATGACTATGGACCTGGATCTTAAGGCATCCGACACAAAGACAGCGCATGATCTACAGTCTAGACCATCCAGCCAAGGCGTGCAGACTGTCATCGACAGTGCAGCAGAGGACAATAACAACGTTGTGTCCACTGCAGAGTCCGTGCAAGATATGACGCAAGAGCAGGAGATCAAGTTGGTGCGATCGGCATTGCGAAGCTCCCTAGATGGAGAAGATGCAGAGCTGCTCAACGACTTCCTGGTCAGGGCGAATGCGAAGCGGGCCGCCAAGGCCATGCATCCCGAAGATGTGAAATCGACGGAGATGTCTTCCAGCACGGAAGAGTCGCCAGAAATTGAATGCTCAACACCGCGATCACGCCGCGCGCTAGAGGAACTGACAACCAATTCACCTTCACCTGTCAAATTGCAATTCTCGCCTAGTAAATATGACGCCATGTGTGGTGCCGATGGTGCCGATGATCAAGAGGATATCATCCCCAAAGAGATCAAGGAAGACCAAGCTCCTTCCAGCCCTACGCATCGCAGAAGCACCCGTACCAAAGGCTCGAGCGCCCCCAACATGCGCAACACCATCTCACTTCGCCGAGCCAAAGGGACAGAATTTTTCCTACAGCGAACTGAGACCCAGCAGGTAGCTATGGCCACAAAGCGCAATACCCGGCTCAACAAAGGCAAATATATAACTCCCCTGGCCGCCCTGGAAGCTATGGCCCAACAGCCGAGCGAGGAGGAACTTCAGCCTGGTAATTCAAGTGAGGATTCAAATCACAACGACGCTAGCTCCCGTGGGCGGACAAAACCGCGAAAGCAAGTGTCATGGAATGAGGAACGCATGGCCGAGTATGAAGAGTACAGAGAACCAATGGACGAGCAGGAAAACGAAGAGGAGGGTAACCGATGCACGAATGACGTGGGGGTAACGCCTCGCCCGCGACCAGAAAGCAAGCGCTCAGCGAAGCCAGCAGAGTCTAGTCATCGCAGCAGCCGTAGCCAAACGCAAAAGGCAGGCGAGAATGCAGGCAGTGAGGCCGAGAATGGCCCAACCGCCCCGGCTACTGCACCTGCTACCGTAACCCCGCGCTCGCGCCGGGTGAGGCGTTTGGGCGACTCTGGAATCTTGGGGTCTGGAACTCCAGTTAAGACCGGGGGTCGCAGTACAAGCAAGCCTCCCGCAGCCTCGGCGCACGCCGTGGCTGCTGCCCCCTCCACACCCACCAAGGGCCGCCGCAAGCTTGCTCCCAAATCCCCCATCTCGTCCAAGCTTCCTGCACCAGCCTCCAAGAATGTCAATATTACCACCGATCAGCCTTTCGTCAGTGGCATTCCAACCCGCAGCTCAAAGAGCACAGACGATGGAGAGGGAAAGAGTATGCTTCAGATGAGCGCAGGGTGCACACCCAAGGCCCGGCGCGTTCGGTCGAGATCTTGATTATCACCGAGTATGGCGCGATTCTCATTGGATTATACGACTCTTATACCCTCCTCTAGCTGGTCTATGGTTCTTTTTATATCCCAGTTCACATTCTGACGCTCTTCAATTATCTGGGGAGTTGCTTGAGTTTTTAAGATACCAATTGCTTGTTTTTTCTTTTCATGTATGCATTGTTAATGAACTTGAAATTTTCCACTTCATCTTGATCAAGATAAGATCGTGTAACTGCACGGTTCACCTGCCCTATGCAGAATGACGTCTGTGCCGTTACGCCACGCTGCCCCTCCAACCTTCGGGGTTGAGGGACATTTCCAATCTTGGAAGGTTATCCTGTTCAATTTCTGATCATCTTCGGTTGTAATCAATATTCGCGCAGTCCTAGCTTATGCGCCTAGCCGTATTGACAAGCCCTAGGCTCGACGATATTGCGGGCAAAGCGTCAATTCCGTTGATGATCCCTCATGCCAGTGGCTTGCATAGAATTTTTTTTTTTAATTGAGTTACCTCCAATCATACCCTCCAATCATATAAAGTACATGTTGGTGGCTGCTGGTGGCTGCCAAGGTTCTAAGGTTGTTTCTCGTACTGATAGTTGATACATGCTGATCTCTTGTTTTGATATTTGCAAAGAGCAGAACGAGTCTGCAAGCAGGCTGCGTTGCAATTTGCAATGTCTTTCATACAATGATATAGTAGATGCAGTTGTATCTCATAATGGCATTCCACCTCGCATTGAAGACGTGTTGTACTACGAGTATATGTCCAATATGAATACTTAATCAGACTGCACGATCTCAACGCTGCAGCCCATCATTGCAGTATGCATATGCTGTAGATGCCACAAGCAGTCACCACCCTCCTTATTGCAGGCCAAGAAACAGGTTAACGAACTCCAACTATGATGTATTTGCACAGTCCCTGAAGTTCCTCCCCTATCGGCTCAATCGGGATCACCGATCTCAACACTCGGCATCCAAGAACCCGAACGAGAAGTCTCAAATAAAAAGTCAAAGAGTGTTTCATTACCAACGAAATGAGGCATTAAATCCCGGCAATACAAAGTAGTAGTCAATCCCGTCTCTGATCGGCCAAACGGAAGAGAAAAATTCCCTATAGGACTAGTGTAGCATACAATACATAGACACAACTCCGTACTCCATACTCCATCAGCATGGACCAATAGCAAATCAACACCAACGCACTAATCAACATTCAATGAACAAATTGTACAAAAGCAAACAGCCAACAACAGTGTGCTCTGACCACACCATCAAAAGACCATTACCCTATTCGGCCTTTCGGTGTTAACCACAATCAGTATTTCCTCTTATTCCAATATCCCATGGCCCGATTGGCACATCCGACATCTCCGACATCTCCCGGGCTAAACCGTAGTCAGCAACGCTAGAACCCGATGTGGTAAGCTCGAGAACGCTAAGCCCCTTAAGTGGCGCAGGGGGTTCCGAGAGCCACAAGTCAACGCGAGATGACATCGTCCGCAGGGCTCGGAGCACACTGCTCCTATTTTGTTGCATAGAAATGCTATCCGCTTTTTTAAAGTTTTATTTTTGAATATTGGGACAATCATTGTATGTTGTATGTAGTATAGAATTAATTTATACGACGGTTGTATGTTGTAATGTTTTTTGGCCGCTTTTGTAATCACTGGTTTTTCGATTAAGGGGCTAGTCAGGTACAGTGTAACGCTACGGGTGCTTTTTTTTTTTGGAGAGATTTATACGTTGCTTATTGGTTGATCCTAGTAGGCTATATGATTGTAACAAAGTACATACTACTCCGTACTTCAGGGTCCTTTAGTTTGCAAATTTTGTGGGAGGTTCGCTTTTGGTTTTATGTTCTGTTATATTCTTACCATTGTTCTTTTTACATAATATTGCAATCTTACCTATTCCTGGTTGGTTTCAACTCGACTCGTTCATTGGATGTAGGCAGTATTGATAGGTGGATCTTGGCGGGGGGTTAGACCTACGGAAGGAAGGCTGTGGCAGCCGGTGTAAGAGATTAGGTGACTTAGTACCCGGATCAAATGCAAGCGGCTCAAAAAGAAACCCGAGTTATACCTTGTACAATGTACGGCTGAAACATAGTATAGTAAGATCCATGGTATGTCCAATTCATCTAACAGAGTTCGTAGTCCGTTCATTTAATCATTTCTACCCAAAATTCCCGTTTTGGGAGGTATTATTTTTTGTCTTTTTGTAAATTGGTCAAGACAAAATCTAAAGGGACAGCCCCTCGGCAGTCTCCTCGGGCCAGACATCGTAGCCAAAGGTATCGCGCATGTTGACGAAGCGGCAGTGGCGGCCCTTGGCCACCTCATTGACAGCCTCGAAGTCGGCATCGCTGAGCTCAATGCTCTTGAAGTTGGACTCAATGCGCTTGGGGTTGGAGCTCTTAGGGAGAACACTGTAACCACGGCGCAGACCCCAGGCAATCAGAACTTGAGCAAGGGTGTTGCCGCCCTTCTCGGCAACGGCGTTCAGGGTCTTGTTCTCGCTGACCCGCTCGCCCGTTGTGGGGACCTGGTTCTGCGAACCAAGAGGCGAGTAGGCCTGGGGCAGGATGTTGTGATCGAAGCAGTACTGTACCAGCTCGTTGTTGGGCAGGAAGGGGTGGATCTCAATCTGGTTGACCATGGGCTGGACCTTGGCGAACTTGGCCATGGCCTCAAGCTGGGGGATGGTCCAGTTGGACACACCGATGGCCCTGGCCTTGCCATCGGCATACAGCTTCTCCATGGCGCGCCATGTCTCCTCGGGGTTCTCAGTCAACTCCTTAAGGATCACGTACTAGAATTGTGTTAGTTGGGAGCTGCTCGTGTGCTCAATTGCGGGGTAAAGCTGGCTTTCTCTTACCTTTCCATCGGGACCAATCTTGGGCTTCTCCTGACCATCCTTCTCAGCAGCAATGGGCCAGTGGATGAGGAAGAGGTCAACATAGTCGAGCTTCAGACGCTCGAGGGAGTTGTTGATGGACCAGAGGACGTCATCGTAACGGTGCAGGTGGTTCCAGACCTTGGTGGTCACGAAGATGTCCGAACGCTTGACGGAGGGATTGGCCTTGAGGAAATCACGGATGCCATCACCAACCTCATCCTCATTGAGGTAGAACCAGGCACAGTCGAGGTGACGGTAGCCTGTGTTGAGGGCAGCAGTAACGGCGGCGTAGGTCTCGCCCTTGGAGCCCTCGCTGGCGAAGGTACCGAAGCCAACGGCAGGAATGGTCACGCCGTTGTTCAATGTGAAAGTCTTTCCAGATGACATGATTGTAATGTGATTTGAATGTAGTCAAAGAGTAGAAAGAGGGAAAGATACGAGGTCTTAGAAGATAAAGATAGAAGAGTGGGGGAAGCTAGAGAGCGATGACGATGGTTGAAAGTGGGGTTGGAGGGGTTAAGAGGGGCAGGACAATCCGGGAATGGAAATTATTATATAATTTGGTTAATTTCAATTGACAATTGAATTTTTTGAATTGCAATGCAATACGGAGTAGTAGTATTGCAGTGCAGATATACAAATATACATACATATACTGCAATTTAGCCTGACTTTCTTTTTTTATATATGTCGATCAGAAACCCTGACTCTTATAAAAGAACCTAGTCATTCAATTAAAGAAAATAATAAATGAAAATGAAAATGAAAAAAAAAGAAATACATAAATACATAAATACATAAATATGTAAATATGTAAGAAATATTAAATGAAAAGTACTAAAAAAATTAAAAAAAATAATCAAATACTGCAAAAGTGTAAAATTACCACTAGTAACTTTCAAAAACTCCATTGCCATGACATCACCAAGCAAAACGGTAATGAGCGTTTTGAGCTGATCGTCATCGGCTCCATCGATCTCATGTCGGGTCCACGGGCGAACCTGCACTTCAGTCCAATCGTCCGTCCATCTCAGGTCTCCTTCCTACCCACTCGGCGTGTTGTGTTGCTTCATACTCGGCCCAGCAAGTCGGGTCCTATCCAATCAGCGCCTTTCTGATTCAATTCGGCCACGGGAAGTAGAACATCCCGTGTACTGGGTACATGGCGAGACATGGTGTCAGCCACAATGACGCAGGTACCCTGTACAAGCTTGTCTAATTGCAAGAAAATGGGCCTTATATCTTGCCAAATGATGACGATAATTCCTAGGGATGATACCCGGTGAGTGGATCCCTCGTAACCTCAATGGCAAAATACCAATTTCGTTTGTCCATTGAGGTCCGGTATCAGATAGGGCTTGTATATATACTCTCCTGAACTCCCTCCTTTGCCATCTTGATTCCTTATCAGCCATTTTTCATTCTCCAGCTTTTTTTTCACTTCAATTCTTCCCTTTTAAAAAAGAGTCAATCCAGTGACTTCCTAAGTAGAAGCTCACTCATCCTTCTACTTCCTCTCCATTCAATACTTTCATCATGGCTCGCTTCGAGGACTCTGATTTCGCAGTCGATGCGGCTGCCCAAGACCCCCGCGCACAGGGTTCCCACGGTGCTCTCTCGCCCCGGGACCGCGCTCCTAGCTCCGGCCTCGCCATCCCCTCGTCAAGCGGTAACACCGTCGAGATCCCCGCCACTCGCAGCGCTATCAGTGATGCCGCTCAATTTATGCACAACCTGAGCTTGTCTCCCTCCATGAAGGACCGCCGGGGCTCGCGCAATTCCTTCGGCACTTCACTCCCCATTCCCCGCTCCCCCCGCATGTCCCGCCTCTCATCTGTGCAGCGCGGTGCTCCTTCAGTCTCCCGGGACATCTTGGCTTCCCAGGTCCAGGATATTAACAAGGAGAAGACTGCCAAGGCCAAGAACATGGCCTTCGCTTTCGACATCGATGGTGTGCTGGCACACGGTAACCACGCCATTGAGGAGGCCAAGGTCGCCCTGAAGATGCTTAACGGCGACAACGAGCTTGGCATCCGCATTCCTCACATTCTCCTCACCAACGGTGGTGGTAAGACCGAGGAGGCTCGCTGCGCTCAGCTCTCCGAGATCCTCGAGCAGCCCATCTCCACCGACCAGTTCATTCAATCGCACACTCCCATGCAGGCCTTGGCTGAGTACTACGAAACCGTTCTGGTCCTTGGTGGTGAAGGTTTCAAGATTCGCGAGGTTGCCGAGAACTACGGTTTCAAGACTGTCGTTCACCCCAAGGATCTCCTCGCCTGGGACCCCTCCATTTCTCCCTGGGCTACTCTCACCGATGCGGAGCGCGCCGAGGCCAAGCCCCGTGATTTCTCCCAGATGAAGTTCGATGCCATCATGGTCTTCGCCGATTCCCGTGACTACCAGACCGATTTCCAGGTCATTATGGATTTGTTGCTCGCCGAGGACGGCAAGCTCATGACCAAGGCCAAGGACCCCGTCGCCACCCGCATTCCCATCTACTTCTCTCAGGGTGATCTTCTCATGCCCACCGAGCACAAGGGTCTCCCCCGTCTCACCCAGGGTGCCTTCCGTATCTCCGTTGAGGCCCAGTACAAGACTCTCACCGGTGTCGACCTTGAGCGTGTGGTCTACGGTAAGCCCGAACGTGCTACCTACACCTACGCCGATGAGGTGTTGAAGGCTTGGATGGAGGAGCTCCACGGTGTTTCCCGTCTGCCCGAGAACGTCTACATGGTCGGTGACAACCCCGCCTCCGATATCATCGGTGGAAATATGTACGGCTGGAACACTTGCTTGGTCCGCACTGGTGTCTTCCAGGGTAAGGAGGGCGAGAACGACCCCAACAGCCCTGCCAACTTCGGTGTCTTCAACAACGTCCTCGAGGCCGTCAAGGCTGCCGTTGCCAAGGAACTCGGTGCCGATTTCAAGCTCAAGTGGAACCCCAAGGTCAACCCTGTCACTCACGGTGATGGTGCCTCTGCCATTGAGTAAAGAGACAATTGATTGGTCACTCCCGATTCTTTCACGCTGCAACGAAACACAAAAAACATGTGATACTGGGCTTGGGAAGATCTAGAAGATCTCCCTCCGTGGCGTTTTCCTATCTTTTTCTATGTCGTGTCATTTCATAGACTTATTTTCCTTTCTTTTTCACCGTTTTTTTTTATGCATGTGGCCCTTGAATTTTGGCCTTTTGAAGATTTTCGGTTCTGGGCTTTAGGACTTTCGATATCCTCCAACGTCGATTTGCATTATCGACTTGAGAAAAGACTGAGATTTATATTCTACTTTCTACAATAAGGATGGTCGGTGATTTCGACCTGGTATTTTTTTATTTTTTCCCCTTCCGTTTTAGACTGGATTCCTACATCTTATGTGCCATGACCTGAAGAAGCTTTTGGCTTTTTGTTCTTTTTTACACATTTCCGCATGCAGTTATATCCCCAAGATTCCAATACCAAGCCATGCAATTCTTATTGATGTCATCAGTCGACTCTCTTGAGTAAATCTTCGTGTCGTTCCAGGGGTCCAAGTCTAAAAGGGCAGTCATTGACGACATGATGTATCATCCCTTAGAACATAACTAGACCTCTGATACGGTAGTTTCTAGTATTTTCCACGTTTATATCGCCAGGCCATCCATGGATGCGTATAATATTCTTCGAGAATTGAATTTTACAACTAGAATCTGAGGACCTGAGAAATTGACGCCAAAAACGGCCGCCTTTCCACCCGTAACTACCCACATGAAAAAGAATGGTAGATCGCAGGACTCCGGTGACCATGGCATTAGAATGATGGCTCGGTCGCACCTTGTAATTTAAAGGGAAGTGAACTGAATAGGACTATGTAACTTCAACGCACCGTCGTTTTGGCGAAGTGTTATAGATTAGTAAGTTTATAGTCGCTATAGTCGCTTCTCCCAAGTAGACTTATGAAGAACCATCAGACCAATTACATGTTTATTGGACCTTGATTTCTTCAGCTTTTGTGCCCAAGACTGCAGCGTCCCTAGCACAGCTACATATTCGAGGAATGGCATATGACCGCGATCGCGACTAAATCAATGACAAAAGCGTAGAACTTAGATGAGCACTTCACTGGCTACGTTAGATTTTCCTGTCCTTTAATGCCTACGTTATTGTATGCGTTAAATGGAGTACCTAGAGATAGTTATGCATATGTCTCGTCAATGAAACCGGGCCGATCACTTGGGCGAGAAGGGACGCTAATGTACATGCGCCTACTTGCTTTTCTTCCTGGTATTACCAATCTTGGAATGGGCCTCTAACTAGTTAGTTAGTTACTACCCAGTTAATAATTGTTACCGATCAATTAATCAATTAGTAGGTAGTTATGAAGCTTATATATCCGTCTCTGTATCTAATTTGGTGTATACATTTTTTAAAAAAAATACTATATTTAAAATCGTTGGCGTGCGTGCATTAGCGTCTTTTCTCACTGTCGTAGCAGGGTAAACCAGACCAAATCCAGTCCTTGTTTTTTTTTTTTTAGGAAAAATGTATGTACTTATATACCTATGTTGTAGAAGGCTGTGAAATAATAACATGAAAGGTTAAATATTGAAGCTCGCCGTTGAATACTGTAAATATAAATATCTCAAAAGCGCCCGCACTAATGCAATCTGACCCGCCGCCTTAGCGCTGGCCAGACAGTGTATGCCACGTGTATGCCACGACCTCATTTGAAGTGGGGGTTTCAGCTTAGGCGTTAAGATGGAAACCGCAGGTCAGAAGGCTGCAAGTTCACACGGGGCTGAACTTGGAACTGTCACCTCGAGAGATTGTTTGAGAGCCATAGGAAAATCATTATCAGAATGGCTCATGATAATCTGAATACGAAGCATGACAGACGACACAAATTGAAGCGCCCTTTTTCCTGGGCGAAAAACTTGCTTCAAGGAAATGGAAACAACAGGCCTCAGGCGTCAGCAGCCGAGACACTGCCTAAGAAAAGCAACACCCACAATGCTCCGAGTTCTTCGAGCCCAGTAGGGGGTCAGTCCATTAGTACCGAAAAGGATCGGACTAGCCAGAGCCACTCGACTGCAAGCGATCCACAAGCACCCGGTACCCAAACCCAGCCTGATCTGTGGCAAGAAGCACTATACGAAGCTCAGAAGTCCACCGACTGGAAATCCCACAAAAAGGAGTACGATGAAGCAGTTCAAAAGTGTCTAGAAATAAACCAAAATACTTTGAACGGCAATACCAATGATGGATCTACCAACCTAGCTGATGCGATATCGAATCATCTGCAGTCACTTCAGAGACAAGTCCAAGAAAGACAGTGGGGATACGAAAATTCCAAGGGCGAAACGATTTACTTCCGAGACGTTCTAACACGTATTGTAAAATGGGTGGGAGTCTTCAAGGATCCAGGAAATCAGTTGGCTGGTCTAGATCCCACCAAAGCAGCCTCGTTGGTCTGGGGCTTTGTACAATTCTTTGTTGAGGTAAGTATGATTTTGCGAATGAGCCATGCAGTTGTGGTTAACATAGAGCAGAGAGCTGTAGTTTACAGTGGAACCAGGGATCTGGCCATTGATCAAGAGCCCATTGCGAACCTGCTAAGCCGATATGCATTGATTGAGAATTTTCATCTCAACAATAACCCAGGGGGCATCGACAGTGTGCACAATGAAGTCCGGAAGAAGATAAGTCAGCTTGTACGCTGCGGTGATTCTCTATCAAATGGCAACTTTCAGGTTCTGGACACAAGGCAAAATCACCCATGGCATACAGTCTCTGGTTCCTCACGAGCTCAAGGAGCTCTCGAATTCGATTACAACACAGTCAAATGAGGTTGAGACTATTCTATCTGTTAGCAACAGAAATTTGCTGCATAAAATATTTGAAAATACCGAACCAATCAGCCAGATCGGCAGTCAACTGAAACTGGTTCTAGATGTGGTCGTGAATATCGACAAGAAGAAACATTCAGAGGTCTTGAAATGGGTTTCACCAATATTACACATGGACCATCGTCACTTAATTCGGCCCATGGAAGGAACGGGGGCATGGCTACTCGACCATCCAGATTGGCAGGAATGGAGACAATCACAGAAGTCAGGATTGTTCTGGCTGCGAGGGAAAATGGGGGCAGGAAAGTCAAATCTGGTGTATTTGCTCCCCACTTCTTGCATTGCCTATTAGCTATGGAAAGTGCTGATTGTTACTCCTTAGGTCTTCTGTGATATCTCATCTACAAAAAGCAAATCCCAACGGCGAAGAACATGTTGCATATTTCTATGCAAACCGTACGACCCGAGCGGATGAGACCAAGTCAGCTGAAACAGCGCTAAGGTCTTTGCTCAAATAGCTTGCAATGCAGGGCCAAACGGCCTTGCTGCAACCAGTTGTCACACAATATGATGAAGTCCATAATAATTCTAGTCTCTACAAAGAGGCTTGTGTCGATCTGCTTACCGGTATCGTCAAAGAACATCGTCAGACAAATATTATCATCGATGCATTTGATGAGCTAGAGGATGACGATGTCAGAAGGGAATTATTGGAATCTCTGAAAGAAGTAACCAACGGATCACAGGGCTCAGTGGTCAAAATATTCATATCGAGTCGCGATTATGTTCAGATTCGCAACTTGATGGATGAAAGCTGGGCTGCTCGGAAGGAGATTCTTGTTGGAGAGAAGAACTACCAAGACATTGAAAAATTTATCGATGAGCGTCTGCTGGTCCTACAGAGAAGGCTTGATCGGCCAATCCCAAAAGACATTAAGCTTGACATAGAAGCTCTACTGAAGGAACGATCGAATGGAATGTAAGAGTCATTGATCTCTGGCCCAAGAACTTACTGACACTGTTAGGTTCTCCTGGGTGCATCTCTCGTTGAAGTATCTATTGAACATCAACGCAAAGGATCCAGCTACATTCGTCGATGATTTGAAATCAGTCCCTTCAAGTCTAGAGCAAGCCTACAAAAAGGTTTACGACTCTCTGCTTCAAGGCCAAAGCCCTGAAAGAACATCCACTATTCACCTGATATTGTCCCTTCTTATGTATGGATGCCAAAGAGAAATTTTTCAGAGCTCGGCATTTCTTTCGGCAATTAATTACAAAAAAACCTCCGACCTATCGGTAAAGGATGTTCTAGATCTATGTTCTACATTTGTAGAGCTAGATCCTGACACAGAAGTTTTTCAGCTCATTCATTTATCAGTCAAAGAGTTTCTCCAGACTTTGCCGCAATATGAATCGATGGCTGCTCATGCGGTTATTGCCAATCTTTGCTTCTCTTATCTGAATGAACAAGACTGTATCCATTTTTATAGTCGCTCTCCTCGCCGCACCCATCCACACAATAATAGAACACCGGAGCGCTATTATTTTGAGTGCTACGCCGCCGAATCTTGGGTTCTACATTCAGCTGGGGCTAGAAGTTTGAGACAGACTTCACCCCTCAAACAAGCATTGCTCGAGTTCTGGCCACAAGAGGGAAGCACCGGAAAATCTCCCTTCGAAAAATGGGCCAATCGTCTGGAGAGGTTCAAGTATGCCAGTTATGTCCTGAGACCAATCATCCGTGGAGGTTTCAGATCCTTGGTCTTGGACTCGAAGCCGACGACATTCTTCCTTTCCTGTCAATACGATCTCAGAGAAGAGGTCGAGAGGCAGCTGTCAAATGGGTGGGATATAAATGCCATAGCACCTAGTGTTGGACCGGGACTGTCCTTTGCATGTATTGGCAATCACATGGAGCTGGCATCATATCTGATTCGGCGTGGAGCCAAAATTGTGTTGGAAAACAATTATGAAGCCTCGCCTATTTTTGCAGCCGTTGAATGCCAAAATGCGGAAATTCTGGGATTGCTGTTGGATCATGGAGCAGGCAAGGCACTGCAATCAGCATTGGAAATGGCTTTGTGGGACAGCAGCTGGAAAAGAGATTCCAACTTACCGTCCACGGTATCTCCGAGACCGGTGAACCCAAAGGTGAAAATGTTGCTTGACCATTCACCCCATTTCGAATATTCTTTGGGAGTGCAAAGAGGAATGTTCAGCGGAGGGGCTGAGTTGCTTCAATTGCTTCGCGAACGAAATCCTTCATTGTGTGTCACTAGTGAAACACTAAAGTGCCTTTTCGAATCACCGATCCTCCCATCTGAGATTATAAGCCATATCAAATTCTTGATTTCTTTAAATAGCAAATTAGTGGCTTCTGAGTCCTTGCTAATTGCTCTCAGATGCTATACGGAAGATCTCAGATGGCACGAGGGAGAATGGCACGAGGGAGAATGGCACGAGGGAGAATGGCATGAGGGAGAAGAAAACCCACTAGATGTCATCAAATACATCTTGAATGATTTGAATCCACCTGACTTGTCAATTTCAATATCCGAGGCTGCGGTGTGTGCGGCACTTGATAACTTCCGGAACGCAATGATATTCACTGAGTTCTTGTTACAAGCAAATCCTTCTATGAAGATATCTGATGATACAATCCTGCGGGCTGTTCGAACGTCCAACACATCCGCCATCGGGGTCATTGATCTTCTACTTCACCATAACCCGGTGGCTCGAAGCTTTTCACTACCAGATGTCAAGAGTGCAGTGGATCGTTTCCATTATATCACCAGGCTGATGGCCATGCTTTTGAAATCTTCTCCCGAATTGGAGGTTGATCAAGAAATTTTCACCAAAGCAATTAGAGAACCCTGGGCCAATTTTGAAGACTTCCAGGCTCTTCTTTCTCGTGCCTCAAATATCTCTCTCACACCGGAGCTTCTTCGTGGCATATGTTCGGATGCATCTGACCGGGTCATGCGTGAAGTTGTTATTTCAAGTATACCCGAGTTAATTACCGATGAACTCTTGATGGCTGCTCTGGGTAAGGATTATCTTTCCGGGATTCCAATTGGTGGTTTGGATTACAGACCTCCGCCTCTGACAATGGTCGAATTACTGTCTCGGGCCCCGGACTCATTGGAATTGTCCGAAGAGACTTTGTACCTTGTCTGCAAATCTACTCACTGGATTATGAATCAAGTATTTGAGCGTTGGCCCAGCGTCCATTTGTCAGAACGTGCGGTGGAAGCCACTCTGGGTGATGTACGAAAACTTCGTACCCTTGTGGATAAAAGGCCTTCATTTGAGGTCTCTGCTCGGGCTATCACATCTTTTTGCGGCTCATACAATCATCCAAATCCGGTCGACACTCTGAAGGAGATATTGATTTTTCAGCCAAGCATTATAATCACCGAAGAGATGCTCCTCGCAGCTACTAGTGAACCCCAGGTCTTCGAAATACTTCTAGGACACGATCCTTGCGTGAGCATAACTGACGAGGTGATTGAAAGTTTCATTAAAAGCCAATACTGCATCCGCTTGCTGCATATAATATTGGCCGTCCGAAAGGATTTTCACTTCAGCCCACGGTCTATTAGTAAAATCTGTAATAAAGATGACTTTAGTGAGGTTTTCGAGGCAATTTTGGATGAAGCTTTTGCTAGGTTTCGAACTACCATACTGGGTGAAAGTGAAATGCGTGATATTATCACTACAGGTTCTCCCAGAAGTCTTAGGAGGATACTGTCGCGAAGGTCAGATGCGATTGTGACAGAGAATCTCATCAGAAATCTGATCGATGGAATTAAAGCTGATGAAAATGGCAATTTTCTTTGGAGATGGAAGTATTACTTTGAGTATGAGGTGTTTGATATGTTGCTAGATCGATCTGGCCTGGCGGATCTCACACGTCAGCTATTGAAAGCCGAAGTTCGGGGTGTAATTCAGGAGTAATCGAAATCCAGATTGACTCATTGACTCACCATTCTCTGGTTACTCTGGTGCTGTTCATTGTAATTTGTATTAGACAATAAATGAGCATATAATTTACAAGCTTTGAAAGATGGGAAAGAATTGAAGCTAAAACTGACTTCTCTCGCCTTTTTAGCGATGCCGCAGGCATCTTTCAAAACACGCACTAATCTCGCAGCTGCTAAGGTCGAGAAACCAAATAGAATAAGCATGGAGAGAAGGGTGGCCCCTTTCTTGTTCGACAACACCTACACACTGAGCTGTATGCTCGCACGTACGTATAGGGACGTACAGGGTTGAAGGTTATCGCTATCCCTTCTTATAGTACTAGTAACTGTATCCAGTACTAGATATCTTGGAATAGCAATGACTTACTTTTCGAAATCAAAGGACTCATATAGGCAATGGAAAATATACAAACACACCTGAAGCTACAGCCCACTTCGATGTTAGTACCTTTATGGAGACTCTTAGGAAACTTCGAGCTGATCAGCATGACTGATGAAGAGTTGGCGTCTTGATTGAGGAACTGAGAGAAAATCCAAACTATCCAGTATCCCATGACATTGTGTTGTGTGGTACAAAGAGCTTCACATCTACCTCACTACAACAGTTGGACTTGGATAAATTGATTTGAAACGTCCATGAATACGTGCGTATATATACTAGGCCTAATTGGGGTTTGCGATTCATGGCTGCTGTTGCCCATACACATAGAATAATCCACAAAAACAGCAGATTTACAGAGCGTACATAAAAAACCCATACATACATATGTACATGTATGTATGTATGTATCAAAATTCTATACACACCCAGAAACAATGTCTCGGGAAAGCCAGGAACTAGAAGAAAAGAAAGAAGCAAAGAACAATTTCCCTTCAAGCTCCAAGACACTGGGGTGAAGCACATACATAGTGTATAACTGCCAGAGTGGCAAAACACCTGGAATCTACCGAGACACGCATGCTATGAGTCGGGTAGGTACACCATTTCTGGATCACACGTTTCTACTCCGGGTTTCTAGACTACGGCGTTTGAACGGGTATGCATGTCTTGCCCCGGTGACGGGGTACCGGGACGGGACTATTATTGTCTCGGGTTCTGCGTTTGTTCTCCAGGAAATATTGTAGTGTGGTTGCAGACCTGTGGTACTTTCTACCATGTCTTATATGGTATGATATATATGTGTCTGAATGTCATGTCACACTATATATATCGGAGCCTGGAATATCCGAGCGTAATACTCAGATATAGTGGTCTTTTTGGCCTAGTGTGTAACTCCCCTGTCCAGGGGCAGGTTGTAACCGAATATTGAATATCTGGTTGAGTATGGCGAGATGGCCAACCTAGTTTCCCTTCTAGACTAGAGCGGACTCTGATGATACCTATTTCACTACATATATTCTCTATAGCCATTGATGAGCCACACTGGGAAGATAGCTTGAGCCTTGAACTATGTATTGATGTATTGCTGCAGCTCTATTGTCAATTATGTCCCCTCCCGATACGATTCTCTGGACCTTGATATCTTGATCGTGCACTCGTGTACCTTGGGTGACGGATCCAGCCAGGTCCTACTTGTATTTAATTGTGGGGTCAAAACAAATGGAATACGAGGGTTCCTGAATTCCTGCTTCCTCTTATGTAGAAAAAGTATACGATGTAGAATTACCTTTCATGTAAGAAGCCCTGGTGTAACCCATCCTGGGATGTTTGTTTGCCATTACTGCCTTGCTTTTCAGGATGCCATTAGCTATATTACCTAGCCTCTTGCCAATAGAGACATCAATCCTCTTTCTCTCCTTCTTGCGCCTGGATCTTTACACTCAACAGCCTGCTCATAGAAGTACATTCTCCCTTTATCTTATTTTACTAATTTGTTTCATAACAATTCTTTTTCATCAACAAAGTAACCGATAGCCATGGGATCCTACATGGGTTTTGACATGGTTCCACGCCTATCAGAAGGGCTGGTACATAAACAAAATTGGCAAAAATTCTTGAATGCCATCAAAGAGCGTTACCAAAACGACGATCAAGTCGAAGTAAAGCCTAACTACATTGCATTCAAGGCCGACCCAGACCTACTGCTTCCATTTGAATGTCACAAGTTCCTGCGGTTTGGCGCAATGATTCCGAATGAGGACTCCAGTGGATTGAGGAACTATATCGATACTGTCAGCCGGGTAGCCGGTGTCAGCTTCGGATCGAGAGGTTACTGTTGGAATGAGGGCTCAGGGGTATTAGGTTTCTATGCTTGGGATGACGTGAAACGATCGATCAGATCTTATGAGCAGGTACGATTGAAAATACCATGATTTACTACCGCTCTCTGACATATGAATAACTAGTTCGACGAACCGGAAATGCCAACCACTATAGCCCAACTCGTGCTCGGTACCGATCCAATCAGTGAGCTCGGTCTGCCACTATACAAAGCACAGCCAGTGCTAGGCAAGGGACAAGGCCTCGTGGCGCGCTTCAACATCGCAAAAGGCCAATTGATTATTTCCGAGAAGCCATTCTTCACAACCTCGAAAATTGCAAGCGCAACCACAATGGAAAAACAAATGGCAATCGAGCTGCGGAAGCTATCAAAAAACGCCCAACGCCAGTTTCTCTCCCTGCACAACAATTTCCCTGGAAAGCAACCGTTCAGCGGCATTGTCCGAACAAACGCTCTACCATGCGGCTCCGAATCTCCAATTGGAGGTGTATACCCCACCATCTCGCGGATCAACCACAGCTGTCTGCCCAACGCACATAACAGCTGGAACAGCGAATCAGGATACGAAAATATTCACGCCGTGCGATTCATCAGCGCGGGAGAAGAGATCACCATCCCCTACGACCACGGGGGGACTTCAGACGAGCGACGTCGTTATCTGAAAGATGCATTCGGCTTCGACTGCGACTGCAGCATCTGCTCCAGACAACCCACTGAACTGAAACAGAGTGACGAGCGCCGTCGCCAGATCCAACGCCTCGACGCTGCGATTGGTGATGGGCTTCGGGTGATGTATAGCCCTAAAGATTGTCTCAGAGACTGCCGAGTCCTTCTGCAGGTTCTTGAGGAGGAGTATGAAGGTAGTCATGGTGCCCATCTTGCTAGGCTTTACTACGATGCTTTCCAGGTTAGCATTGTGCATGGCGATCAGGCGCGGGCTGGGGTTTTTGCGGAACGGTCGTATAGAGCGAGGGCTGCGTGTGAGGGGGAGGATAACCCGGAAACAAAGAGGATTCGGATACTAATGGAGGACCCGAAAAGACATGGCAGTTTTGGGTTGTCGATGAAGTGGAAGAGTTTGAAGGATCAGGTGCCGAGGGGGTTGAGTGCCTATGGGTTTGAAGGGTGGTTGTGGACAGGGAAATAGATGAGTGTATATCAAATTGTATTGTTCTATATGCTGAAGTGAGGATGGTGTTGAGTAGCTACAAGTGAAAAGTACTGCAGGAATACTTGTTTTGAAATGACCCTTCATTGCGTAGAAGATGAGTTTGGTCGATTAGTATCGAGATACTATCAATTGAACTCAAATATGTTTATTCAAGACCCCCACACAGCCCTTGCGGGGCGGATTCCAGCTTGAGATACAGCGGTATTGGATCGAACCGAAAACTAGATTTGTTGTAGGCCATCGTCAACATATATTCACGTAGCTCGTGAAAAGAAGATAAATTCAGCCAGACATTGCTTTTTTTCCATTCAGTATCCACATAGGTCTCAACATTCCCAAGTATAATCGGGGTGTCAGGTAATAGGAAACGTTAAAAGAAAACGTTCATCAAGGAAAGAGTGCTCAAATATTCTTGCAACCCAGAAGACAAAACCAGGGGAATTGAACCCGAACTCACATTTCAACGTAGTCAGACCATTTGGCTGTAATTTAGTAGTTATCATTATTTCTTGAAAGTGCTTGTCAAGCTCATATAGAGCACGAATATTGGGAAGGATTAGTTTGAGAGAACTGAAAAGTAAAACGAGGAGAGAAGAGTCAACTAGGTCTGCCTCCTTGTTTAGTCAAGCAATGCGGAGAGAGGTCTTGGCAGGCATGCAGTCAAGCCCCTCCAATGCTGTACTCCGACAGCGACCAAATATGAGAGCTCAGGAAAGAACTGTGACTCGAATGACGCTAAAAAATCCCCCCATCAAGCCTTGAAATCCGAACTAGGTTGCATTGTACCCGGGTTGTCCAGCTGCAGTGCGAGAACTAAGCCTTTGCTAACCCTGTTGGGCAGGTGGTACCGGGGGCAACCTTGAAAAGATGCAGTGCTAGTCAGCAACCTGGTCCGACTTGAACTTATGACAAGAATGCAGGACCGGGGCAGAAGCCCTTGAGATCCCAACTAATAAGTGTTGTTATTTTTTTAGGGGGCAGGAGTATACATATTTAATGAGAGAAACGATAGGCTTGGCATTAAGGATCGACTGCATCATCGTGGATCGGTGGGCTTGGCTTACAAGCAAAGTCGGTGTACGGAAAGTACGGAACGGAGTTGTGCCGATATGCTCTGAGTACGGAGTATTCCGTATGGAGTAAGACTCTGGAGCTCTAACTAACTAACTACTCCGTAACTATTATTAATATGCATCGGAAGTCCGGGAACTTTTTGAATTGACTTGTCCACGTATAGGAGACAATCATCCAATTCAAAGAGGACACGGACTAGAATAGGATCAGGTGACAGTACCTGGGGTTTATTATTAGGTAATAGCGTATCCCCGCACATGATTGATAGAAGGCGAATGGGCTACAATTATTGGGGTTGACTCCATAGTACGGAGTACGTGCTCCGTACATACTACCTACATATTAGCATATTATAGTATATAAAAGTAATGCAGGATGTGTTAATCGTTAGGTAATGACAACCCCTCGTGGTCTGGGGTATATAAAAGTGGAGTTTTAAGATCTGCTGACCTGTCACTTCTGTATATTGTACATTGTACTCTTATATGTTCTATTATATAGTATACCTAGTATATAGTATATCCTTATATACATTCCCTTCTAAGACTAGTATATAAAAAGAAATCCAAATGCGGCGAGTGACGCCATTTTCCGCATGCAAAAAGAAAAAAAAAGGCAAAAATGGGGGTCTGCAGGGGTAGCTTGGGGAACTAACACGAACTTAATCACTTTTAGTGATAGAGAAAGTAAGTAGTATAATTATATATAGATAGTAATTCAATATATATGTGATATTCATCTATTGACTTCTATTTATTCAATTTTTACTTCAATTTTTGCTTTAATAGGCAAAGGGAAAAGAATACTACATCCGCCACCGTAATGATATTTTTAAAATAAAAAAAGTTCGCCCCATGTGGCCATGACCCATGGTGCTTTTCTTCTTTTTTACCATTTCAACCTCCGACCTTCAAACCCTTCAATTTTCATCTTTCCAATTCTCCTGTCTTCAAGCCCTTTAACTCACTTCCTCAACCGACAAAAAAAAGTCATTGATCCAAAAAGTTGTGCAACGGCTCTATTTCCGTGACTAACAGCTTCTCAATTTTTTTTCCCCGCCCCTCTGAGCCCTAAAACTTGCCCTCCTCGGTCTTAACACTCACCATTTTCTCTCCCTTTCTCAAATCAGGAGACGCCCTTTTTTTTAAAAAAACCCCCGGTAGACTTTATTTCTTTTTTGTCGTTCCACCTCCAAAGGTACTTTCCCAACTAGTCACTGTACAAACTAGGGCCCTTTATAGAGGGCCTCTTCCACCATGGCCTCCATTACTGCCCCATCGCAACCTAAGGCCTTCCCACGACTTTCTACAATTCCCTGTGGTGATCATTTCCACTCCCGCGAATCGTCTCCATCGCCTTGCAGTACCCCAGACGGGTCTAGGTCCAGCAGCCAACGTCGCCCCTCCTTCGGTTCAATCAAAGAAGATACAGAGGACGGTAAGACGTGCGAAGACGTGCGAATCCCAAGCTGGACGCTGACGTGATCGGTCAATTCAGGAATTGCGCAATCATTCGTGGATACCCACGAAGCCCCATCACCCCAAGATCAAGACCAAGACCGCAAACTTGAACGCCTTTCCCAGATGCAACAGGCCCCGGATTTCTGCTGTCCTTGTGGTGGATTCCTGGGTTGGAAGCAGATTCGATTGGGCGGCAAGAGTTTGAGCCGCAGTTACAGTGATCTCCGTGGGCTTGGAAAACTACAGGCAAAGGGTTGGGCATGGGAAGCCCAGGAACCCGAACCCATGCAGCTACTCCCACCTAAGGTCCCCGAGGTGGAGATTTTGCAGACTCCTCCCGGCACATCGCCTTTGGAGAGACTGCCCCCAGAGGTTCTTGGTAAGAGAAGCCGCAACCTGGTTGTGTCTTTTTTTTTTATCATTGTGCTAACCTGTTTGATAGATCAAATCATCTCCGAGCTTGCGGTCGATCTCCCACCAAATGGCTACGCCCCTCGTAATGTGGATTTGGTCTCATGCCTGCTTACATCCCACACATTGCACGCTGCTACTCTGGGGGTCTTGTACAGGAACATGACTTTCCCTCATTCTATTATTTTCTCCAAGGCACTTAATCATATGTCGCAGTATCCGGCGCTGGGGACATTGGTGCGCCGTCTAGATTTCTCCCACTTCACCTCCGTTGGCCTGGGTCGCACTAAGCAGATGAACGCCGAAATTCAGAACTTGACCTCCAAGACCCTCTTACAGTGCTTGGAACTTCTCCCCAATTTGAAGGAATGTCTGCTCCAAGAACACCTGGAAGGCGACATTAGTGTGGAAGTGATTCAGAAGCTTTTGATGGGGATGCCGAACTTGCGCGCCGCGGATTTCTGCGGCTGTTCGACTCAAGCATTCTCTGGAGTTTTCCAGGAGGCTTTGATCGGTGGGCCTGCGCTGCCCATGACCTTGCCCAACCTCAAGCGGCTCTCGCTTCACGAATGCAGCACCATCCCCGCTCCCATGTTCGACTTCCTCCTCCCGCGATTGGTCAACTTGACCCACCTCGACCTTACTCACACTCAAGTGAACGATTCGGCTCTCGTCGCTATTCCCGAGACTGCCCGTATCTCGCATTTGAGTTTATCCCGATGCACGCGCCTCCGCCCGTGCGCCCTGGTCAACTTCCTCACCACCCACCCGTCGGTCAAGGAGTCTCTCGTTTATTTGAACCTGTTGACCGACCCCACCCGCTTCCGTCTTCTGGAGGAAACCGACGTCTCTGCCCTGCTGCCGAAGCTCCCTGATACTCTCCGCTCCCTTAACCTGGGCGGAGCAAAGATCACCTCAGACCATGTACCATACCTGGTGCCCCTGAGCAAGCACCTGGAGGAGTTGGGTCTCAGCTCCGCGGATCTCTCAGTCGCAGACGTGAACTCGTTCTTCGGTCGGTACCGCAACCCGGACACGGGAGTCGAAATCGATACCCCCAGCACTCTCTGCTACCTCGATCTTGCCAAAGTGCCGCAGATGACCATCGGAGCCATCTTCAACACCAGCACTTGTCTCCTACTCTCGAACCAAAGCTACCCCTTGCAGGTCGTGGAGTTCAGTGACAAGATCATCACCCCACTGCGTGAGCGCGCCAAGACCCAGCGCGCATCCGTTGGCTGGACTGTGCGAGACCTCGGCCGTCGCGGCTGGTACGTCCGCGAGCCATCCTCCATGCCCCACGAACCCCTCGACGACGGCGCCCGCTACTGGAAGATGGGAGCGCGCTGGTGGGGCATGCGCAAGATCCCCATGGCCGTCGGCGAGGTCGGCGGTCTCTACGGCCACTATATGTTTAAAAAATGATCTATGAGCGTTCTGTTCTCAAAAAGCGTCTTCGCTAGATCTTTTTATCACTTTTGCTGATACCCTTGATTTGATATCCTTCATTTTCACGGCTTGCGTTTTCATTGGAGGGGCTTTGTTTTTTTTTTTTTTTTTTTTTTTTTGCTTTTCTTGCTTGCTTATTTGCTTTTTACTTTTGACGATCATGAATGATGATTTCCGGTCTATGCATGGCGGCGCGCAACATGGTCTACGAATTTCGGTATTCTGGCTCCTGGCTTCGGGTTCGTGCTCTCGGTCGCGTTTTGTCTTTGGATTTTGCATAGCATCTGAGATCTATCTCTTCAGCGGTGTCGGGTTTTTTTCTGGCTTTCTCATAGCACTGGCTTCATCTGGCGCTGATGTATCTTATCTGGATTTTTATTACTCTACTCATAAATGGTTTCTATTTCATTCATTGTTTCGTAGATATTTGATATAATCTGCTTTGTGCCTCATCGGGAAGGTGTCTTCAACCAATCCTAAATAGGAAACTACCTGGCGACAAACTCTCCTGCTCTTTCCCTCTCTCTTTATCATTTATTTCTCTTTCCCCCTCTCTCATCCTCAAAACTCCCTCTTAACCACCTCTTCCTTTCCAACCACCACTGAACAACACTCATCCTTCACCATGTCTCTCCCAATCGACTGCCAAGTCAGTAAGTCATCCCACCTCAAACCCACAAAAGAAAACAATCTAATCCAGTCAAGACGACCTCATCGAATCCCTCCAGAAACATAACCGCCAACCAAAAACCAAAGCGTCCCAAAGTCTTTGGCTCGACGCACTCCTCTCCGCTATCCACTTCCACATGATGAAGAGACACAAATCTCTAGACCGCTCTGCGTCGTACATGGGTTTCTGTGGTAGTTCTGCTAGGGCTCGCGCTCATGGACATCGGGATGGTTGTTTCTGGTATGGAATGCAGGGCGCGAGTATCGGTTTCTTGGCTGTTATGCGTCCGTCGGAGTTCTTGGGTTCTGATGCACTGGTCTCTGAGATGATTGCGTTTACGAGTGAGTTTTTTATCGTCCTTTGGCGCATGTCACAACTAACTCGACAAAGTCAGGCTTCAAATCGAGCAGAGACTTCGGAAGAAAGAGGTCCGCGTTGTTTATGCACTTGCAACGGACGGTGATCTCTTCAAGTGCACCCGCAAGACAAAGGATAGCCAGGTATGTATACCGAGACACCTAAGGAGGTTATATTACTTGGTGCTAGTGATATATATAGTCGTTTAAAACACAATGCCGGTATGAAAGTGACTTCCCAGATGTCATTTTCCTGCTCAAGTCGGTCTTTGATGATGCTTTGGTTCCACCGGGGAGCCCGCGCGGCGCCCCCTACTGAAGAGCAAGAGATCACCGGTAAGTCTACTCATTCCAAATTACAGATTGTGCACGAATTGTCGCTGCCAAACCCGAGCAGGGCCTCAGCCACAGGCAAAAGGAAACCACCCAAGTACTTATGAACTAGACACTGACAAAATTCATGAAGAGGAAGACTTTCGCAAAGAGCACGAACGTCTACGCGAACTGGCTAAACGCGTGAGCTTGAATGTGTACAAGAATGTGCTACAGCAACTGCCGGACCTGCTCAACCGCGAGGTGGAAGAAGACATTCGCAAGATAGTACAGGCGGTGATAACCGAAGTGACAGAGAGACAATCCAAAATGATGGCAGAAGCCAATTGGGAAAGGAACACTTCTGATTGTGAGAAGGGATTGTTGGGGAACGTGGACGTTGAGCTAGACAAAGTGCTGCAGATGATTGAGATCGAGGACTACAACGACAACAAAAAAGCACTCAAGAATGCAACTCGCAAGGCAGTTCTGGAGGAAATCAAACCAATCTTCGAGGAGGTATTCGAGGATTTACGTAAGAAGAAGTTGGAGAAGTTGTTCCAGTGAAGGAATTTGCCATTCATTGACATGCTGCCAATGGCACGTCTTACTGTGATCTTGCAACATCCCTCGAGAATGTCTTACATGGTGCTATGGGTCAATACAATACATCTGTACCACAGTGGATTAGTATGACTAAACTATTTTTTGTGAATTATCGACCAAGTATTCCATTTTCTGTAGGAGGGCTTGCCGTATTAGCTCTCTCCATCTCTTTTCACTTTTGTGTTGTAAGCCATTGCTATCTGTATCCACTACCATAGCTTATAGAAACCCTCGACGTAAGACAGGAAGCAGTACACCTCCATAATGGCCCGTCAAAAAGTAAAAACAAGACTTGATGAATATGGATGTGGCGATGAACAGAGATGCTCAACACCAAGAGAGCCATCTCTAAAAGAACCAAGGGCAAACATCCAAACAAGACTTATAGGACCAAATAAGACCTATAGGAATTGTAGGACTTCAGCAGTATGTGAAATCAAAAATCTCCTAGTCCTATTGGAAATAGGTACTGATGTCTAATATCAAGATTAGTTCTAATATCCACTGTCCTGCTTAGCTAGACAGACGAGCCCTACTTTATTTTTTCTTATAATATTGCCAGTACCTCACTTTCCCCCATGCAGCCATTTAGTCATATTTAGTTCTCATATAGGGCATGGCTGGTTCTTTGATTTCAACCTTCATGTTACACACAGATAGGTGGATAGGTGGTTCGAGCAGTAACTACTAGTGAGCCACAGAGTCCGAGAAATCCAACACTAGGAAGTGCATTCATAGGCCTTATCCCTTTTCTTCTATAATAAGGCACTGCATGATCTTGTTTGCGTGGGCTGGGGAGTTAGGCTTGATCCTTCTAAGCCGAGGCTTTACTGCAGATCTATATGTTTGGTCCTTGGTACGACGTGACGGGACATCTAGTTTTATTTTTAGTATTCTTACGAGAAGAATACTTCAGCATCTAAAAGACATATTGTCAAGCGGTTGATGTATATGTTTTATATAGGATAAAGTAGTAGAGATTCAATAAATTCAAAGGTTAAGATGCGAACCATGGTTGGCTACATATACGAAGCAGCCGATACTCCCCTTTTCACAGCGTGTTTTTAGGGATTTCTTCGAATTATCAAACCTATAAAAAGATTTTCCGTCCAACCCTTAGGTGCGGGAGTAACCTAATAGTCGTCCGGGAGGTTAGCTTTGCGATACCAATTCTCCATATGAAATCCACCATTCAAAGGAACCGAGGTATAACTTAACTATTAGCACCTATACATTCACTTAAAATAAGGGATTCGATAGAATTGCTAGTGCAGATACTAGTAGAATAATCTCATTTAGCTAAAACGACCATTCAAGATTTTCCTCACGAAATTTGAAGCCGCTCTTATCGAGGTTATAGATATTCTTCGCTCAGATTCATAAAAACAGTAGCGCCTAGGCGAGAATACTGGACAATGAGATAATTGGGAGTAACTGAAATCTTCTAAGCACCCTTTCCCATAGGCTTTTACTTGATACAGGTGTATTTTCCGGGGAGCTTTCAATGAACCGGTCAAGTCTGAGAGCACGCTCAGAATCAGGATGAAGAATTTCAATTGCGCAATTCTAGATCCTATCAAAAGTACGGGGTGCATTAGCAGTATCCAAGCTATAAATTCCACGAATCAATGCCTGCTCCTACTCTAGTCCTAATGCTTTATTATTCTCTGAATTAGACCAGTGCGGCCCAGCCCCGCTGGGGGATTGGGTCGTGTATCAGGCCGAGGATCAACAAATATTAATAACAATACACATCATAAAAAAATTGTTCGACCGGCGTAATGCAGATTATGTGTAAGATCAAAAGCCAATGCCTTTTGCTCCAGCCTAGCTGTAGGACAACATGCAGTGAATGGTCTTATTCGATCTCAGTCATACAAACGCGCCATTCTAAATGTTATCCTCGTACAGACAAGGAATGGGGTCATACATATGAGGAATAGCGTCTGGCAGGAAGCCCAAATTCCAATAGTAGATGGATATAAATACCGCCACATCCACATCTAGTCCGAAGGTTCATATTCTGCACAATTGATCGTCTGTCCCCATCACCAACAACAAACCCACCCGCACCCTTTGAGACCCCCATCACTGTATTCACAATGGTTGACGCCGCCTGTCGCATCGCCGGAAAAGAAGAGCTCTACGTCTTCTCCGGCCGGCACTACGGCCGCGTCAGATTCAGCAAAGGAGGCCCCGAGCACAGTCTCGCCGCCGGCCCAACCCTACTAAGCAAGGGCTGGAACACTCTTCCCAAGATGGGCTTCGGCACCGTGGACACCCTTGTACCTGTGCCTGGCCACGAAAACCAACTGTACGTTTTCTTCGGCGGCCGCTACGCCCGCATCAAACTTGAAAACTACGACGACAGCTTCGTCAACGACGGCGCGCGGCCCATTACCGCTGGATGGAAGTCTCTTGCGCAGGCGGGCTTCGACGCCGTCGATGCCGCAATGCTCACCCCCGGAACAAAGAATGAGATGTACTTCTTCCGCGGCTTGAACTATGTTCGCCTCGATAATGGTACGGACAAGCTTGTTAATAAGGTCGCGCCTATTGCGCAGGGCTGGCCGAGTCTTGTCCAGGCTGGCTTTGATTGTGTTGATGCCATTGTGCCGAGCCCTAGTGGTCAGGATCTGTACTATGTCTTCCGTGGTGATCAGTTTGCCGTTATTAAGGTTGATAGCTCCAGGGCTGATACGCTTGTTTCGCCGCCGAAGCCTATTAGCGCCGTGTGGAAGGCTTTGGAGGGATGGGTTTAGTCGGATTTGCCTGTTTAAGGGGGGTCTGCGGATTCGTCAAGTGCAGGGTTAAGAGCCGTATTGGTTGTTTCAGGTCACTTCTTGCATCTCTTCTTGGGCCTTGGTTTTCATTATTCATGTCAAAGTTGTGCAGACCGTTTGGGCTGATGCCATTGGTAGTTAACAGCATCCTTTTGGTAGGTGATGGCGTGCAGATGGCTCACTGGGTTTGAATCCGAGTATGTATTGAAAGCAAGTGTCTTGAATAAAAACCCGTGCGACTACATTGAGTATGAAAAAGTTGGATATAGTACTCTTATCTTCCCTTTAGAAATGATAAGCCAGCCGAGAAGTACTACATCACAACCCTAACTGACAGCAAATCGGCCGCCAAAACGACTATATTGGACGCCGGTTTAGCTCCCCTTTACGCAAAAAAGAATATAGTATCCTTCTCTTTAGGAATGATAAGCTGGTCGAGAGTACTAACTACACCACAACCCTAATTGACGGTAAACCAGCCGCTAAGAACGGCTATACTGTACGCTTTAGCTTCCCATTAGGCAAAAAAATAGTCGCGCCCGGGATCGAACCGGGAACCTTCTCGGTGTGAGCGAGACGCCATGACCATTAGGCCACGCGACTTGATTATTAATCTTCTGTTAGGGAAATGTCTATAGATAGATGAATGAATATCACTATCAGAATAAGCGGGTAAAGGAAACTCAATTCGAGCGAGGCCTTTGAGACTCTAAAAGTTAGAGAGATTGTATAAGGTAGACGACAGGTTGCACAAAGTAGACCTTTTACCACTAATAATATGATAACAGAAGGATCAAGAGTGCGTTCTCGTCTAGGAATGGAAAAATATTTACATAACATGTTGTAGCTAGTTAGTATTACTCCGTAGAAAGAAGCGTAACTATAGACCAAGAATGGTGTAGAATTAAATTGCTAAAAACCGTGCCAAGCGCCTACCTGGCACTAGACTAGATGGGTGCAAATACCAAATCTAGAAAGCAACTCATACAAAAGATAGATCCACGGATAATTTCTAGATTTGGGATCGGCTAGAGCGTACCAAAATCAGATAGGTGTATTTGGGCGCCTAGCACAGTTTTATCTATTACAAAACTATACTCCTTGGAAGAAGGAGGACCAAGTTCATACAGTACGCTGTGTACATCCTAGGCTGTAGCTATGTACATACCTATATTCCAAGGTTGTTACAAAAGACAAAAAAAGTAGTCGCGCCCGGGATCGAACCGGGAACCTTCTCGGTGTGAGCGAGACGCCATGACCATTAGGCCACGCGACTAAGGATACTGTTTGGGTCCTTTTTTCGCTCTATGACAGAGGCTACCTCAATCCTTTTTGTCATCCTCCTTTTGAGTAAACAGGCTACTTTCTCTAACTGAAATAGAGTGCTTCGTACTAAAAGCCCCAAATAGAGTTTCCCTCACTGCTTCTCCTCATCATATCGATGGATAGCTATTTCGGAGACAGAGGATTATTAATCAAGTCGCGTGGCCTAATGGTCATGGCGTCTCGCTCACACCGAGAAGGTTCCCGGTTCGATCCCGGGCGCGACTATCTTTTTGCTGCTTGTTGCTCAGGAGTGTACTTTACATACAGATTCCATTAATGAAATTCGCTACTAGAAAGACTAATCCATTACAGGATAAATAAAATTTTGCATCAGCCCACCTGTAAGCCCAACCGGCAGCCACCCGAATGGCGTTGACGGAATATATGAGTAGTTTAGGTAGTTAGTCTACTCCTGCTTAGCTCTATTTCTTCTGGTTTCCTCTTCCTCTTCTGCTAGAGTAGCTTTCGGGCCTCAATAGGGCATGTAAATCTGGCGGCAATACTAAGGCCATTCTCAAGATAGATATCTTGTCTTCGGTCTTCGGGGATTCGATGATCAACGGGGTGGACTGGACGAGCGATCACAGGCAAGAGAGTCCGCCGTGGGTGCAGAAAGCAGAGAGGAAGTAGAGAGGAGAGTAAGAAATGAAGACTGGCTAACGGGCGGATCGGGGGTTTAATATGACAGACACAGAAACATCGAAAGCTGGATGTTTTCCACTATACTAAATCTTGCGTAGTAGCAGTTTTGGATGCCCTACGGTACATATGCGTCCAATTTATAAAACTGGTTACAGCAAGGGAAGTAGTTTTGTTGCAACCTTATGTTCGGGCTGCTGAGCATCCTAGCATTTGACCAGCCCTGTATCTCAGACCTTAGGATAAGTTATTGTTATTCTCGGGGTCTACTAGTAAACAGAAACGCCAGTCTCACGTTGTATACTGTCGCCCATGTCATCTGTCGATAGTTAACAGTAGTTCATATTGAGACCGACTTGGGCAGTCATTCCAGATTTAGTGAATAGAGGTCGACCAAATGGACCGGAATTTGATAACAAACATTCTAGGATGATTCATATGAGCAACAGCAGATAAGATGGTATCGATCTGAACAATGGGGCTTCCATAGTGCAGCACCTGACTATTGCATCCATTAATATACAGTTCTGTCCAATCCGAGATACACATGTCTGTTAATGTCACCTTATTTACATTTTAACATCTTTTCTTCATGATATTATCTCATTTGAAGGTGATAGTACGATGTACTCAAAGAGGAACAATGGCCTCAACACAACGCAATGTTTTTTTAGTAGAACTCTTTTCCAACAAAGATACGACAGAACACCACACTAAATATAGATTTAATAAACCTTTCAGCTTTTTTACGTTGTTTAAACTTTACACATAAAACTACAGCTTCATTCACTTAGGGCTTGGCTCCCAGGTGACGCTTGGCAAACGTCATGTGATAACTCGCAGAAGAGCCGCATTTCTCGTTATTGGGTTCACCTCTACACGCCCTGTCTATCACGAAGGTCTCAGACCCTCCTCGCTAACTCCCGCCCTTGGGGAATTGCTCATCCCGATGGGTGGATTCGTTATCGCCTTTGAAGACAGTGGAAGCGACGCGCGACGATGTCACCTCCGAGCGGAGCGGCCTCCTACAAGAAGAAAGATGGGACCTTAGCTATATCTGCAGATGAGAAGTCAGTCTCATGGAATCCTTCAGTTGCAGGGGCCGGGAATACGATCACAATCCCCGTGATCAACATCACTAGTATGTAGTCCTCCATGGCCGTGCATTTCGTCTCTTTACTGACTCGCGCGACTGCTAGATCTACAACAGACCCCAGCCTCGAACCCGAAAGTGATGCTCAAAATCTTTGCCCAAACTCCCGATGCACCTCCCGATACTACGCCCGATCAATATGTCTTCCTCTTCACGGCTGGAGCAGACGCCCGCCCGCAGGCCGATGCCATCAAAGACACATTGAGTGCTCGGGTCAATGCAGTGAAGTCGGCAACACCATCCCATACACCAGGGCCTCGAGGTGCATCCGAGGGTCTTTCAGCAGCAATGGCGATTGCAAACGCTGTGACATCCGCTGGTACATCGAAAAATCCCTTGGACGAGGAGAATAAGCTTCGGTCCGACGTAGAGCTGCAGCAGTCGTTATTACGATCTGATTCAAATCTGCAGCGAATGTTTTTCGAGGGGTTGCATACAAAACCGGAAGCCTTGTCGTCTGCGTCGTTCGTATCACAGTTCTGGTCAACACGATTGCATTTACTGCGAGCGCATGCGATCGAACAGGGCCAAATCCGTGGCTCATATAATGTGCTATCTTCGCTCAAGCCTCGAGTCGAGGATAACGTGACACGATTGAATATCAGCAAAGAGCAAATCCAGCTCATCTTCACACAACACTCGCTGGTCAAACGCGTGTATGATGAGAATGTGCCGAAACTTAGCGAGCAACAATTCTGGTCCCGATTTTTCCAGAGTCGGCTTTTCAAGAAATTGCGTGGAGAGCGGATTACAGAGGCCGACGCCACTGATGTCGTGCTGGACAAATACCTCCAAACGAACGAGGCCGCTCAGCCGGACCGAAACACAAATATCCATCACTTCCTGGATCTGGCTGGCAATGAAGTAAACCACAGCCAGCGTCGCGGAAACCGACCCGATCTAGATATGAGACCATCTGGCGTCGAGAAAGTGCCCATTATCCGGACACTGAACAGCCTGAGTGAAAAGATTATGGCCAATGTGGCTCCGGCTGACGGTGACATGAGTGCCCCTATAGGCATCAATGAAGAGGCATGGAAAAAACTCCAGCTGCAGGATCTTTGCGGAGACGAGGCGCAAAGTCGCATTACTTTGAACATTCGTGACCAAAGTCGGTTCTTCACTCATGGCCAGGAGGAGGATAAGACCAAGAAATTTGAGAAACAAGATCCAGACCAGCTTCTTCAGATTCTCCGTGCGGAGATCAATCAAAGTCTCCCATCGCAGGGCAATACACAGCTGGGCAAATTAGTGGACCCCGGCGATGATGAAGACGAGGAGATGGAGGATGCACCTGCTAGCCGTCGACCTGTCGGATCATCTGCTGCTCTACACGATGCATTTTCTCAGATCCTGGAAGCATTGCGCGTGCGCCGTGCCCAGATGAATGAGCGAGCAACATCAGAAACATATGGGCTGTCGACGGCGCTCTTTGACCGTCTGGCGTTGACACACGCCACAACCACGGAGTTTTTGCACCAGTTCTGGCAGGCATTTCTCTCGGGCAACCCCGATCGCGCTGGAGAGGTCGCATCCTTAGCAGAGTCTCTTCAGCGGGCAACAGAACGTATTAAGGCTGTTGCTAACGATGCAGAGGCTGAGCGGAAAGTCGAAGTTGACCGACTAAAGAAGCATGCCCGCGACATGTATGAGAGCACCGGACGAAAATTACGAGTCAACTTAGAAGGCGTGGAGGGAGGTCAGAAGGTTGTGAACCAACTCCTTGGTCCTACACTCCATGCACTGGAGGTCGCATCAACTCGATACCAAAAAGAATTAGCCGAACAAAATAAAGAAGCGGCCATGGCTGGTTAAGAGCTAGGGACATAGAAGGAAATAACCCGGGCGTTTGATATTGGACATGGGATGTACAATATGTTATTTTACAGGAGCTTTGATTCATACAGAGCCTACAAATTTCGATACCTCATCAATCTACATATAAAATGACATAAAATGACGTATAAAGATGATTGTAGACACTAGACAGCCCTGGAAAGTCGGCATGCCGAACTTCCCCGGAATTCGGGAATTTAGTGCCATCTGTCCCCTCCAACTGCACTGAACTTTCTTCAACTCCCCTTCTCCCCCACCTTGGATGATTCCCAAGCCAGATACTAAATAAGAACCACAAGGGGCCTCAAGATGCTGACCTCCGGCCTAACAAATGCGCCCCTCACCAAGGCGCTCCTAATCTACACGATCGCCTCCTCGATCGCCCTCTCCCTCTTCGACATAAAACACCTCGTCGTGATCTATGTATCGCCTCATTTCTGGCCCTATGCCCAGTTCTGGCGTGCATTGTTGTGGCAGGTCGTCGGCTTCACCAATTCCACCGAGGCTCTCTTCGCTGCGATGCTAGTTTACCATCTGCGGGTTGTCGAACGCGCGTGGGGAAAGCGGAAGATGGCGGTTAGTCCCTCTTTATCTCTTTGTCCCTTTGTCTCATTGTCCTCGTTCCTGCAGACATGCATAATCAGATGCATTACAATGGAACGGAGAGGCCGAAGCGTGTCCTATATGACCTGGAAACCGATTGCTGACATCCTTCATACTGCTACAGACCTTCCTGCTCACCACACTTCCCTACACGACTCTCCTCCCGCCAATTCTCCTCGCCTTCGCAATCCGCCCTCTATCCCTAGGCAACCTCAATTACCTTCCATCCGGCCCAACGGCTACCATCTTCGCCCTACTGGCGCAGTATCACGCCACCATCCCATCCATCTACCGCTACCGCATCGGGTCCACATCCTCCCCCACCACCACCGACAATAATACCAGCAATGATTCCTCCGCCGATAATACAGCACAGGCTTCCCAACCCAAACCCCGAACACCAAGCCTGTCCCTCCTCCTATCCGACAAATCAACCACCTACGTCGTCGCTGCTCAGCTAGCCCTCTCGCAGTTCCCCGCAATGCTCCTCCCGTCAGCGCTGGGCTGGATCGTCGGTGTAGCCTGGCGCGCGGACCTGCTACCGGGCCTGTCGTCGGCCAGCACCGGATTCCGCGTTCCAGCTTGGGTGGTTGGCGAGAAAGAGCGGAGGGGTGGCTCTGGGTCTGGGTCTAGTGGCGCGGAGAGGGAGAGATATGAAGATCTACGACGGAGGTTGGAAGGTGAAGTTGCTGCTTCGGCTTCGGGGTTGGAGGGGTCTAGTGGGCAGGCCCAGAGGCGCGCCGGTGAGGGTGATGGCGGTGGGTTTGTTAATCGATTGGCGCGTGATTGGTAGAGATTACTCATTCTTTGATTGAGCTATGCAAGGCTGGTTGAACACATCTATCTGGTATAGATGTACTCCGTACTGTGGACAGTTGGGATAGATTCTTGGGTCATTTGACAGCAGGTGCTATTAGACATAGCCCGTCTTCAGGGCCCTATTTTCATACCTTCATCCTCGATTAATTCATGTGGTGGCCCCACGTTTGCAATTCTTCCCTCCAATGCGTACTTAAGTACGGAATACTACAATACTCTGTGAAGAGATGGGTGAGTACTAAACCGAAAAGCTAGACAATATCTGCAAATTCATAAATTCTAGCAAGGCTGTATCTCCGCTAGAGTATGTGCCGACTGGAAGCACTACATAACGCCATCATCAATGTCTATAACCTTGAACGGGACATATCATCGCCCATTGCGACTCCGTCTCATATTTTCCTTGCACTCATTACAATACCATTTAACTAATAGAGACTGTTAGCAACCTAGACGATTTAACAAGGCAAGGAATACTCTTACCATTCTTTCCAGGCGGTTTCGTCAAGCCCACACATGACAGATGGAACCATTCACGAGGACAGGCATCATTGTCGCAAGCAACCATCTCACCGAAACTGATTTCATTACAGTAACAGTAGCGCGGCTCGCCCTCTTCGTCTTCGTCGTCGCCCTCGTGAAGCGACTCGTCGTCAGATGGTATTACAGGCTGTGGGATGGGCTTCTTCTGAGTTCGTTTGGTAGAGGCTGGGTCTTGACTTCGTGTGGGCCGTGCGCGTTGTTGAGCGGGCTCTGTGAATGCGGGGAGGATAGGGGTCGATGTCTTGGAATTGCGTCCCTTGGTCGTCTCGACCTCGGCCGAACCAGCTTTTCCATCCAGATCCTCACGCTTGGATCCCGCTGGAACGGATGTTCTACCGTTGGCATCGCCTTCATAGTCACGATGTGTGTCTGCATGGACGAGTTCGTTTTTGACGGGTCCGTCCCGGGGTGTAGATCTGGAATCGGCAATTTTGGCTGCGTACGGGATATGGTTAATGAATGGTTCCGGGAGGAGTGGTTGAAGCGGCATACTGTTGTTAGGGCGGTTGGAGGCCGATGATGATGGCCGCGCGCGCGAATTGCTTGTGGTTCCAGAATTCTGCTGGGCTCGTGCAGACTGTGGCCTTGTTGTGTTGGGTCCTGGACTGGCTGCACCTCGCGGCCCATTAAATGTCCCAATCAAAGGCGACGGGGCCAGAACGGGCGATGCAGCATTGGAAGTGTTGGCCCTGAAATAAAGTTAGTTGGAAGCAGTAGTGAGCACAGCGGAGTGAGACATACTTCTTGCGTGCAGCAGCAGCTGGATTAGGAGCGCGAGACCGCTTCTTCTCTGCTGGGTCTTTATTCGCAGCTCTCTGGCTCACAGCGCCGCTGGCAGAGCGCTCCATCGGAATACTAGTGTCTACCGCTGGTGGTCGCTCCACCTTCCGACGCTTGGGTGCAGCGCTCGGGTCAGCTGCGTTATCTGCACCGCGAGATTTCCCGTTATTAGTCTTGCGCGCGCCTGAGCTGCGCGTATCCTCATAGTCCGCATCGGCCTGTGCCCGACGTTGCTTCCGTGCCAGAACAGCATCGCGCCGCGCCTCACTGCGACTAGCAGCTTCGGCCTCTTGAAGCACATGTGACAGATCCTGTCTTTGCGCCACGGCTTCCCGGCGCGGGCGCTCATTGGTAGCTGCCTTCGCGGTACTCTTGTTGGAGTACGCCCAGTGAGTCAGGCTGCCCAGACGAGCCTCTTCGCTGATCTCGCCTGCAATGTATGGAAACACCGTATCTAATCGGACAACTTGACGATCTAATTCCTCGTTCGCGTTCGAAATGACATGATTCTTCTCATCGGCGGTCATCATTAGGTCCGAAAGGCTTTGGCGTACACGATCGAAGAGAAGGCGGCGGCTTTTGCTCTCGGACGATTCCGGTGACTGAGATAGTTCCTAGCACAAGAGAGACGCCATCAGTAAACGCCTAGAGTAGACAATTAGACAAATCGTGGAGAACACTCACCTTGGGCAAAACATCCTCCCGAATCACACCTCCGACAATAGGCGCCGGGTGAGGAGGATGAGGAACGGGCTGCGACTGGGAGGAGAACTGGAGTAACTGCAGTAAATTTTCCTCGAGAGCCCACGCCTTCGCATCAACTTCCTTAAGCAGAGAGTTGTGGCGACGGAACTCGCGCGGAAGCGCTGTTATAGCATCAGTGAAATGCGTGAGCGCAGGATAGAACCCATGGGGAACAGGGGACGTGGAAGGAATTTCAGTTGTCGAGCCTTGGCCAAACGCGAAGGATGACCGTCCGATGGTTTTGGAGGTTCGAGAAGGGTTTGTACGTGTCTGACGGGCAGATTGTCGAATTCCTTGGCCCGTAGGATTATTGACTGACGATGAGACGGTAGACATGTTGAAGGGCAGAGTCGAGACTAGGAGCTGCGCCGTTGGAAGAGGGTTGAGGTGAGCCTAGCCCAATTTGAAGAGAAAAAAGTAGGGTTTGAAGAACCAATCGTGTTCGGCAATGATCAAGGACCATGTACAATAGTCAACACCTCGCGTAACAACAGGAGGGCATCGATGCAAGAGAAGCTGCTGCTGGGAAGTTTGAGTGCGGAGAAGAGCAATCGAATTAGGTGAGATTGCTGCCTGCGGCACCGATTAATATGAATCAGGCATCTATTGCTGAATCATCTGAGCACGCGGGTGACGTCACAGCAGGAAATACAATCAACTTAATAGTTGATATGAGCTATGGCTATGCGGATTTAAAACGTTATACATAGAAAAAAACAAGCATGAGGCTTCAAAATTCAAGGATTCTTTGTATTTTACATATAGTATGGATTCTAGGTATAGACGGGGGCCTTGCATTAGGACAACCAAATGACTGTCCTAGCATAGCCTATGACTATGAACCTAGGACACATCGATAGCACACAAAGGAAATCAGCACAATAAAAGAGGTAGTAAAACAAGGAATTACACGCTAGGTTCTAGGAAAACCAATGGATATATGACACTCAACTCAACGCAAGTGTCAGTGCAAGATCCCAAGTATCTCATCAACAGAGGTCGAATCAAATTAATAGGAAAGCATTTACTCGCCCTTCAGGTGATCCTGGTGGACAGAGAAAGCATCCTCCAGGAGCTCCTGCTCCTCCTTGAGGTGAACGGCCTTGAGACCAGTAGCGACGGAAGCACTGCCAGCGCGACCAGCGTACAAGACATGGCGGCGGTTGTGGTGCTCGGTAGCGTTCAGCAGGCTTTCGATACGAGGCTGGGCGTAGGACCAGGCACCGGCATTGAGAGGCTCCTCCTGGCACCAAACGATGTTCTTAGCGTTGGGGTAGCTGTCCAGGTTCTCCTTCAGCTGAGCCCAAGGGAAGGGGTGCAGCTGCTCAACACGGGTGATGGCAGTGTTGCGGATACCGTTGGCCTCACGGTGCTTGATCAAGGCAGCGTAGACCTGTCCGGAGCACAGGATGACACGCTCGATCTGCTCGGGAGCGTCGATGGCGGTACCGTGACCCTCATCAGGGATGATCCACTGGAAGTGAGAGTCACCATCCAGGGCTTCGATGTCAGAGCGAGCAATGGGGTGGCGCAGCAGAGACTTGGAGAAGAAGATAACCAGAGGCTTGCGGAACTGGCGGTGGATCTGGCGACGCAGGATGTGGAACAGGTTGGCAGGGGTAGTCATGCAGGCAATCTGCATGTTGCAGTCCTGGTGCTGACGGTCCAGCTTGTCGGCGGAGGGGAACACACGGGGCTCCTCGTTGCAAAGCTGGAGCCAACGCTCCATACGTCCAGAAGAGTGCTCAGGACCTTGGCCGTCATAACCGTGAGGAAGAGACACAACCAGACCGGAACGCTGCAGCCACTTGGATTCACCGGAGGCGATAAACTGATCAATGATACACTGCGCATTGTTGGCGAAGTCACCGAACTGAGCCTCCCACATCACAAGGGCGTTGGGGGAAGTCAGAGAGTAACCGTACTCGAAGCCGAGACTAGAATAATTGTTAGAGTCGTTGTAACGCTGGGAGTTTCAATTCAAAAACTTACCAACCGAACTCACTCAGGGAGGAGTTAGAGATGACGAAGCTGCCCTGCTTCTCGCTGATGTGCTTCAGGGGAGTGTAAGTGCGCTCAGTCTGCTGGTCGTGCAGAACGGCGTGGCGCTGAGAGAAGGTACCACGCTCAACATCCTGACCAGAAACGCGGACGTGGTAACCCTCGTCAACGAGGGAACCGAAAGCGAGAGCCTCAGCAGTGGCCCAATCGATGTTCTTGCCTTCATCGACGGTCTTCTTGCGTCCGCTCAGGATACGCTTGAGGTTGCGGTGGAGCTCGAAGCCCTCGGGAACACCGGTACCGGCGATCTTGTCAGCGATGTTCTTCAGGGACTTTTCACCAACGGCGGTAGGCAGGTGAGGTAGGACCTCAGTGGCAAGCTCCTTGGGAGACTTGAAGTTGTTCCAGGCGGAAGTCAGCCACTCCTTGCCGGTGGGCTGGTAGTCCTTGCTGCGGTCGAAGCTATCGCCAAGCATTCCCCAGACCCACTTCTTGTGCTCATCGATGTCCTCCTTAGTGAAGGTACCCTCGGCAATCAGCTTCTCGACGTACTTGTCAAGCTGAGCCTTCTGCTCGGCAATGCGCTTGTACATCAGGGGCTGGGTGAACGAAGGCTGATCAGTCTCGTTGTGACCCTGCTTACGGTAGCAGACCATGTCAATGACAACGTCACGCTTGAACTCAGCACGCCAGTCAGCAGCAACCTGGCAGACGTAGTTGACAGCCTCGACATCGTCAGCGTTCACGTGGAAAACGGGAGCGTCAATAGACTTGGCAATGTCGGAACAGTAGGGGGTAGACCGGGAGTAACGAGGATCAGTGGTGAAACCAATCTGGTTGTTCACGACAAGGTGGATGGTACCACCGGTCGAGTAGGCAGGAAGAGAGTGGAATCCCATAGTCTCATAGACAACACCCTGTCCAGCGAAGGCAGCGTCACCGTGCAGCAGAACACCCATGGCGGTGTCATAGTTGGTCTCGTCGTTGTTGTAGTGCTGGATGGCACGAGTCTTTCCAAGGACAACGGGGTCCTCAGCCTCGAGGTGAGAGGGGTTGGCAACCAGAGACAGCTGCACGCGCTTACCGGAGGGAGTAGGACGCTCGAAGTTCATACCCAAGTGGTACTTGACATCGCCGGAGCCCTCATCGGAAGGCTCAGTAGAACCGGCAAACTCGCTGAAAATGGACTCATTGGGCTTGCGGACAACGTTGGACAGAACGTTAAGACGACCACGGTGAGGCATACCAATGACAATGTCCTTGATACCGTAGTCAACGCTACGATCAATCAGGGCCTTCATACCGGGGACCAGGGTCTCGCAACCCTCCAGACCGAAACGCTTGTCGTTGGGGAACTTAGTAGCGAGGAAAGATTCGAAGCTGGAAGACCAGATCAGACGGTCAAGGATGCGGCGCTTGTCGTCAACCGAGTAGTTGTAAGGTTGAGGGATCTCGAATCGGTCACGGATCCATTCGCAGGGCTTGCGGTCAGGAATGTGAATATACTCGACACCGTAAGAGCCACAGTAGATCTTTTCGCAGGTGGCGATGATTTCGCGCAGAGTCATCTTCTTGCGGTCCTCGGTGATAAAACGGGGCAAGATACCGGGTCCAAGGGCAAACTCCTGGTTTAAATCACTCTCGGTGAAACCGTAGTGGTCCAACTCGAGCTCCTTGGGCTTGTCGTAACCGAAGGCCTCAGCCTCTCCACGAATGCCGAGAGGGTCGATCTTGGCCTTGTGGTGGCCACGGGCCTGGTAGGCACGGCAGAGCAACTGAACCTTCAAGTGGTTCGTCACGTCAGCACCACCGGCAAGTCCCTGACCGGGCATATCTTGAGGAACACCACCAGTAGGGGTGGGAACGAGGGTAGGGGGAGGAGTGAAGGCCTGGGAGATAGGCATTTTGCCCTCCTCCATGTTCTTGAAGTAAGTTTGCCACGAGATGTGAACACTCGAGGGGTCGTTCTTCCATGCCATGTACATCTCATCGATGTAATTGGCAGTGCTACCAGTGAGGAAAGAATCGTTAGGGTCCTGTCCACGGAAGGGCGAAATCGTGCCGACGCGTTAGTCGAATGTCCGCATGTTTAATTCAATCATCGGGAACCCGGATCGGATCGCTACCGATCATGAAGATTGTTGTTGCTTACCACTCCTTGGCTTGAGGCGGCCGCGTAGGACCGGGCACCGTTGAAAGCACGGTCGACAACAGCAAGAGGCCGACGAGCGGTCATGCTGAAGCCGGAACTTTTCGAAGCGTTGCGAGCACTCGTGGCTATGTGGAATGAGCGCCGGCATGATGAAGAGGTCGCACCACGCAGCATGCCGCTGTTGGTGGCCTTCAAGGCAGTGTTTCTAAACATTGCGGTTTTTTTTTTTTTGGATCAAGGTCCAATAAAGTTTTCGATTTAGAGGAAAGGGGGAAACGGAAGACGATAGTTCAGGATTCTGGCCAAATCAGACGTCAAATAGTCAGATTTGCTGGATGGTATAGTGTTAGCCTGATATTGCCAAGTTATTCTGCAGGGCGCGAGCAAACCGGAATACGGAGGAAAGGAAGAGGCGTAAGTACACGTACAAAGTTAATCACAGAACAGGTGTCGACTAGTATTGCCGTAGCACCTGTATAGAATCGGGACTCATCAGAGAGCTCAAACGCTCTAGATAAGAAAACAAATTGTGGGGGGAGAGGAAAGATGAAGCAAAAGAAGAGCGCAAAAGGAAGAGCTGCCGAGAATGACGGATCTCACGGGAGTGAGGCTGGTGCGCTGACTCAGCCCGAACTACAGCCGACGGCCAGGGACAGAGCATTAGAAGAACCCCAATGAGCCACTTTCTCTCCACAGCCGGCTATGCCTTCGGGCTCTCTGCGGGAGTTTTCGGCCCAATGGTACCAAAAGGGTTTAATATTAATCAGGTTTTTTTTTGGAGATCCATCAATGACGATCTGTATTAATATTAACATCTCAACTATAGAACAGTCGATAATTCATGAAATCGTGACTGCAAAATCGCCGCACAAAGGGCATGTACAATATGCAGAGGAAAAAAAAAAGATCATTACATCCAGACAGAAAAATCAGGCACCACATTACAAGGCATCAAGTCGCGGAGGTCCGCTGGTGGGAACTTCTTCATAATCTAGCCGTCCCGACAATGCGGAAGCGGCACGGGCGTCGTCATAGAAATAACCGACACTATTCGGGGCCCCCTCATCAGGGCCGAAAGGTCTCAACTCAGATACTGTTGGGCTTGCCTCGGCACCATTTAAGCTTGCACGGTGAGAGGGCGAGATCGTATGTGGTGGTGGACTACCTGCACTGCTGCGCAAACTACCGTTGCTCCCACCCCAGGCTCCCCGGCGTAGCTTCATGAGCGCGCTCAGCGACATGTCATCGTCGAGATTGCCCATGTCAACCAGCTGCGCCAGCCCAGGGCTCGCTATAGCTGAATTTGGATGAGTACCGCCGTGGGCCTTGACCGAGATCATAGAATTGCGTGTACTCCATTCACTTCGTTCAGTGATCGGGGTCAAGCTGGGCTCCTGGAATTTGCCGCGGCTGCTGTGATTACGCGTGATGCCTCCGACCCGTCGCGGACCAAAGTATCCACCGTTGGTTAGTTCAGATGTGCCGTTGCCATCTGCTTGTGCGTAGAAGCCAAACTCTTGGCCGTAGAAGCCATCCTCATCGTTCTCGAGAGCTTCGGCGTTAGCAGCAGCAACGATTGCGTCGTCCAAGTACGAATCATCGTTATCATCATAGAATTGATTATCGTAGAAGTGATCATCGAAGACATCTTCGAAGGCCATGGCATCCGCAGCTTGGCTGATCCGGCTGTCGTCAGAAATCAGACCCGGTTGCGAGTCTATTGTCTGTGATGTTTGAGCTGCGCTGTCTTGACCCTGTGATCTTTCGCTCACGCTAAACTTGCGCTCGAAGCGCCCACTATACGCTGCTTCGTTGGCTGCGAAAGCTAAAGCATTGTGCAAAATATCTAGGTTTTGCTCTGTGAGCACACCACCGTGGGCACGGGCAGGGCCCATATTTGGTATTGGTTCGCCGAGGGGACCACGCTTGACCGATCCTGTGACCCGATAGTCACTGGCCACACTTGGCATGTGCTGCAGTCCTTGGACGCCTCTTTCTACCACGGGGCTTTCTTTCTCTGCTGAAGCGTCATTCCCGCCAGGGGCTGCACTGTCCATTGGCAAAGGTGCCACAGGGGCATTGACCAGTTTTCTTTCGTATAAATGACTGTTTACATCATCAAATATAGATTCATCAAATCCACCATCTTGGTTCTCGGCATCAAGTTCTCCGAAATCGCCGTCATCAAAATAAAGATCATCATCATCATCATCATCATCAAGAATTGAAGCCGCTTGTTTAGCAATCGGAGCCTGGGGAATGGTTGATATCGCATCAGTTCTGGCAAGTAGAGACGGTTGTTCCTGTGGTAGTTGACGGTTGGGGCCATCGTTTAACTGTGTGGCCTCAGAGAGATGAGAGGTAAAGTAAGAAGCGGTTGTGGGATCTGGCTGTGCAGCAGTAATCGGGCTATCAGCGACAGGTGACAATCCCGGGACAGCCCAGGACTTTGTCTCGTTGATATTTCGCGAAATAGAGAAATCATCGAAATCATCATCTTCGGCATCTGCATTGACGCCGGGAATCCTTTCTTCCAGACCATCCAGATCATCCATCATGTCATCATCAAAGTCCTCGTCGAAGTCATCAAAATATCCATCCTCCATTCTGCGAGAGGCTTCCTTGGCCTTATGCTTCTCTTCCAGCATTTTCTCTTGCGAGGATGAATCTACTCCGCTCATATCGAAGCTGAATTGAGAGGCATTGCTCTTGAGATGTTTCGGTATGGCTGAGGGATTGAAGGGGGCATTAGGAATAGTATCTTGGTCTTGGGGGTGCTGAGGATGAGCATGGGAGGTTGCTTTGGGTGGGCTTGAGAGAAGTTCCGCCACCCCAGGTTCAAGCTGCTCCGAAATGTCTATAGTTCTTTCTGGTAGATGAGAAGGCAAGTTCCGCGCAAAGACAGGTAACGAGCTGTCATTTCCAGGCTGTGACTGGCCTGTTAAAAGTGAAGACTGAAGATAACCCTTGTGCTCCACCTGTAAAACATTCTGGTCCTCAAAATGTTCCTTGAAAACAGGCGAATGATCACTGTACCGTTTTGCCTGGTCATTCCAACGGGCGCCACGAGGTTGCGTGGGTATGTGTGGTGGTGAAGTGTCTTGTCCATTCACAATTATATCATGCTGGGTAGCCGAAAGATTACGGCGAGGCCGGGGCGCCGAGAAGTCATGAACAATCTTTCCACGAATTCTGGGGTCGTAGTCATCTGGTATAGCAGGAACATTCCGGTTATTGAGTTTGAGGTCTTCTGCCCGTGAGCTAACGATCTGCGAGGAGCGCCTGCGCGCAAGTAGGGACATCGGATTCAAGAGATGGAGCATTGCCTTGCCTGACTTGTGATGTGTCTGTTCTACGGACACATCACGATCTCCAGTGCGCCGGACATTTGTGCTACCATCCATCTTGAAATCCTTTGGTGGCATTGTTTGTTTATCCGCCGGCGAATCTTCTGATGAGGATCTAAACCGGAAATGACCCGACCCCGTTACGGCAGTTGGCGATCGTTTCTGCTTGGCAAATGAACGTCGAAAGGGCGAGCTTGGTTTGAAATTCGACTCTACGTCTCCTTGGTCAGAACGCAGAACCGTCACAGACAGTTGAGAATTATTCGACTGGGATGTAAATTGTTCTTCCCCGCAGTCACCGGGGCTGGAATGAGGACGACTTTCTTTTTCAAATGCCTGCGATGGAACACCAAGATTGAGCGAGGAGGATAGCGGTGCGACCGATGAGCTGATGTTAAGCTTGGAAGTATCGATGTCCGGCGGCGACTCGTTCGAGGAGGGGCCATCGGGTGAGGGGCGACCGTCAAAGGTAGTTGTGAGTGTCGGTGTATCTGGAATGTCTGGGAGCTGGGGAGGGCTGGTAGTCGGACTCCCATTTGCTACTTTGACAGCTGACAGCGCAGGGATTGAAGCAGGCGAGGCAGACGAACGCCGATGGTCTCGGCGCCAGTACGAGAAGACAGTAGACGACGGCATTGCAGTTATTTGAGGCCCTCACAGCGCCAGTTTCAGTCGTGAGGATTAACAAGGGGCGTAATGGTCCATTGCAGTCATCAACTGCATGTATTGGGGGTGAACAAAGATGCTGTCATATACAGACAACTAAACCGTGGGGAGGATGCAGAGCCCACCCGTGGACTTTCTTAAGCCCAAACGCGTGACGAAAAAAGAGCGGGTAATCCGCAGATCCGCAGTAAATCCGCAGTAAACATGCAGTAAACATATCCAATTTTTTTGTCTATTTATATAGAAGACAAGATGAAAAAGTACTTTGTAACGCGCGGCTAAACGTTAGGTTACACTCATGCCTGCTGTAGTGTCTGGGCCTATCTACAATATCGCGCCACATTCTTGCCCCTACTTGCTTCCTGTCTTAACTCTTCTCTCAAGGTTTTGGGTCAAAATCTCCGGAAATATATGCACTAAGTCTTCTATAAATCGTACAAGTTATGCTGCGTGGATATCCTTCGAGAAAAATAGATCAAAGAATGACACGCTCAAACCATATGCTATGCTAACAAAAAGATAAAGCAAAAATTAATTAACGCTTTCAACGGATGCTTTGTCTCCAGCGATCGATCACTTGAGGGTCAACTTGGACTGGGCTAGGGTGTTGTGTCATGCTTGGAGCATATCCCATGCCATTCATGCCCATCATCGCAGGGTTCATAGGATACCCATATTGTTGTGTCATTGGGTAACCCGCAGGTGCCGGATATCCCATTTGGGGTGGAAACTGTTGCATGGACATGCGGTTCCCATACTGGGACATGGTCACAGGCCGCTGATTGAAAATATCATACGACGATTGGCGAGCAAGCTGGGAAGGACGACCCTGTGTAAGCGCGGCCATGCTCCGGCGCATTCGCGGGTTTTTTGGGGGCCCGAGTTGGGCAGCAGACTCTTTCTGAAGACGGCTGCGGCGTTGTGCGAGTGTCTCTTCCTCGCTAGGACCGGGGACTTCTTGGGCTTCTTTGGGCGCACCTCCAGCCCGGCTATCAATTTCAGCCATCAAGTCGCTAGCGAATTTACTCTCCGAGCGGTTGTGTCCCTTCAATCGTTGGAGTCGTTCGGCGAGAGTCTCTATCTCTGTCTCATCATCACTCTCGGCGGCCGGCTCAGGAACATGTGCCGGGGGTTCTGCATACATTGTAGCAGGACGTTGCTCCGGCTGCGGGATTGGTTCACCCCGCAGCCTAGCACGGCGTGAGCTCAGAGGCTCATTTTCTTCTTGCTGCCGCAGCGCCATCAACCCCAAGGGTCGATCATCATCTTCGTTATTGTTTTGGTCGGGGTATAGCATAGCCAGGGGGACATCATCGTCTTCATCCCGCCCTTCCCAAGCCAAAGCGACACGGCGCTGCCGCCGTTTGTCGCTTTGCTTTTGGGCCCTTGCGTCCATTTCTAACAAAGTGGTCTGCATGCCACGATAAGGCATGGGCACCGCCGTCCGGCGTCGGTGCTTCAACTCATGCTTCCGCAACTCCAATTCAGCAATCAGGGTGTTCGGTGGACCGACATAATCCAATTCCTCATCTTCCGACTCCTCTTCGTCTTCAGATTGATCATCGCTTTCACTCTCAGTGCCTTCCGACCCACGCTCGTGGCCTTCCTCATCATGGCTTCTATCTGAATCATTCCCAGCTTCCGATCCATGTCGCGGATTGACAGGGTTTCCATGCTCGTCTACATAATTAGTGTTATAGGGCTCGCCCATCGTGGCTCGTGAAAGACGACTTGTCTTTTGCCCTGCCGGATCTTTTGTCAGGGTCTTGCGTTTTGATTTGTTATAGATGAACGCGCCGACATGACCAGCATAAGGGTGATCAGTGAAAGCTGAAACGGGGGCATTCGCAGATGCGTCCAAAATGCTATCCAGCGTAGCAACCGCAGACTCCTGCTTAACCTCGACCTGGAGTGATGTACTCGGCTGATCAAAAAATACGCTCGCACGGAGATGTGGTGGCACTGTCGATTTGCGTTTATCGCTATCTCGTGGGTCTCTTCGTTCGGCGTCAGGCAGCACAGCAGTCGACTTTCTATTATCGGCAGCGATGGCACCTGCAAGGTATGTACGACGCTTATCCCGGTCGATGTTTTCCTTGCGCGACAACTTCGGTGGCAAGTTCAGCATACGTGGTACAGGTGCGGGATAAAACACCATATTCTCTCCTGCTCGCGGGTGTTTGTAATGTTCCGGCTTGCGGGCGAGTGGCGGCTGCTCCAAAGAAACCTGGCGACCCTGTTCCGATGGTGTGAAATGGACGCCATCAAAGTCGGTGAATAGTGTCCGCGCCTGCTGGTATGTATCGTTCGATGCGACCGAAGCCCGGCGCTCCACCTCCGCCTCTGCGGGAACTCCTTGTGGGACATATTGATCGTAATAGTAATCGCTCTGAGTATTGAACAGAAGTTGGGACGGTGGTAGATTAGGGAGCTCGGGAAATTCATCCACTTCATCCTCATGTCCATGGCCCGCAGGCTCCGAGAGCTGAGCCAGACGCGCCCCCGAGACGGAGCGCTGACGCGCCGGGGATACATTCGATCCATGGGCGGAGGAAATTGTCCCTGCTGGAGAGAATGCACCATTCCGGTGAATGGAATTGGACGTGGAACTAACTGAGCGTCGCTTTTGTTCTTGGTCGATACGACGGATCTCGCTCTCGATGTCCGTGGAGCACGAGCTCAGCTGCTCCGCGCTTTGTTCCAACCGCGTTACATTTCCTTTATAGGCTCCTTGTATCGACTGTAAATCCGGGGTAGGGTGGCTGAGAGGTACGGAAACCTCGCTACATGCGCTGTGGAGGGGGCGCTCGGGAGAAGAAGGTCGCGCCGCATTCGTATTGAGTGGTGGAATGCGGAGGCTGTTGGATCGCTCTTCGGCGGGAGGATCGGCATCATAGTCATCATCCTCCACCACATCGTAGCTAGTAGAAGTCATGGAGCGGATTATCGAACCTAACTGACCGAATCCGGAGTTGTCTTCGGTTTTGGCAATTTCCAGGTGGCTCCCTCCCCCGATGTGATCAGTATCAAGCGGCAACTGCTGGAATGCATGTTCATGAGCAGGCGAGGGCATGGGTGATACGGAAGCAGAAGAAACAGAAGCCACCTCGTGGTCGACTTGAGCGACGGCGTTGTACGCCATAATATAGGTCTTTGTCACCAACTATCCATCCAGACCAGTTCAAATTGATAGGCCAATTTCAGGATCAAAGGGACTCGAAATAACGGGGATACCAAACAAAGCAAAGGTAGAATGGAGGGATGGGAAAGAAAGTAAAAAAAAACCCAGGAGAATTGGGCTGGGGATAGCGGCTAATTTTGGAAGTTTGCCGTCGTACAATAATTTGCCCTGGAATTCCAAAAACGAATGATAATGCTAATTCTATTAATGCTAATAATATCGATGTAATTTCCTCCTAAATCGTTCTAAATCAAGGAATTAAAGCCACTAGGCCATTTAAGGGGCCTTTGCGTTCATGTCTCGGACCAGTCACTACGTTCTGCATGCCCTAGGGTGATTTAACTCCCCCACTTCTGTTCTAGAGGTCTTGGCATTTTTGTATATCTACGAAATAGTTATGAGTTCACTCTATATCAAGGAGTAAGAAGAACTTACCCCTTAGAATATACTAATAGGACTCTCACCCATTTTTTTCCCCCTCTACCTCGTTACCTTATTTACAGGCTTCCTGGTAATATGCATAAAAAATGCGTCCTAAATAAGCAATACCGAGGTGTCTATGTCTGAGCTGAAGTACTGGACAACCCCGGACCAATCAAGCCATCAACAGATATCGGGGCCTCAAGTTGTTTTTCGATTAGATTGCATTGCCTTGCAGCAACATCAATCCCGCCAATAAAAATACAGGTGCTTGGTGCTTGAGACTCGAAATGGTCGCGTGATCTGGCCCATGTATGTATCCTGTATGTAGCTATGGAGTATATTGTACATGATTTTCCTCTGCCACTTGTTAGCTTTCCCTTTCCGTTTTAGTATTCAGACCTTGCCGCTTTTGATGACTAAGCCGCTCTCCACGCCCTGGTGCTGGGTGGGTGACGTCTGGCTAGTTTGGCGACCTCATCAGATATGTGGCGTGGCTACGACAAGAATCCATTCATACCACGGATTCAAAGCTTGCGTGGCCTAGATTACTCTATACCTTATAATCTGGCCCTATTGCATCTATACCTCATAATCTAGCCTTATTGCAGACTAAGAGGCGAACGTACATCTGGAAACAATGCCGTAATGTTTCCATGACCACATCAGATTGGTCTGTCACCTGTTCCTTGGCACATCCGCAATTCAGTATCTTGAGGTTCGAGATTAAACCAGCCTTTTGGTTACGAGCTCTAGATTCGAGTCACACTGAATTCATATACGCATTCAATCTGGTATGACTGCGACATCAGACCAATTAGATACTGTCAGCACACGCTCGATTGCCATTCAATACATTAACCTAGACCGGATTCAGAAATATCGGACATGCGGCTTTTTAATTGACCATCTAACTAAACTGCTCCTTCTAGATTCATGATGATGTAACAATGAACATAGAATCATATGTGTAGATATACTAATATAGCCGCTGGTCTAGGTTACTTAAAGGCGCCCACAGCACCGGTGTCAGTCCACAGAACATGCCTCATCACTGATCTAGTTTTAAACTAACTATCACAGAAACTTTATTAATAGTGAGCATATGGTATAATACACCTATCGAAAATAGAGCTAACGACAGTTCCGCAAGTCAAGTTCGCCAATATAAACTTCCCATTTCACGGTATTCACTTCCCACCTAAGAAACGGTGTTTGTGGACTAACTTTAATTTGTGAAAGGACGATGTCTAATTTCACCACCGTCGGTCCTTTCAAGAGTTCCTACAAGTTTTATCACAAAGGGGTGGAATCACGTCCGGCTTGGGCTTATACACAGGCACGCAAGAATATCGAAGCTCAATGGGGTGAATTCTTGAAGGGTTTTCCTGATACTGCCTCCGTTGGATTTGGTGATTATGTGCAAGGTAACCTAGGAGGAACCATTGGACGTATGGGGTCGTGGGTGCAACTACCCATTATCAAAAATCCCGGCAGCGAAACGAAAAATGTCGGCGGTGCGGATAGTTGGAAGGTTTGGTTCGATGTTGAGTATGAAATTGTCTTTTATTTCATTGATTCGAGAGTCGGAGCCGATCCGCCCAAGGGGTTTTCAACTGCTGAAGTGGACGCTGCAATTGAAAAGGGCACAAATGGTAAAGTTCTGTGATTCTCTTACTCCTGGAAGTCATTGTGCTAGGATTTGTCATATTTTGTAATTTGTCATATTTTGTAATATTTTGGGTCGGTTGAAATGGTTTGAAATGGTGATTCCTACTGGAGCGCAGAGTCGTATTATTTATTGTTATCTTTTCGTCGTTATTGTAAACCAACTAAACACAATACAAGAATGGACCCGTTGGCTTGTTGCTACGGTTACGTTTTTAACTACCTAAGTGGTTTAGCATGTGATAGTATTGGCATATAATTTGTAACACTCCTAGGGAGTCTTGGGTTCCAAGCTTAATACGCCTGAGTGCTTATAGGAGACTATTTTATCGCTTAGCCAAGATATAGCCAACCCTAGTTCGTCTATGTTTGCCTATAGTAATTTATATGCTAGGCCTGACGCAGCTTAGAAAAGATTCCCGTGTCTAAATGCTTTTCCTGGGATTATGCGATTAGCTCTCATGCACTTACTCTATACCCTGGATAAAAGAGAAGATAAAACAGAATCATCTTCTGGAGCAGGGTCTATATCCTACTCACAAGTTAGAGAATGGCCTTTAGGTCTAGTTTTGAATAGGCGCAAATACCTGCATAACCGGACATTTCTTGACTACCGCGGAACTGATACTCAATTGATATAGTCGTATTGGGTAAGCGAGCTTGCTTTAGTAGTTATATTTCCTAAAGCTACACCTATTGCTAGCGTCTTAGCAATAAGGAACAATCATATAAGAGTATCATCTTTCAGGAATAGATACTGTGCATTTTGGATAGGCCTTGTGGCCGAAAAAGGGCAACGAGTTGGATACGTACCGATTTCATATAACCTGGTGCACCCTGTAGGTGTATTATAGTAACGCCAGAGGAAGCGGTGGCTAGTATACCACTGCTGGTGGCTTCAACGCCTGCGACCATGAGAACCAAGAGAACATGAAGAGATGTAGAATTATGCAGAGTATAGACCATATTCGAGCATATTAGGGAGAATTTTAACTAGCCGGTAATGATTAAGCCACGCCACCTGGTGATTTCGACCTTTGGCACATCAGTCGGTCGTGCTCCAAATTCAGATCCTTATAATTGTCCCCGCAGTCTGGGGAACTTGGTCCAATTGGCGCGAGAGCATGATATCAAGGCCAATATGAAGCCTCCGCTAAACCGCCCTCAGGGCCGGGAGGCTGGACTTACTGATGAAGGCCCGGCTGGCCTAAATGGGCCCCTTGGTGCTGCTGCAAAAGCGCAGAACGTTGACAAGTCAACTTGCATCATTTATGCTACAAAATTTTGCTTCCTACCTCTTTGCGATGTTTGTCTCTGTGTGATAATTGATCGCGCAAGCTTAATTTTGCCGGTAGTGTGTGAATAAAAATGGATGCATAGTAAATTATGTATTTGAACCCTGAGCGACACAAATTTACTGTATAACTGTGTGATCTTAGCACACCAGGAGCATGATAACAAAATTCAGTAAGTAGACTTTTGGCTACTAGCTTCATCAAATGAATCGGTCCGAGGCCATATTACGTATGGTTTGCACGAGATAACATATGCAGCGTCCTCAATTTCCTAGTAAATCAAATTTCAGCACATGATGGTCATATGGGGTTCAAAGAGGGTGGGACCCAAGGGATCCAGCAATTTGTATTGCGAAAAGTCGGTTGTAAAGAGATATTTCACCATACTAGTATTGTATCTACGTATTTTTTTTGCTCGTCCAGCGTGTTGGTAGAGTGAATGTGGTTGACTAAGAGGGAGGTGTAGCCCTTCCAATGGCCAGACAACCAACCCCATCCGACCAACTAGTCTGTTTGGCTTGTTTGCAAGTGGGAGGTTCGAGAAAGGGTATGGTCAATACACTTGTGATACGACAGCTATTTTTGGGCCATTATTAATTACGGTTGTGATACTGCCCAGAATATGGGTCAGGGGTAGCCTAGCTATAAAAAGGATGGCGCCATGCGAAATAGAGTTCTGGAAAGAATTGAAGAGACCCCAGTAAAGAGATTCGAGCGCGTCTATATACTCGTAGACATAACGTTGGGAAGCACTCATGACCCGTGGACCTGGAGAGCGCTTAGTGGACCTTACTAAGCCACCACGTGATTTATACTCAGTTTAGTGAACCCTGGAGGTTTGAACCAGACTGAATTTTACTCAGTAGTAAGCCTGACTTTAAGCGCCCTCACAAAAGCGGCGGCAGCTTAGATAGGGAAGCCCCACCTGACAGAGGGAAAACGGTACAAAGTACGTACATATATGTACATACATAGCTACATATGTGCATACATATACGGAGTACATATCATATGTACCTATGTTCAAAGCTGATACAAAACACAATACCCTTGCATAAACCTCACCTTACGCCCCATCTCTACTAGGGACAACGCATCAGTTTTCTACAATACTACTATGAGGCCAATCTTCTTGGAGTACTCAGGTTCAATCAATGCATTTCGGGAAACCATATTTTGAACCAGCGCGAGCATGGAGTTTCTGTTCTTCTCCTGCACAGTATGACCAAGCGCCGCATACTCACGCCTTACATTGCCTAGTTGCATCCAAACAATCCGGGTTTTCACGCATACTCACTTTGCAGACCACTTAGCACCGTGAATTTCAGATTTTGCTTTGTAGGTAGGCGTCATTTCGCATACCGGAGGTGATATCGAAGAGGTCCCCCGGCTGAAATTTGCGGATATAAGCTACTGGCTGGCTGCCTATGCTGAAGTTGTAGAAGGGACGCCATTATTCTTGATAGAGAGATCACGAGGAAACCCCGGAAGAGGGTTTAGCTCTCACTTTGGGAGATGGTCGTGGACTCAGATGACTTCTTCGAGTTAAAATAACAGGTTTAGTTGGTCTTTGGCCACCATGGCGGTCTCACTCACTGCATCTAGCCCTATAAGGCGTTCCTTATGCACCTTCCTGCAGCACGGACTGGACTGGCGGCGATCATCTTGGGAGGACTGACTAGCTTGGGTGGTCAAGATCTGAGTAGGTTTCAGGGCAATATGATGTGCTGCGCTCATTGGTCTGGCTGCAAGAACAAGTAGATATATGTACATAGTACTCCGCCATGCTACCTAATCGTTTACTTGTAGCTCGGAGCTCGGAGGGTTTTCACTGCGGCCTACCTATGCAGTTAGGTATGATCAAGGCGATCACCGTCCCACCCTCGGGAAATTAAGGTTATTTTGACCTGCCACCATTGACACCAGATTAACATATATGTAGTTATCAAACAAATAATGACCAAGCATATTTTTCACCAAGACGGTTTCTATGCTTTTCCTTATTACCAAATAATACTTCGAGGGATTCCCACTCCACAAAAATGGAACCATTCCGGCGTACGCGCTAACCTGCCCAAAACCGACGCAAGGCTGTGGCTAGGTCATTCCACCGCCTAGGCATGCATGTAAAGACCAGACCACCCGGCCTGACGCAAATCCTGTTACAGGAAATTACTATTTAACGGCGCATAGGAGGAGTTATACATTATTCCTGCAGCAGCAAAGCCACAAACGATATGTCCGGTATGGAGCTCACTCCCAGCACATAGTCCACATATTAACAGATCCCATTCCTAGAACTTCAAGGCAAATCCGCTCCTCTCCGTGTGGGCGTAGTGCTATTCCCAGGTTTTCAAGCCCTGGATGTATTCGGCCCAGTGGATTGCATCAACGTCCTCTCATGGAGCCACAGCGTGACGCTGGCACTCATATCCTCAACCCTAGATCCAGTGACAACGAAATCGCCGGCATCCGCCAACGCCGTAGGCCAAAGCGTGGTACCCACTCACACTTTTGCAACAGCACCATCCCTGAATCTGCTTCTCGTCCCCGGTGGCCTGGGCGCACGCGGCTCGAGCCCTGCAATCGAAGCAGTAATCTCGTACATCCGAAACGTATATCCTCAGCTGAGCTATCTCATTACAGTTTGCACTGGCTCGGGGCTTGCAGCGCGAGCTAAGGTTTTGGATGGGAAACGAGCCACGACGAATAAGATGGCCTGGGCTGAGATTACGGGTCTGGCGGTGAATGTTGATTGGGTTCCTCGTGCGAGATGGGTGGTTGATGGTAATGTTTGGTCTTCCTCTGGGGTTAGTGCTGGTATTGATGTTACTCTTGCTTGGATCGAAGAGGCCTATGGAAGCGAGGTGGCGAGGAAGATCTGCAATAGCATAGAATATACTCGACATGAGGAACCTAGTCACGATCCGTTTGCTGTATTGTATGGGCTTTGATCGGTTACCATGATCGTGTCTGATTTCGCCTCTTATATTTATATCAGGAGGGTCTCCACTCTGTCTGGAAATTTGATGGGAAAGGAAATCTAAACTGTTGTAATAATGTGCAGTTGACCTTGCTAAATGTCTCAAGCGTTCCAAGTAGGACAACTTTGCCGATGTCGCCGAGTCAATATCCGTCGATGAACATAGCGACAAAGCGACTTGGAAGACTACAATGTATCTTCAAATACATGTATCAAACTAAGATGATGTGGCATGCATGTGTCCATGCGTGCAATGCCATATAGGGTATGTGATATCTTTGTGATATCTTATGCCTGGAATTACGAGCTCGGGTCCAACACACAAAATTACATTTACATTGTTAGCTTTATAGAGATTTCCATGCATCCTTCTAAGACTTTGTTTTTCTTTTCAAAAAAGGAAAAAAAAGTGTGTCGTAAAATAACAGCATGCTCTCTCTCTTATTAAGTCGTGGGGTATGAAGCGCATAACTATCTAGAACTGACGATTTAGAAGTGCCAGATTGCCCATCTAGGCAATCGAGTGATTTTCCCCCACCAATCTGCCAGATTGTAGTAAATTTGTCGTAGCCATTTGAGAACAGGAAAGAGCCGGATATTTCTAAAGCTCATAACTTCCAGAAGTTGTGAAGGATGTCATCGGGTACTCCACCAATTTCCATTTCGCGAGTGACACGTGACCGCGCGCCGTTATCGACGCGCCTCAAACTCACAACTTTGCGATCAACAGAACATGAACATTTCAACGTGTCATCATGTCTTACTATGATATTGATTCTATCTTGACTGATGCACAGGTGAGATGATTGCGATCACATATACTCACCATAACTTCACAGAAATGAACAATTGCTAACATCGTGGATCCAGAAATTGCCATGTACATTTGAGCTCGAAGTACCTGGACTCGGTATTCTAGAGGGCAATGCGGGTGATGATGTGAGTCTACGCTCTAGTTTTCACTGCTCGACCGTGCAGCTGACTGACCCGTGCACAGATCAAAGCTGGAACCCGGATCGATCTTCCACTATGGCTAGGTGAAATGCTCTCGATCGGGTAAGGTCCCAACCAATTCAGCCTACTCAGAAGACCAGAAGTGAAGTTTGTTATTTTCCTAACGTGGTATGTGGTCGTTACAGAGCACGTCTAGGAACGGCCCGTCTAGTCACGCTCGACATGCCCGAGGCACTTTCGGAGCGAGTTATGAATGCACTGAAGGCAGATCCCCGCACGCTTGACTTGCGCGCTTTAGCACCTCATTTCTACAATCTGAGCGAGCGGATTCTCGAACTCTTCGAGGAAGAAGAGATGGTCGATGTTCTCGGAGATGTAGGTTTCTCTGATCTCCGTAGCTGGCGAGGTCAGCTTATTAGTCGAGTTGGGACTAACGAACTGTCAGGCATTCAAGAAACGAGCGGCAGATATCGCTGATCATGCGCATAACTCGCGTGGTGCAGTCGGGGGCGGAGTTGATTTCCTTCGCGGACTGGATGAGACTGAGCGACAATGTAGGTTTTGACTGTCCCTCTTTCGGATCGATGGGAGGAGGATGAGGTCACTAACAGATATGGTTCGATAGTGTTCCGCGCTGCTCATGACCGGGCCAAGGACATGCGGATCTGGTCCGGAGAGGCGAAACGTAAGTAATAGACCTTTCTGACGAGGCATTTCTCGTGGGCTCTGAGCTGCGCTCGCTCATGAAGATTATGATACACTTTATGCGACAATATGATTCTTCGATCCGATAGGGTGTGACTTAGGACACAATGTCTGTGTCTCTAATTTACTATTTCATTATCATTAAAAAGTATTTCAAAGCTATTGGAAGATTAGAATTTAGATGAAGAAAAAAAGATATCTATCACATGTTATATATACATTTGACAGTTTGTTTGACAACTTATATGTGTTATACATCTAGCGAAGGAACCCGACAGGTTCGAGACATAGGATTTGCCTATGTGGGGACATGAAATCTGGATCCATGGAAATGGAATCTTGATATATCAAAACATTGAATGTCAATTCTTATATACATGTCGTTTATAAAGATTCAATTAAGATCTATAAGTTATACTTATTATCATTTCTCATTATATATTTCTAAGTTAAACTGGATTTTTTTACTACTCTGTCCACGGGTACTAACGGTTACCCGTTGTAAGCCTATGAAGTCAGAGAAACCCCGCGTAAAGTGCCAGAGTGAGACTGCCCCACGGCCCAGATCCGATTGGTGTGATTGTCAAGAAATAGAGAGACTTGTAGCGAATTGATCGTCATGCTGAGGAGCCTATTGAATCTAGCCTCGGGGGCTGGGAAAAAAAAGAAAAGCAGTGTACGGAGTAATAATATCTTGGGAGTTCAAAGCTGATCTTCTGTTGTTCTTCCATTCTTCGAATCTTCCATTCCTTGCCTCTCGTAACAACTGTCCCTTCTCCATATTTTGTACATCAAAACAATAACATCTACTTTGTACATAAGTGGGGCCTGTGACTACCCTTTTTTTCTCTCTTGATTGGGGATCGACTCATCACAATTTGTTTACATCACCCTCGCTTCGTTTGACTTGTCGCTGTTCCGTCTTTCCCTCCCTTGAATCGTGCATTTGGAAGTGGGAGACCCCTTCTATGCCTTGATTCGGGCCTATTGACTCTACAAACCTACCTTGCACTCCACAGGTTCGACAAACCGGCTTGTGATTGCCCCCCCAGCTGCAACACATCTGCACCCCTCGCATCGCACCTGCTTTTTACCCACCGCCATCCAATCACCCAATACATTATCTAGCGCCTATCCAATTGATATCAATCTCCCTGGATCCATCCATTAATCCTCCGATGCGCCTGGTGGATCGTGCAGGAAATTGTCACCGTGGTGTCCATTGATTGACCAGAATACTGTAGTGTTGCGTCCAAAGCGGGAAACTGGGGGCTTTTTGCGGCACGTCAATTATGCGCATTCGGTGAACATTATGCCTGCAGCCATTATGGATGAGAAAATTCAAAGAAGGAGCTCGGCTGCTGGTCAGCCTGCTCCTTCGCACTCCCGAAACCCCGTATATCATCCCAAGGCTGCACCCAAACGCAGTCTCTCTTCTAAAGACCACTCTCCTAGTACGTGATCTCTGAACTTGGAACTGCTTGTATCGAGTTCTAAAAGTCAGGGTTAATTAATTAAAGCTGACATTGCTTCTTCCTCAAGGCTTGTCAGAACGTCCTCAGCACCCATCACTTTCCCGCGTCAAGGGTCGAGCGAATATGTTTACTCCGCCTCGTGTGAGCGCAGAGGCTTCCTGGCTGAGGGACCAGTCGCCTATCCATCAAGATACAAGGACGTCAAACCGTTCATCTGGTATGTCTATTAATCTCTACCGATTGCCAGCAAGGTTGGATCGCTCCCGAGCACAAGTGACTGATTATATGTGGCTCAGGCACCCCCGAACCCGGTACCCCTACGCTAGTAAACCCTGCTTCAGCTCTCCTGCAAGATTTACTGAAAGAAGAACGCGCACATCGAAGCTCCCGGGGAACAATATCTGAGGAGTACAAAGAGAATGTCGCTGAAACTCCTGAGGCGACCCGAACCCAGGAAGATGCTGCCTCCGAAAAAGCACGCAAAGTGAGTGACGTCTTCTCTGCTGGCCAGAGAAAACCGAAAGAGATGGGCATGCGGGAAATGGACCAAGTAAGTTCATTAGTACGAGAGGCCTATGTGCACTGGCTGATTTGTCCGAAGTACGTATCAAAAATGAACAAGCTCAATTTCGATCTGAAGCTTGAAGTGTTTCATCGAGCACAACAAATCGCTACATATGAAAAGAAGCTGGAACGGATGGCGGAGATGGAAGAACAACTAGCTCACATGGCGGATTTGGTAGCAGAAGTAGAGGAGCTTCGAACCACTGAGAAAGACAATCAGATCCTACGCGAGTCTAATGAGCAACTTCGGCTTGACCTTGACAAGCGTGACCTGGCTGTTACTGAAGCAGTCGAGCTCATCTGCCAGCTGGAATCGAAAATTGAAATACTGGAGAACGGTGGCCGGGTCTCTATGATATCTATGTCACGTCCTATAACCGCTGATGGCTCCGAGGCCTCAGCGCTGAAATCCCGGGCCATGATTGAGATCCCGGAGAGAACCTCTTCCATGCGAAATTCAAGTATCTTGAGTGTAACTCAGCGCCAGACATCTTCCGAGCTACGCAGACTCTCGAAAGCACCCTCCTTCCTACGAGCGGATAACAAAAGTACTGCCACTTTGCGAAGCCTTTATACTCCTGAAGAAGAAACCCAGTCACGCTCTGCAAGGACGGAGCTTTCGAAATCAGCGAGCTTCCACACGACCACCGAGGCTATGGAGCCCGAGTCACCCAGATTGAGCGTCTTGAGTGAATGCAGTGAGCTGAATCCGTTTGACACACCTATGAGGTGGCAAGAATTTGATCAACTCGAGATCCCTATTAGGCGATCGCCGTCGACTGCGGGCAGCGTGGATAGCTACGTTCCCCCAAACAGGCGGGAGGAAAGCAAAGAAGACCAGATTGACCGGTGGATGCAGTCTCGCGAAGAGGTAAACCAGACTGTGATCACGAGACGCAGGAACCGAGCATTATCTGATGCTACCAAGGTCAGCATACCCAGTTTTACAACAGACTTGTATGCTCCCAAGCCGCGTGGACGCGGACGACTGGATGCATCTCTTTTCGGAGGCATCAGGCTTCCTCCCACTCCTGACACCATGAGTACTGCATATGCTAACGGGGCAAACCGATCAAATGGATCAAATGGGAGCATTAGAGCCCGAAAGAGCCCACAGACCGAGTCTGATCTGTTCTTCTCCGGTAGGCGAGTTAATCGCCCACGTTCTGCAGAAGAGATGGCTAGTCCCTACAGCTTCAACGGCAGTGAGCTTGACGTCAGCATGCAAACCAATTGCAGTGATACTCCGCGCATAGGAGTCACAGCTGACGAGTCACGTACTATCTTGCCCTCTTTCAACCCAGTTTCCTCCAAAGCCAGCGCGCTTCTTGGGCCTGGAAGCCCCGGCAACCCTGTCATCGAGAAGTTTGGAGATATGTACCACGCAAATGCCAACGAAGCATCAACCCCAACAATTAAACGTGTCCGTAGCCCACACAAGGCTATGACTCCGGAGGCGCACAATAGTGACCGCGACTCCTCACCACCACTCACACCCCAAGACTGGGTTGCCGCTGCAAAGCAAGGTCCACGGTCTCGTAAGCCGAAGCCGCGTGAGACCCGCCGCGAAATTCAACAGAGAGAGCTATCGCCTCGCACTATGGCCAGCCCAGCCGCCTTGCGCGATGACAGCAGCATCGCTTCGGATCCAAGCGAGCCCGACGTCCCTGGTATCCCAACTCTTGACATGGCAACTTTGGATATCTTGGAACGACCTCGCGACCCTGACCAGTCAGAGCCCAAATCCGAAGCTAACCCCGAACCCCGTCGCCGCCTCAGCTTTATACCCCCATTCTTCAACCGCTCAGCCAATAACCCCCGTCATCCACAGGGCTCCCCAATTCTAAACGACTTCGAAGATGATGATGAAGACGGCGCCCCATCCCCGGTGATTCCCAAAACCAGAACAATGGGAGGCGCCTCTCGAAGACCTATTTCTCAAATAATCACCGCCCCAGGCGACCTATACGCCAACCCTACAAACAATAATGATGAACCGCCCTCAGCCTTCAGGACACGAGGACTGCCGCAATCTTCGACAATGTCAACACTTGCTGACCACCACGTCTCCGCAACAATCTCAGGACGGCCCTCCACATCCCATGGCATAGAGCACAAGCGGCGCAGCTCACTGGGCATTTTCGGCTGGATAAAGAGTAAACGCTCTGATTCCGTGGGGATGGATAAGTCCACTGACTCCGCGCCGAAGGAGAACCGTGTTCCCTCGCGTTTAGCTTCTGAAACTAATCATGGGCTTGGACTTCCCCGTGCCGAGACGCCAGATTCCATGGAGGCCTATGTCAGACCTCACTCTGAAATGACTATTCATTCCGATGACTATGCAAGACGGCCTAGGTATATGGGTCGTCGTGCTCGCAGGGGCTGAGCTTCTGTAGAGGCAGTCATTCGTGCCTTACTCCTCGTTCTTTATTTTCCTAGTTCATCTCTCCTTGCCTCCATTCTCCTTTTTCCTTTTGTACTATATGATACCCAGCCCTGTATACACAGCAGCATGGCTACATTGTTCTTTGTTCTTATTGTTCACTTATTAAAGCACTCGACCGGTCTTGTTGTATTATGAGCTCTTTCTACATCATTTTATGTTTTTGCTTTCCTGATGTATGCGAATCACGACTCGAGGCTTCTGCATTTTAGGGAGGGATCTAAAATCGTATTTTTGATATCGATCCTACTGGCAGGGTTAATCTGAAATGGATTCACATCGTTTGATATGCTATATTACAGGAATAATAATTCTATTAAGTGGTTAGGGTCCGAATTCACCACAATGTGTGCATATGTTGTGTTAAACCGCGAGGCAACCACTTGATACTAACGCAATGGACCCAAAACCTTTCCTCCCTCATTCACCCCGTATGTTCATCATGTCCTAAATCATGCTCAGCAAGTCGGAGAATCCGATCTTGGCGGGCCACGCAGGTAGGATTCGTGACTGTCAAGATAGATCACTTAGAAAGTGAAGAATTCCAAGCTCTGGGGGGCCAACTTACGTGGCAGGTTGCTCCATTCCTCCGATTAGTCCGGGTTTGACCACAAGAGTACCAAACCGACCGGGATTCCCTTCCTAGTAGATATCAGCAAGTCTTTCATCAACCAGGGATATCAGAACCTTACAATGTGCGTCTTTGTGATGTGGCGGCGGAGGTTCGCGGCCATTAGCCTTGGTTTTTCGGCTTTGTTGAACTCATCACAGAAGGGACACCTGAATGCGCAGGGAGAGAATACCTAGGAACGTAATGCGTGTTAGCTCGGAGCTCTGGAAATGTTAGTCTGGAATACGCACGAGCTCGGCATGATGGATAGGCCAGTGGTATTGTTGTTTGTGGTTTGGGCAATCGCAAATCAATTTATCTCTGGTATAGACCTTTGTCAGCTTGTACCAATGCAGGTGGTGAAATGACTGAGAAACTTACACCCAGAACTGAGGCATGTAGTAGCCATATGGCCTCCAGTAGCTGCCCTCGGACCTGGGATCATTGCCAGTAACCCGACCAGGAACGGGGTTGAAGTCTAACCTGGGGTTACCCCCAGCGTTGGGGCTTTGGGAAGTTGACATCGTGCTGGATATCGCTGGTCCGAATTGATTAGCTTGTGTTGATGTGATGATAGAAGTAGAGTGGGAGTGGAAGCAGAGGAAGTAGAGAGGATGAGTTGTAATTAAGTGAAGAGTCAGGTAGCAGGTATGTCAATGGGTGTGTGTTGTTATTTAGTGCCGAGTTGTGACGGAAGAGCTGGGAATGATGTGAATTCGTTGTAAGGATGAGTGTGAATGAAGCACTTCTCGAAGTGGAAGAGGGAAGGAACCTACGGTTATAGCAATCAAAAAGATGAGGCATAACCTTGACTTCGACAGTTGATACTGATGTCTAGGACAGTCAGTTCTGAACATGATACTGGAGGTAAAAGCAGAGGTTGTAAAGGTTGCAATATCAAATGCAATTTCAATATCAAATTCAGGTAACTCCAACTTCCAACCTTTCCAGTCCATTTTACTCCCAATTCCAGACTTTTTCACTTTCCAAAACGCCCAGACATGATATACAGTAGCCAAAGAAATACCAAAAACAAAAAAAAACACCCCCTCTATCCAATAAATCCCAGCCCCAAACCTAATACCACTGATCCCCCTTCTCCCCAAGCTTCTTGTTCTTCGGATTCAGCGAAACAACCCGTTGCCCAGGAAGCGTATCCGCCGTAAAAGCCGCCTCAAAGATACTCGCAATCCCACGCTTAGCGTAATGCACAAAAGAATCATAATCATCCCTCTTTCCATTAATAGCCCCCCACTCAATCCCACCAGGCGTAGTCCCGTCCCCAAGGTCACTCCACCGCGTAACAACAATAGCCTGCTTGAACCTTTTATCCACATGGTCCTCACAAAGCTTAACCTCAATCAAATACTCAGTCGGACACTCAGGACACCTGCGCATCGGCCGACAAAACCCACACAGCGTCGTCAGCGCATTCGGATCAAACACCTGCCCCGCAATCCGGTCCTTCACCCGGTGCTCGATCCCCTGTAACCCACCAGTACTTCGCGGCCGCGGGATATGCTCCAGCGCACACTTACACGACGGCATCAGCTCGCCGTCACGCCAGTGCGCGCACGCGCTAAAGTACGGCCAGTAGTCTTCGCGCGAGTACAGGAGCATGCGCTGTGCGGACGGCGCGAGTCCCGGCTCCGCGAAGGTCTGGCTGGTAACGCGCATTAGGAGCCGGCCTGCGTTGATGTGGAAGCGGGATGTGTGCGACCAGTCGTCGCGCTGCCAGCGGCGGCCGAGCGCTTCCGCGGCTAGCCCGTAGCTGGGGCCGAAGCGGTGGGCGCGCATGACTAGCTGCACGAATACGAAGGGGATATTACGGCCGTGGGTTATGCGGTGGCGGGGTGGAGGTTTCAGGGGGTTTTTGGCGTTTGGGCAGTTGAAGAGCGGGTTTATGACGTGGGATGGACGGATGCGTTCTTTTCCTTCTTGTGTGCGTCTGTGGTATTGTATGCAGGGGAAGCAGAGGAGGTGGTGCGGGAAGGAGATATCCAGGCCGGAGAGGAAGTTGGTCTTGTGGGTTTCGTTGTCTGGGTGGTTTAGAGCCATGAGGTATCTTGGACCTAATCTTTGGTATAATGTGGTGTTGGCGATTGCTAGGCTTGCTGCGTCGGCGGGATTCAGGTATCCTGCTATGTGCACCCATAGCTTTGGTGAGAGACTTGCTATATCGCCTTCGCCTGGGGGCCGATTCTCATTATTCTCGTAAGTTGCAGCGCTGGTATCGTTGACGTCGAGTGTGCCTATGGAATGGATAATTTCCGTGTAATCCCTTCGTTCACCTAGTTGTGAGTCCACTTGCGCGTGCAATTCCTTGTATTTGAGTCTATGGGCGTGCAATGGAGCCAGCTCTGGCATCGGAGGAGCTTCCTCGACACTGGAGCGCGGCGACAGCCGCAGGTCTGTGGTCGATCTGCCCTTGCGGAGGGTTTGGCGGGATTTCTTGGGGCGCAATGCCTTAGATAAAAATGACTTGAAGCCATTTTGATGACCAGGACTCTCTGCCGACATCATTGAGTTGCTGGTAAAAGTGTTTTTGAGGGTCCAGATGGAGAATATTAGGGTCCTTTTGTTTCGGATGCTTGCGGTGATCTTCTGCGGTCCGCCCGGTCCGGTCTACCACACCACATTCGAGAAGAAGGGAAATAATAGCTGAAAATAATCTTATATTACCAAATTTATTGATCATATTAAAAAAACACATGCTACAATACAGGGGTAATAGCGCAAGTCATCATAGCAGCATTTACAAATCAAATAGAGTTATTTAAGCGAAGCGCTTCTCAACTGTCTTCCAGTTGATGACGTCCCAGATGGCGGAGAAGTACTCGACCTTGCGGTTCTGGTATTGGAGGCTAAAAAAAATCATTAGTATAGGGAATGGATCATCAAAACAGGAATTCTTACTAGTAGGCGTGCTCCCAAGCGTCAATACCGAGCAGAGGCTCGAACTGACCGACAACAGGGTCCTGGTTCTGGTAAGGGGTTAGTAACTAGGACATTTCGTATGAAGTATTATTGCCAATCATAACTTACGGCATAGGTGCGGATGCTGATCTGCCCGGTCTGCTTGTCCTTCACGAGCCAAGCCCAGCCACTGCCCTGAATGCTGGCCAGAGCAGCGTTCATCTTGGACTGGAACTCGCCGAGACCACCGTAGGTGGTGTCAATGGCCTTGGACAGAGCACCAGAGGGGGGCTCACCACCGCCGGCACTCTTGGGGGCAAGGTTCTCCCAGAAGAGGGAATGGTTGAGGTGACCACCACCGTGGAAGTTGACAGCGGGCTTGAGAGTGATCTGAGCAGCGATATCACCCTTAGCCTGAGCCTCCTGCAGCTGCTCCATAGTGTTGTTGTAGCTGGTCACATAGGTATTGTGGTGGTTCTTGTGGTGAATCTCCATGATCTTGCCGGAGATGGAGGGCTCAAGAGCGCCATAGTCGTCTTTGTTTCAATGTTAGCCTGAAGTCTTTACTTCATATATATAGATACAGGTGCTAAAACACCTAACTTACAGGAAAGATCGGGGAGGGTGGCTTTGCCGCGGGCAAAGGTCAAGCCCGCAGCTCCGGCCTTGGAGGTAGCCGAAGCCCCCGAGCGAAGGGCGACGCGAGCAGAGTTGCTAAGAAGAGCAGCCATTGTGAAAGTATGTGTTAGAAGGTTATTTTGAGTTGAAAAAAAGAATAAAGAGGTAGGCAATCGGAAGGACAAATGAATTCCAGGGAAAAAAAAGTGGTGGTAGCCGAGCTATAAGTAACCGGCTCTAACGTCATCTTGTTTTCGTCGGTTCGGATATATGTTATTTCGGTCCGAATCCACACGTGAATTTCATGAGCTCTGAACTACGACTCACTCTGCCATGACACTATATGCCTACTTTTACCTCTTTTGCTGAAAATCGAGGGATATTGACTTCACCAGTGAAGTTATGTGTCGGAGATAAATTTACGGTGAAAAAAATAAAGAGGTGTTCAATCGGAAAGAGAAATTCTTGGGCTCTGTGGAACTACTCCATACCTCTTCCAATTTTATACACCATCTTCGTGCCGAACATCCCATATACACTTGGGCAGTCAGTAAAGTAAATAAGTAATTGCACTGCCCTGTCTACGCTAACTACATTATATAATATTCTGCCAGACAAAAAAGCTTCATGTCATCTCCAAAAAAAATAGTCGACCGCTTATGCGGCCATATGATGTCTTTCTTTGGTAGTTTTTTTTTATGTTCCTCTTGAATATTCTTTCACGTATCTTTAAGATATATTTCCATACATCTATTCAGATGTCTTTTTAAATATCCTTTTTATTAGGTATTTTCTTCCACTTCTCGGTTTTATAACTAACCGGCAGGAAAAGGCGGTGGGAGGCTGAATTGTGATAATCAGCTTTCTATGTGTAACCTTTGGCTAATGTGGCATATGTAAAGAACTAGGTTAGAGTCTAGGGGAGAACAATATAGCCTTCTACTCGCGAAAACAGCAGCTTCGTGTACTATGTATTCTAGGCAAGGATAGCATGGAGCCGCGGCCCGCTCAACCAATTATATGCTATTTATATGTATTAGCTCCACCATCACTTTAGACTTCGACCATACGGAGTAAATACCCGTGGACTTTCTATGTACATGTACTTTGTACAATATACTTGTCATCTTCACATTTCATCAATTATCGCCGTCATGTCATCACCTAAGTTCCTCACTCGCTTCGAGGGCACCACGGTCACCCTCAGCCCCCCCAAGCCCCTCAACCCGTCACCAGAATTGCCGTTGCATGTTAGCCCTGAGAGATGGTAAATTTTTAGCCAGATGAACGAGCGCGCTAAGATCGTAAACCAGCAAGATGCTAGCAGCCCAAATACACTCGCGTTTATGCGAGTGTATAAGCAGGTACCTATTGCTGGCACCGAGTTTGAGAAGGCTCCAATCAGGGCCGCACAGGCCGTCAACTCGTATGAGCCTACAGAGCTAACTGCTCTTAGATCCCTCGAAGAGAAAGGCTGCGAAGTTATCCCTCGGCTCCTTGGATATCGGTCTGACCAACAAGACCAGGACGATATCGTCCCTGGGGGGTTTATCACGTATGTGATATGGGCAAAGGTACCAGGCGAGTCACTCAACATACAAGAGTTCTGGAGTTGCATGTTCTCTCAGCGAGAGGAGATTCGACTCAAGTTCCGCAAGGTCTACGAGTATATTATCCGGGCACCTTAACTATAATAACGGACATAGAGCCAATAAATGAGAATTAGGAAGCTTCAAGCGTACGGGTACTGTCCATGTTCTGGGATACGTAAGGCTATATACGACTGGCCTACCCGAACAATGTATATACATCCTATACTATTATTGAATATTAAACGAGCTAATACTTCTTAGGCACCTATCTGGATTCTCCCGCACGATTCGTAGCGTTGAAGATAGTCCCTGGTCGGATCGTATCTACGTCAATTATGGTCTCTTTCGGCCACCTACATCAATAGATCAGATTTTTCCCATCACCAGCGTTGATTTACAGTATGACGATAAGGGGTGGAGATGGTAGGAGGATGGATTGCACTGCAGGAGCAGTAGGGAGAATTGTTATACTCCGTACTATCTGCTCCTTTGATCATTTCTTTTAACAGAGGAATGTACTACTAATAAAAAGAGGCTATGGCTTTTATGTTCTTAAGAACAAACGACCTCTCGCTTTTCATACTCAGGGGAACCTCGCGTTCGACGGCACCAAAATCTAGAAAAAGAGACCAGTGAAATAAGGTAATGAGCCTTTAATGGTTAATAAAAAAATAGTTGCTAGATAAAGATTTAATAAGAAGTCAAGTTGATGGTTCACACGCGAGTTCTGATGCGCCTTAAGGGGCCCTGGGCAGAACTTGTTGACATAATTTTGGCATGTACGAGCAGAGTTATACATAGTAGTACAGCGAGGTTTGTATGTAAGTTTCACTGCTATCGCCTTCCTAGGTTTGAAGTATGCCACCTACCCCCCCAAAAAAAACCATACCTTTTATTGGCTAGTTCAGACAGGCAGAATGGGTGCTATAACTAACTATCGTCACCGGCTCTAACGTCATCTTGTTTTCGTTGGCTCGGATATATGTTATTCCGGTCCGGCTCCCCACGTGAATTTCATGAGCTCTCGACTGCGATTCATTCTGCTATGACACCATTTGCTCACGTTTACCCTTTTGCTGAAAATAGAGGGGACAGTCGACTTGGCCAGAATCTGCCAATGACCCCCTGAAAAGATGGCGTCGCCTTCGTTTTCTGGCCAAAAGCGCAAAGTCGCTGACATGAGCTCCGATGAAGAAACCACGCGCCCGGCCACCGGCTTTCGGGGGTTCGCCAGAGCTGCCTCTCGCTCCGTGACGCCTCCCACTATGGGCGGACTAGGTAGTGGAACCCGTGACAATCGAAACATCATGGCTAACTCCCGAGGCGGAGGCTCATCACGAGGTGGGAAAGGCATGGGACGTGGCGGTGGAGGGGGAGGAGCCAACAGTTTTGCCGCGCGCATGATGGCAAAGATGGGCTACAAAGAAGGACAAGGTCTTGGAACTACTGGCCAGGGTATCGTCAACCCGATTGAAGTACAGGCGCGACCCCAGGGTGCAGGCTTGGGCGCAGTGAGTGAGAAGTCCAAAAAGACCCGCGAAGAAGAGCGACGAGCCGCTGCACAGAAGGGAGAGATCCTTGAAGACAGCTCCGAAGAGGAACGGCAGCGGCGGCGGAAGAAGAAGGAGGAGCGCAAGGCACAGGGTCGGAGTGGCGCTGGTACACCGATCCAGCGTGCCAAGCCCAAATTCCGCACAGCGCGCGAAATCGAGGATGATATGGAAGGACTGGAAGTTCCCAATGTTCTCAAATCACTCGTCGATGCCACCGGAAAGGAGCAGCGTGTTCTCACTTCGACTGCTGGCTTGATGTCGACAAAACAATTCGTCAGCCAAGAGGAAGGAGAAGCGTTAAAGATTGCCCAGCGGGCCCGGAATGACCTGGAAGCATTTGCGGATGAATGGAAGGGATTAAAAGAGAGAAAGCTATTCATCGAACTCGAAGAAGCTCAGGTCGTGGACGAATTGGATGCATATCAATCCCGAATCAACCATCTTACAGGCTTAATTGCTGCAGTGGAAGAACTGGACATATTTGAACACGACGAAAGCATCAAGACCAAATTTGATGAGGTCACGGACAAGCTTGAAGATATGGAATCTAAATATCGAGATTCTATTGATGAGCATCGACTAGCAGAAACTGCAGTCGCAGCTCTACATCCGTTATTCCGCGAGGCCATGGACGAATGGGAGCCTCTTCAAGATCCTACCTTCCTTGTATCCAACCTCACCCGTCTTCAGCCTCTTCTGTCTCGCACGAACAAGTTAGAAGAGCCCCAGAAACGGGCATCCACCTCCCCTTACGAAACGATGATCTATACCCTCTGGCTCCCACGAGTGCGCTCAGCACTCCTGAATGATTGGGACGTTTACGACCCGTCCAAGGCAACCGCGCTGGTCGTGGCCTGGAAGGCTATCGTACCGCCATTTGTGTATGCAAACGTTCTCGACCAATTAGTCGTTCCCAAGGTGGGCCTAGCTCTCAAAAATTGGAAGCCTCGAACTAGCCGACGACATGCCGGTTCTGAACAAGATGGAAGGTTCCCCTGGTGGCTTTTCACTTGGCTCCAATACTTGGATGAAAGACACACCAACCCTAAACAGCCCACCGGTCTCATGTCTGACGCGAAGAGAAAGTTCCGCTCGGTACTCGACACATGGAGTCTACGCAAGGGCCTGGTCGATCGCGTTGAGATCTGGCGGGATGCCCTAGGGTCCGAATTCGATGTATGCCTATGCAACCACCTACTGCCACGTCTTGCGCGCCATCTTCGTGAGAACTTCACCGTGAACCCACAGGATCAAGATCTCACAGCGCTCAAAGATGTCCTATGCTGGAAGTCCTTCTTCCAGCCTAAGGTCATGGGACTATTACTAGTCTCTGATTTCTTCCCCAAGTGGCACGAGATTCTCTACATCTGGCTCACCAACGACCCCAACTACGAGGAGGTTGGAGCTTGGTTCACTTGGTGGGGTACTCAGATCCCGGCGGAGGTCAACGAGCTTGCTATCGTCGACGATGAATGGAACAAGGGCTTGAAAACCATGGACCTTGCCTTACAACTGGGCGACCGTGCCGCTGCCGAACTCCCACGTCCAAATGCCATTCGGGCAGCGCTTCCCACCCGGGAAGATAAGGTGGCCGCAGCCGCAGCAACTGCCGCAGCGGCTCCTGCCGAACCCCGGGTCAAGGCACCAGTTGTGGAAGAAGTTGCGTTCAAGGACATCTTGGAAGGCTGGTGTATGGAACAGGGACTCATCATGCTACCCTTGCGTGAAGCTCATCCACAGAACGGCCAGCCGCTGTTCCGTATTACTGCTAGTGCCACGGGCAAGGGTGGAGTTGTGGCCTTTGTCCAAGGAGATGTGGTGTGGGTGCAAAATAAGAAGGCGAAGGAGATCTGGGAGCCAATGGGATTGGAAGATCAGCTGGTTGAGCGTGCGGAGGGCCGGTAAACAATGGCCGATCATTGTCAGTGTACATTAAGTGGATTGACACTGCAATTGAACAAAAGTGTATCTATTCAAGATATCCAACCTTTGCCCTTGGCGGGGATGGCGACAGGCCTGTGCCTTATGGTACATATTGCAGAGCTTGAGCATGCAATTCAAGTTATGTACAACATACTCTGTACTTATTTTTTTTTTCTGTCTCCAATGCAATCAGGCATTTAAGCAGGACTGAACTACCTCCAGATATTATCTCCCGATGTCTTACATGATGTTATATAGAAGAAAATGTACATTGTGCTATTCCAAGCTTAAAGATAATACAGTCAGTGGACATCAATAATTGCATCCCGCCCCACACCCCTAAAGATTACCTAATATTCTGCCCGTCAAAAGAATCTCCATAAAGTATAATTATCTCGACTATTACTCCATATATAAGAGCACTAGCTTTAAGAGTCAGGGAAAAAATAAGACATTGATTTGCCTACAAAAAACCGCTGCTTCCTATACTATTTCCAGGTAGTTCTATCCATACATGTTATACATTTTAGGAAGACGGCATCAGCGGTGAGTTGGGTGGGGCCAAGGGGTATGCAATTACTTATGTCCAGTCACTGCACTCCATACATACTACAGATTACAGTGCTGTAACTTACTGAGATTCATTTCTAACACCGTCGAGGTACTAAATATGTCTAAACCAAGGCATCCCTATAGATCTCCACGAATTTAGGGAAAGATAATAGTGTCTATAGAATCAAGTCGCCAACGCTTTGTGTCTTTGAATTTGTGTTCGTGCAACCATATATTGCCAAGCAATTCACAGACTGTGTAATGATATGTTTGACTGCCAAGTAAGACAGAAAAGTCTATCCACTATACTTCCGAAAGACGCAAGCTAGTCCGATCGGATTTAAGAGTCTCGGGATATTCCTTATTATTTCGGGTAGTCGGAGATATCAAACTCCATGGATTTCCGACCTTCGGGGCTAGGACGTGTCCAGTGTGTACTCCGTATACAGTGGATATATATGGAACACGTCTGTTAACAATCAGACTGGGTATCACATCTGGAGCTTAGGGGAAGGGAGCCAATCAAAACTCACTGGGTGTGACTAGTGGATCTACAGATCTCCCAATAAACCACAGGAATGGAATGCGGATCTCCGTTCACAGCTAATCACAACACAGACAAAGGTCATCACAGCATACTTCACCAATCGTATCCGTTGGATTTGAAGATGACTCGCCCATTTTCTTCAACAAAATAGTACTGCCTTTGCAGGCTCTTAGACCTTCTATCTGACTGTCAAAGCTGACATTTAGGAGCCCTGTGATTGGTTCTGGGCCCCTCTTTGATAAATATACCTCCATTATTTCTTGTTTGCCTTGACATTTACAGTGGAATTTTGCTGTGTCTTTTTTTTTCTATGCCTTGCTGAGACCGGTGAGAGTCCGTGGGACTGTGGATGTTAAAAGGGGGGTGAGACCTGATTGTAGATGATTTTCTTTTCTCTTCATACTCGTTTCATAGTCTTTGTTGATACTTCATTGGATATCCAAGACCAAGACCAAGATTAAGACATTCTGGATTCTTCTGGATCAAATAAGGTGCAATTATTTTCCAGCTTAGCCTTCATCTTTTCCTTCGCCGCCTTGTAATTTCGTGACCTTTGCTACATCGTACCTTGGAGATATCCCAAAGCAAATCGTGGTTGCAATTTTCGAAGCATCATGGCATTCCTCTTCATCAAGCAGAAGCTCTTCCCTACAAAACGATCAGACAAAATATCCTCAGGTAAGTAGAGAAAAGGAGAATACATACCCACAGAGGGCATATATACTTACGACAATTCAATTCCAGGCAAACCCCTCCTCGCTCGCATTGACGATGACGACAGCATCGACGGAAACCCCAATGAAGACCTCGAGTCCCAGAATGGCCGCACCTACGACACCTTCGGACGGTGCCCCAGCCCAGACGAATCAACAACAACAATCACCAGCAACAGCAGCACCCGCGCACGTATAAACCCACGTATAGTCTCAGATGCCATCCTCGGTCTCTCAGACGGGTTAACAGTGCCCTTCGCCCTGAGCGCGGGTCTTTCCGCACTTGGAAACACAAAAGTCGTTGTGCTGGGTGGGCTCGCCGAGCTGGCAGCCGGAGCCATCTCCATGGGACTTGGTGGATATGTCGGCGCAAAGAGTGAAGCGTAAGTTTCCCCACATATGGCAACGAACAAAACACATGTACTAACAAGCACCAGTGAATCATATGAAACAACAGTCCGTGAAACACAAGAGTTAATCCAAATGGACCCGCAAGAGACTCGCGCCATGGTCCGCGAGACCTTTGCTCCTTACGGGCTCTCGGACTCGGCGATCGCGGAGATCACGCACGACTTGCATGCGTCTGAAGACCGTCTCCTTGAGTTCCTGATTGCTTTCCATCATCGCGAGATTGCACCTGACTGTAACCAGGCGTGGACTTCGGCCATCACGCTCGCGCTGGGGTATTTTATTGGCGGGTTTATTCCGCTTATTCCGTACTTCATTGTCTCGCAGGTTATGGTTGCACTGTATTGGAGTATTGGCGTTATGGCGATTACCTTGCTTGTGTTTGGATATGTGAAGACCTGTGTTGTGCGCGGCTGGTCTGGCCGGGCTAATGTGATGGCTGGAATCTGGGGTGGAATGCAGATGTGTTGTGTTGGAGGTGTTGCTGCTGGCGCGGCGATTGGATTGGTTCAGTTCATTGATATGGGCAATACTCGACCCTGATGATGGTACTGTTGATGTTCACATTGCATTGAGCGTTCATGCATTGCGGCAGTTGGAGTTCTTGCTCTCTCTCTCTACTCCTATTGTTTTCTTCATTCTGGTTTGACCTGGGTATGGGTCTATCAGCGGGCGTTCCGGGGAAGCTATAAAAAGCTTTGTGATACACATTTAACGAATAATTCAACTCTCATTGACGACATCAAATTACATTTCAAATATATACAAAGGCATTAGTACTGGTTACCTTGGAGATATGTATATGGATATATAAAACAAAGAACCCCTATAATCCCACCCCAGAGAATCACCCACTCAACGCAATCCCAACCAACTTCTTAGCCTTATCCGACAACTGAATCTTCAAAGCCTCCTCCCTCCCACGCTCCGACATCTTCCCCCAAGTCTTCCTCAAAATATCCACCATCTTCTCCTCATCCGCAAGCTCAGCCTCAAACTTATCAAACTGATCATCCAAAAACACAAGACAAGCAACATCCTCCAGCGTCTGCGTATCAGGATCTCCCTGCTTAAGATCCGCCTTACGCACCAGCGCGCCAACCCTCGCCGCCTCCTCAGCCGAATACCCGCTCTCAACACACATCTGCTCAACCAGCGCAGCCTGACGCCTCTGCAGTCCCGCGCGCCATGAGTGATATCCGATCTTCGTGGCGGGGTAGCTATCGCGCGGCACTTCCCAGCGGCGCAGGTGCTGGGCGCGGATTGCGAGTTTCAGGAGCTCTGGTGCGGATGGGTTTAGGGTTGAGAGGTAGCTGGTCATTTTTTGCGCATAGTGTAGTTCGTAGGGGATTGGGCCGGTGGATGTTTGGGTTTGGCGGGGGTCATCGGCGTGCGCTGCGTCGATGCGCGCGAGGGCTGTTTCGTATTTGGACATTTTGGGGGGTTGTATGGGGTAAATGAGGGAGGTGGTTTATTTTGAGTAGTGTGGAAGTGGTGTGGTCTGGTGAGAGGAGTGTGGGCTGATCAAATAGACTTGTTCTTGGCCTCGGGAGAGCCCGTATTAGGTCGATTGATATGCAGTTTTGGATAAGAATATGCGCTAGTCTGGGTATGGATTAGCGTATATGTAAATCGTAACTAGACATTTCTGATTGGTGGAAGAAGATGTATACCAGCAACTACATCTTGCAACCCTACAACTACTAGGCTTCACATAGTAATGACTCTGCTAATTCAGGACTATTATTGTCTTATATTAAGAACATCCAAATTAAATCGACACCACAAGACAAATGGTGGATAATCTCTACATATCTATCTATAGGATTTGCTATTCCACATGAACTTTGATCAAGCAAAGAAAGATACCTAGATAACATCAATATGCGGCCTGCTGGGATTAGCCTGCGAGGAAGTGTTTCGGGACCGAGCACTGTCGTAATTACAACACGCAACAGCAACAAAAATTACATTCACGATCACGATGATTCGCTGCCCTTTTTCTGGAACACGAGCAGCTCTTGCGAAACATCCGACGCATGCGGCTCCACCTGGTAAGTCTTCTCCTTTTCGAAGATCCGCGCCACTTCTTCCAGAGATAGGCCTTTAGTCTCCGGAAAGAGGAAGTAGATCGTTCCGCCGAAAATCACAAGACAAGCCAGATACACCGTAAAGTACTTCCAGTGGATTGCCGCCAAAGCCACCGGGTTAATAAACTGATTGAAGAAGCAAGCCATTGAATCCGTAGTCAGTGTGATGGCGAGGCCCTTGGCGCGGAGTTGGAAGGGCAGGATTTCAGCTGGGTATGCAATAAACAAGGGCATATATGCCATATCGTAAGCGCTGCAGAAGAGGAAAAGCATGGGGACTACCGCGATGCCGGCCTCCAGAACATGGAGCTCTTGGAAGAGCCCTGTCATAGTCGTTGCCGCGGAGAGATAGATGAACATCAACAATGTCGCGATTAGCCAGAGTTTCCGTCGTCCATACCGGTCTGCAGCCATAGCTCCAGCGACCGCGAATCCCAGGTTCCACACCTGCATGCTTATATTGATAGCGGCCTGGTGAGATGCGTTATATATACCGACTGATTCTAGGATCGGTGCTAGATAATAAGAAACCACTCCTGCAAGGAGAACCTTGGTTAGAAATCGGGTTGGAAGAAAGAGGCGCGGGTGGGGTTTGTTTTTGTTTTCTTTTTTCATACCATTTCCAGACCATTCTTGCATGAATCCCAAGATTACACAAATGGATAGACGATGTATATTGCTCCGTGTCGCGAAGAAAGTGCTCCATCGGCGGCAGCTCTTATCGGATTCGGCATTGATGCTCTTGCAAATCTGGTAGAATTCATCCTGAACAAGTTCGTCGCTTTCATCTCCATTGGCATGATATTTTGCCAGTATAGCCATTCCCTCCTCCTTCCTACCCCGCGAAACCAGCCATCTCGGGCTCTCGGGGACAAAGCAAAGCCCTATCAACTGAAGGACAGGATAAAACACCTGCGTTAAGCAGGGGAGTTTCCATGACCAACTCCCTATAACCGTGAGTCCAGCAAAACCAATAGCAGCCGACGTGATTGACCCGATAAACCAAAGAGCATTGTATAGACCAGTGAAGGCCTGTCGCTGGCGCGGATGTGTTGATTCGGTAATGAGCAATGGTGCAGCCGTTTGCGAGACCCCAACTCCCATTCCAGCTAGAACGCGAGCACCAAAGAAGACCCAATGATTGTTTGTAGCCACTTGAATAATCGAGGCGATGATCACTAGCGCGGAACCGATGAGAACGCAGATCCTCCGGCCCAGATTGTCGGCGATGTACGATCCGGGGATGAAGGAGCTAAAAGATCCAAGCGAGACAGCTGCAATAATAAGACCTCTGCCATTTGTATCAAGACCATCCAAGAACTTCGAGACTGTTTTTTTTTTTTTTGCGGGGTTAGCCTTGTGTTCCCATATAGTATAGCATAGATGTATAGATGCCTACATTCGGGAAGCACCAAGAGGCCATTGATCATGCTAGCACAATATCCGGCTGTAGCCGATGCAGATAGCATGAACCCAATCCCCAGGTTTAGTTTCCGCAGCCCTGGATCCTTCATCCAGCTGCTGTTGGTGTTGTTCTGTAAGACCTTGGAGGCCATGTTTGGCGATTATGCACGATATGCTGCAAAAACGGTGAATCTCGTGGAGATTTGTTCCGGACCTTGAAATTCGAGCTGTCAAGCTCTTTTATTTAAACACTAAAGATCAATTGGTAAAAAAAACCTCCGAATGACAATGCGCCCTAGCATTCCTCACATTTACCTAGGACCCAAGCTCGCCGTGCGAGGTTACAGCTGTAGCTAAGGAGTAGGAATGAAGGGGGGGAAGTCAAATGATCCGATCACCGGACAATTCTTCTTAGTTAGCTCTCATCCCAGAGCTTTTGATGTGACACGCTTGTCAACATGCCTTCTCCAAGATCGCGATTGGAAGGTGAGCCTCCGACGCCTTGGGAGCTCGGTTGCTTCAGGAATGCTCGTAGCTCTCATAGCTCCCTCCCCTCACGTTTGACCACGGGGATCGTTTCCTCAGTTGCCAAGTCTAGCTTTGGATTCGTAAGTATTGCCCTTCGTATGAATTCCCTTGATTATTGGATTCGCGATAGATCGACTCGCCATTATGCAGGGACTTGTCTCTGGGGAAACGCTGTAAGGAAACACTCTCCATAGAGCTTGTAGGGAACGAGCAGGATTTCTTTTCCTTTTCTTTTCTTCATTTTGTCAAGTCAGCTCGGTGTACTTCCACCCGCACTATCCACCCGCACTACGTCACTTGATATTTGAAAAAGCCTGATCAAGGAGGGTCTTGAATCAGGAAACTATAACGTGGAATGGGATTACTGGGGTTCTGACGCGGACAGTCTTATGGCACCAATCGGAAATATTATCACTCCATCCCCGTGGCTTATGGTTCTCCCCTGCTTAAAGGCTGAAGAAGATTCAGGGGAATTAACTTTATTATGTAGATATGACAACGAGTCTTGTAAGATCTGAAGCGCTCTTCATATTACACACAGGACTGAAGTTTACTCAAATAATTTGCTTCTGAAACGGAGCTCTAAAAATGCTAAGTAATCAGAATGAATTTCGAGGATCCAACCTTGGAAAGTGGTCAATTTAGGGCTTTTTTGGAGCTTTATGTAGTTCTTGGTTTGTTGCTCGGCAAACTTTGTATCTTAGTACTATAAAAGCTTGGAACTAGGTACATAGATGCTTTATATACTATCTGCGCAGGTAGTACTGAACGAATATCTTCATTTATATTGAAAATATATATATATTCAGCTGTGTTGTGTTGCGTAAACTAGTTTGTAATGGGTTATAAAATTGTGGATATATATTCGGAGAAATATGTCAGACAAGCCCAATGTTATGAAAAAGTCCGAGATCAACACAATTTCCGTCCACGCAAAGACCCATAGGTACATACTACAGGGGCTATACGGGGTACGAAGTAATGATTCGTCATTTCTCTAGAAAAAAATGAAACTGTGTTGCTGGCAAAATTGGACCCTTATCAATCATCGTGATGACAAACTCTTACGGGATTGGAAGCTCTGTTTTCCAGTCATCCACCAGGGAGACCCTAAGTAACTTAATACATGACAGCTCGTATTATGACTCGTCAATTCGATTAAGCCAAGATATACTCCGCTGCACTGCCACGATGCCAAGGCGCTGTAGATGCTCGAGACACAAGCTGTCTTGGCGTGAGCTTAGGTACCCCTAAACCCTGGATCGAAGATTTTTTGTCTTATCTGATCTACATTTTCAGCCCTACCTTCTCTATACCCTCAGAATCCTACATTCGCCTACCCCGACCAACCTTGGTCTAGTCAGACAAAATGACACTCCTCGAAGACCCGCTAAGCCTCAACCAATATAAAACAACTATATCCGAGCCAAAAAAGAAATGGGTCCCATACTCTTTCAATGACGACAAGGAAAAACTGCTCTCCGGCTTCTACAAAGAACAAAATGAAATGATCGAGGGCTTCCTCGGCGCTGGCGAAGAAGAGCGTCTCAAAGCCGAAGACGAAGCCGAAAATGGTGGCAAAGTAAAGCTCGCCGTGCGTGCCAGTTTCACGGTCAACTTCTTCCTCTTCGTGATCCAGCTCTACGCAGCCGTATCCACCGGCTCTCTGGCCCTCTTCGCCACCGCCGCAGACGCCTTCATGGATCTCGTCTCGTCGATTGTTATGCTAGTCACGGCACGCATGTCCTCACGCCCAAAACCACACAAGTACCCCGTTGGACGACGACGCGTCGAAACAATGGGAGTGATTATGTTCTGTGCTTTGATGACTATCGTGGCGGTGGAGCTGATCATTGAATCGGCCAAGGCTCTTGCAGCCGGCGAGGGCGAGTCCAAGCAGCTGGATATTGTGCCGCTGGTCTGTGTGGGTGTTGCTATCTTCTCCAAGTTCGTGATGTTCTTGTACTGCTATAGCTTGCGTCGGTACCCGGCTGCGCATGTCTTTTACATTGATCACCGCAATGATCTGGCGGTTAATGGGTTTGGATTGATCATGTCGATTGTGGGTGATCGATTTGTCTGGTATCTTGATCCCGTGGGTGCGTGCTGTATTGCACTGCTGATCTTGTTCTCGTGGGCATCGACTGCGTTCGAGAATATGTGGCTGCTTGTGGGAAAATGTGCCCCACGTGAATTCGTGAATAAGTGTATCTATGTGACACTGACTCATGACCAAAGGATTCAAAAGGTGGATACAGTAAGTCATGATGGTGAACTGAGTGGATTCATTATTGGCACGTTGGCTAACGGTACATAGTGCCGCGCTTATCATTCCGGACAGCAACTCTACGTTGAGGTTGATATCGTCATGGACCCTGAGACTAAGCTTCGGGAGTCCCACGATGTAAGCCAAGAGCTGCAGCGCAAGTTGGAAGGTCTCGCGGATGTCGAGCGGGCCTTTGTACATGTCGATTATGATTATATGCATGATGTCAACGAGGAACACAGGCCGCTTTATGACATCGGTGGAACGAAACACTCCATCAGAGAATTGGTGAAACGATTATGGTCTAAAAAGAAGGAGCCGACAGACGGGACTGCTGTGTGACAAGCCTCGGTTATATCACGGATGAGCTGGTCTCCAATATCGTGGACAGTCATAGTCATACGACCACAGAGCAAAAGTTTAGTTGAAAAAATAATAATATCATTGTCAGATTTATGAATACCGAAAGTAATTTCTTAGCAGGACAAACTTGATACATAAAAGCAAAACGTGATATCAACAAAATCTGAAATACTCAGAACAGAGTTTCAAAACATGATATCCATCTCTATTTAAGCAGCTTTTCTCTTCTTAGTCTTTCCAAACATGCCGTAGGGCTTGACGGCAAAAGCGCCATTGAAATTCTTCCCTTCCACATCCAATTCATAATCCTTGTCCGCCAACTCAAAATCAACCTCCTTGAGGATGCGAATGAGTACATACAGGGACCATTCCCAAGCAAACACCTTACCGTAACATTGACGTTTCCCGTTTCCGAACCCCTTCTTCGCACCGGCTGGGAGCCGGTCAAAGGCCTCGCCAAGCATGCGCTCGGGCTTGAAAGCCTCGGGGTCATCGTAGACAGCAGGATCGCGGTTGACAGCGGCGATGATTGGAATCATGGGTTGAGACTCGGGAATCTCGTATTTTCCTCCGCCGAGTAGGGCCGGACCATTTGTGGGCAAAGGCTCCATGTTGTAAGCCGGAGCTGGGGCAGAGAGACGGAAAGATTCGCGGAGGACGGCTTCGCAGTAGGGCAATTGCGAAATATGGTGGTGTTCGACCTGGTCGGAGGGCCCAATGAGGGCGTCGATCTCCTGACGGGCACGGGCGAGTGCATCTTGGTCTTTGGCGAGATAGTACAGAGCGAAGGCTACGAGATACCCGGCTGTGGCACTGCCAATATAGATGTTGATAATCTCGTCGATGACCAGTTTGTCTGTAATGTATTCTCCGGTCTTCGGGTTCTTCCCGTGAATTAGGGCGTGCAGCAAATCCCTATCTTCTATAGGCTTCTCACGTCGCTTGGCAACTATATGAGCGGCATAGTCGCGACAAATCTTGGTCTGCTTGTCGAATATACTCTGGTACCAGAGCCGATTGAGGAGCTTAGGTCGCATGGGCCGAAGTAAGGATTCAAAGGTTACATCTACCAAAGCTTTGATAGCAGGGGGTTCATCGCCAAGGACGCAGTCTACATACTGACTGAAGAAGTATTGCGTGGTGCCGGCGTGGTTCAGTCGGTCCAGGTCATTAGTGACATCCACACGCTGCCCAACGCTGTCTGTTGAAGTCCATTTCCAGATCAAGTCGTCCGTTGTGACTTGTATATCCCTGAACTTTTCCTTGAGGGACTGGGGCAAAACGAAAGGAGCCATGATATTATGCCCGATGGCCCAGTTTTCCTCGTCGTTGTACGCAGTAAAGAGACCGTCGTTGGTGACATTGCGCAGCTCGAAAACTGGGCCGGTGATGGATTTTCGGAAGCGTTTCTCATCACAGATTTCCTCGAGGAGAGCAGCATTGGTAATGAAGACGATTTGCGTGGTGAGGATCTTGATTTTGAAGATACCAGCACCACCCTCTTCTGCTGCCAGCTTATTTAAAGAACCCCAGACATTGCTAGGGGATATAGCAAAGATATTTCCAAGAATTGGAAGCCCCTTGGGCTGAGGAATAGGTGAAGACATGTTTGGACACGAGAGTATGATTGAGTCTGAGAAACTTTTCAGGATACACTGGCAAACCTTTCACTTATCAATAGCTATGGATAGGAGAACTCATCACAAGCAGATGCCAAGAATGCACCTGGGAGATTGCAGCTCTTGTGCCACATGACTCAATGACCTCTAAATGGCCCATTAGCTTTGGTGACAGTGTGATGAACCTGAAGATTCCTCCCGTCCAATTGGACGAGAGCTTAAATGATCACAGGCCCGTCGTAGAAACTCGTGTTAAGTGCAGCTGAGAAAACAATTGCATGGCCCGCATATCCGCATGATATGTGATGCAAGTGATTTTGCCTTCGGAAATAATAATGATGGCTTGAAGGATACAAGGTTATACTATGTAGTCAATAAGAGCTAGTAGCATTCCGTCTGGGATCCCGGAGCTTATCATATTGAAGCTTGGAATTACAAAATACCTACATTTACATGTCCATTCTTTGACTAGGATACTGTATAGAATGTTAATTGAGTAGATCCGCGATTGCCACTGTGGAATGTATTTATCGGCACGAGATTGTCTGTCGTCATCTCTTTGTTCATGTGGTTCACCTGGGACACATTTCAGGTGATTTAAAGGTGCCGATCCCTTTGGTGATACAACGTCTTAGGCAAGAAATCAAGGAAAAGAGAGGTTGTGATAGAAGCTGTCTCAGGTAAGAAAGCAAGGAAGAGAGCGCGCATTGTGATAGAAGCTATCTCGCCTACGAACAACCTGGGTCGGAAACCTGGACCCTAAGTTTGACTGTAGGTAGCCGTTGTAGACACATGGATACCTTAACGTATAGAGGCCTACGTGAAGAAAACTGAAAGAAGCCCAATCCCCACTCGGCGGTCAGGAAATCAGGAACCCGAAAATGCAGCCAATTAGGCGAAACCGTGCCGAGATTCAGGTCCTGCCAGTCCAAGAGAGGCCGCGTGATTGGCGGGTAGTCGGGATCTCGCCATAGGTAATCTTACTATGTAGAGGGTGAGAGGAAATTAGCTTGCTTTGCTATAGTCGGCTGGAGATATTGGAATAGATCGGGTATTTTGGCCGGGAAGGCTCGCGATGTTGATATCTCAGCCTCTATAGCACGTTTAATACTCAACTAGGCCACTCGAGTTCATCCGCGAATTCTTTAATATATAAATGCTTGTTTGCCCTCTCCATATTAACTATCCATAATGAAAGAGAAACTGGCTATTTGGGCTGACATATCAACTACAAGTCGACTACATCTTCCGAATGCCGCTTCTACCATACAATGAAGGATATTGTCATCTATTGAATCGATTGGCTAATTCTTCGGCACTTGTCTCGTCATCGCGGAATGATATCTCCACGCTGCCAAGGCCAAGGCTCCAAAGACTCATGGATGATATAAAAAAAATGTAAGGAAGTGTGATGCACACTCCCTATAATCATTGATGAACACAGCGGACCACGCATGTTGGCCGGTAGAAGAATCATGGAAACAAGAAGCATAAGACACCGTCAAGAACAGAATAACCAACCATTACAGCAGTAGAGATCTCGAATAACTGTGCGCGAGATATAAAAAGAACAGAAAAACAAGGGGAGAAACAAAGCTTACGAAATAAAAAGCAATTGATCATATCCACTTTGGATAACTTTGTTTCCCGCCCAAAACGCCGTCCGATTGATGAAGCCGGGTATATCCAGCACCGTGATGCAACATGTACTGAGAATGAAAAAAAAGAGAAGGGGGATGCCAAAAAAAAAGGCATCAAGTCCCCGTACCTTGCACAGAGGCAAGGCTCGGCTCGAGCCATCACCCCTAGGTTGATATGGGCAAAATTGGTGTTTGGTGTCTGGTGTTTCATCCGAAAAAAATAAAATAAGAAAATAAACAGAAACAGCTTTTGGTTGATTCGAAATGATCATAGAACACATTTCGTCATCTGGCCCCGATGCCGAACATGCCTACCCCGTAGCTAGCGCTTCTTTCGGACATGGGGGTTGACACCTTAGCGACGTGGTCCTGATTAATTGGATTAATGCTTATCAACAGAATTGGTTACGCTCCGTGGAAATATGATACCTTCTTGCGTTTCTTCTTCCCAGATCCCTCGCCATTTGAGTAGAATCCGGGGTCATCATCATCATCCACAAACCCTTCGCCATAGCCGGCAAAGCTATTATCATCGTAATGTCTTTTGCGTCCCCTGCTAGGCCGTGGCCGCTCGGCTTCCTGTGGTTGTGGAGATGCGGCATAGGATTGGGTAGAGGGGCGACCAGCAGTTGAAGCTAGGGCAGCCTTCTTGCCAGTGTCGCCTGGTGCGGCATTCTTGACCGGCTTTTCGTGACCCAAGATATCTTCCCAGAAATCATTGTTGGGAATCGGTCCTGGTTCCATTTGCATGGCTCGCAATTGAAGATTTTGCAGCGCTGAATCCATGTCTGAAACCTTGATGGCCTTGCCATGCACCTTCTGGTTCTGCCATTCCTCTTCAGGCCATAGGGTCATGTGCCTCAAGCTGCCAGGGGCGCCAATCTCCTGCTTCAAAGGTTTGTTCCGCCCAGCAAGTCCGAGTCCTTTCAGCTTTCCTTCGTATGATTTCCTAAGGCGGTTGATTTTCTCTCCCGTCACGGGATCCATGCGTGCTACCGAGTGCGCGATTGGGCCTAACCCATAGAGGGAAATGAGATCCACTGTAGGGTCTGGACCAGTAACGATCGGAGCTGTCAAGGAGGAAAAAGCAGTGTTAACAACTTCAGTTCCAAGAATGTGCAAGATCAGTGCATTCATGCAGCTACCTGCAGCAGACGCTACGATGCATTTTGGGGAATCTTACAGCTCTTGCAAAGATGAAAAGCCGAGGTTAGCTCTTTTTGAAGCGAATCCAGACTGAGACTGAGGGTATCTGCCCGGCGAGTCGGTTCTGTATCTACATCCATAGCGTCGGGGTCTGTCGAGTGCTGGCCCTGCCCGGTGGCAAAATCGTTAGTGCTGTCTGTTTGGGAAGACTGCCGATCGTGATCGGTCTGTCTATGTTGTGTTGTTTGCTGAGCGGGACCTGCTCCCGAGTTTTCTGCCGAGTCCTGTATCCCCATATTGAGAGATTTTCCCCCCTGATCCACATCCTCCACCGAAGTCGCATTCGCAAGATGACCACTCACACTGCTGGCGGGAGTGGGGAATGAATTTGTTGTGCTCATTGTGGGCTGCTGGGAGACTTGGGTAGACATCGGCGCAGAGGATGGAGGGGAGGAGATGTTCGGATGTTGGACCGTCGCCTGATTCGGTGATGTGTGCGAGGATATGAAGTTGGCGGCATGACTTTGTTCGCTCACCGACATCAACGGAGGAGATGTCGGAGTCTGGGGGATGTGGTCCGGAGAAATGGGCAGCCGATGCTTCTCTTTGAGAGACTCGGCGGCGGGCGAGGAAGGTGAAGGAGGTCTTGCTTGAAAGGATGTGGGGTGAGTGCGATCAGACATGAGAGCCCGAGGAAAAGTTCAGCATGCAGAGACGGTGTTAACCAGAGCGGCTCTGGATCCGAATCGCAAAGTTTGATACCAGTGCCTGGAGAGGGGGGTTTCCCGATCACGATCGACGGTCGCTCAAGCAGGCGAGCAGGTCATTCAACGGTCGTACTAGATCATCTGCATTCCAAGGGACTAGAGTAAATCCCTACAAGTGGTACAGATTGGGTGGCTGATGGGTAGCTGTGGTGAAGGAGAGTGATGATGGAGGCAATCCTGAGGTCAAAGCCGGCGAGGATGACGGCGATTGATCGATTCACGTGACCAGTCTTGGCCCGATGTCTTTATTTGGCACATGCATTGTATATTCTATTGATTAATGTAAGGAGCATACATTTCATGTATTCACCGATTATCATTGTTATTCTCTCATTTGTCTCTTTCTTCTCAATACAATGCGACAATAGAAGTGCATCAATTGAGAGCTGCAAACAATCAACCCCCCTTAGCGAGTGGCAAGAACAATAAGTAGAAAATTAAACTTCAAAGGAATCTTTGGCTATATTTGCCGGAACTGAATCCCCAATAGTTGCCCAAACATTCATTCCCTTATTATATATGTAGGGGTGTGTAAACTAGATTGTTTCACACTCTTCTGATGTTTGGTAGCGGATCGCAGGTCTTGCACCTGCGTTCATTAATATCTTAACCCACCAAATTATGAATGAACCTGATATCAGATGGAACTTGAAACGATTCAAAATGGTATCTTTTACTATTGAAAGACTATTTGCCGAGAAAAAAAAAAAGTCAGATGGCTTAAAATGCCTTTCTCGGCTTGGGCGACCTCCAGCCCGGTTGGTAACATGACCATTAAAGAAGACATATGTCATGGATGTCAGAGTATGAGCCAGTCCAAAACAGAATAGTAGTGATATACCGGGAATTAAAGCACAACTCCCAACTAAGCGCCATAGCTCTTCAATACAAAATAGTATCCGCAGACGGACTTGCTCAGGACTGATAGTAAGCATTATACTCATTAACCAGTTGGGCAGATACATCGGGTATATTATGTTCGAGCGAAGCCAGAAGCTCGATTTGCTCTTGTTGGCTGAGAGTGCGCTCACGCCACGAAGGTACTGGAAATGGCTCATTAAAGTACTGAGAGTACTGATCTCCAATGGAGGTGGACCAGTTCATGGGATCGACAGTCGCATCAGTGTATGCCAAATGACCCGCGGTTGTCGAGGCAAGTGAGAAGTTGGGGTCCCAGCCTTGCAAGCCGGGAACAATAGAAGGTATTGTGTTATAAGGGGTGTTCGGGTCGATCGATACATCTGGGTAGAGCGTCGGCCCAACATAGGCTCCTGGTGTATAATGTGGTGCCACACTTTGGGCTGGAAGTGGGGGCTGCATGCCAAATGCAGAGGAAACCGATGGCATATGCGGTTCTTTTGACGGCCCAGGGGGGGCCACTGCAGGTGGGGTTGCTTCTTGAGTGAATGAAGGATCAGCCGATTGTCCCCTGGAATAAGTACCGATCGAGGCGGTATCACCGATTGATAGGTTGCCGCCACCACGGTGGTTGTTGGAACAATATGAAGCAGTTGTACTGCTTGATGGGCTGGACATCGCTGGAGGGCTCGTGACTCCCTGCGAGGAGGTTGGTGTGGCATGGTTAGAAGGTGAATGTACAACAAACGATTCTTCCGTCCTATAAGCTTTCAAGCACGCAGCAACAAGGCGCCTGTAAAGAAGGTAGGCAGATTGAACACCAGGCCAACGTTCGGCGGAAAATACGATCACTTCAAAGGCCATATCCAGATGCCCTTGGACCTCCTCAATGGTGTGCTCTTTTCGAATTTCGGGATATGAGAGAGTCCAAAGAACAGTGTTTAAAGCCATGAACAGAGCTTGCACAAACACCCATGTCAGGTCGACAGATCCGGTGATCATCTGTTCCTTATGCATAGCAATATTGGAGATGGCCGCGTCGTAACAGATTTTGGCAGCATTGACAGTTGGCTCGGGGATCTGGGGTGAGGGGCGATACATAAGAACAATGATGGTGTTGCGTCTCCCTTGAAACCTGGAGATGTCGTTGTTAGTAAAGCCGTACTTCCGAGAATGAGAATATCAACGAACCATTTCACATTGAGCCCGCTGCCATCATCGTTCTTGGGGGTAGTGGCCATCCAATGGTCAATTTTGGCCAACATTTGAGAAAACCATGGATCTTGATCATCAAGTGGACTCTCTCGTCTGTTCGAGTAAAGCATTCTCCTGGGCTCCAATTGGAGTAGTCGCATTTTGAAAAAGTGAACTGCAATACACTTTGCTAGAACGGGTTTCGCTCCAGGGGTGATCCCCTCGGCGGTGATGTACCGGTCGTCCACTAGTGCAAAGAATTTCACATTGATATGGTCGTGGCTGACGCAGTAGCTGCTGCATCGACCTAGACTATGAGAAAGGCCGAACTCCATTGATGAAACGATCCAAAATAATCTTCGACGCATGTCGATTTCTAAGGGATTCAATGGTTTCCCACACCGTGATTTGGTGACGGTGGCTTCTTCGGTCAATCCCAAGTCCTGGCAAAGCTTGGCAGCCGTCCCCACGACCCAGTACGCAGCTGTGCGAGTGGGTGTTACCATTGAATATGAGGCAATAAGCACGAGACATTGTAGAGCCCCTAGATCCATTCGTTTCAGTGTAGGTTCGAGGTAGGGCAAGGCCGCAAGATAATAACTATCAGCGAGACCAGCATATTCTGTACTCATTTTTTGCATGCTGATGGCGATGACCATGCGCAGTTGGAAATTTTGGCAGGGATCTGTAGAGCCATCGAAGACCTCCTCTACCTCTTGTCGAAATGTGGGCTCGTGCAGGATCGGAAGTAGTGCCTGTGCTATACAACGAATCAGTACGAGCTACACGGACAGAGTCTGAGCAAAGTCATCGCAGTACCTTTGGCTACAAAGAGATCAATCAATCTATAAGTCAGGGCCTTTGGAGGCAGGATGGGTTGTGGAATCGAGCTTATCATGGGATAGACTTTCGATGTCGGCTTTGAATCTTCCTGTGCAAACGCGTCTTTGATTTCTTGTGCGGTGAATTCGGGGACAACATCCTTGATGCTTTTGGAGTCGGTATTCTGTTTGGCCATCTCCATGACCAAACGGGTCATGGCGATGCCACTCGAGGCACCGAGATATCGCGGCTCGTCGTTCTCCTTGAATCGGATGCGCCCGGCCCCCCGCACCATCAACTCGGCATCAGCAGCATGTTGTATCTCCTTCTCAGCTTTGGCAAGCTCTCTTTCCAACGCGCGGGCTTTCTCTCTGAGCGATACGATATAGGTTCGAGGTATAGTTGTGTCTCGGGCCGAGTCATAATACACGCACTTGGCATTGCTTCGTTCGCAGGGCGCACATCGTGGAATCCCGGGGTCGCATCTAGACTTTCGCTATATGGAATGGTTGGTCAGTCCGAGACAGCACTGAAGGGATGGGGGGAGGGCGGAGAAAGGCCATAGACGCGCCAAGGGACCGAGGGGCAAAAAGCCCAAGATGGCGGGGATGGGGGAGGTGGAGAAAGAGGAGACGGATGTTGCATACCTGTCTACACCTTGTACAGGCGGTTAAAGTGTGAGCGATGCGACCGTCCGGTGGTTCTAGGGAGTGTAATTCCGGTGATCTCAGCCCTGTGGAGGAATCCGGACTTGGGGTCATGGTGGGCCAAAAAGGGAATATAAGATAAGAGGAAGGTTGAGAAAAGGTCCGATCACATTATACGCGATTTTATACCTAAGGTAGGTATCGAAGATCAATATTTTGAACCGTCGACATGATCTTGAGGCTCCCGGGCCCTTGACAAGGGAGAGTTCTGAGTTGCAAAAGATATGAAACGGGAAGAAGAAGTTATTCGAATGGGGCCACCAGGCCTCGGTCCAGATCTGGATCGACAAAAGACCTTTGGTCTCCGCGTTGTAAAAGGGTTGGGTGTGGGAGTGGATATCATGTGGGTGCAATGGCGCAGCTGAAAAACAAGAGAGATTTCAAATGTCCAGTTTAGGCATAAAATAGTTGGTGTAATGGGTATAAATGTAGGGTTGAATAGCTAAACCCACCAGGTATGTTTGATATGTAATCAATAATAGCATTGGATACTATTTGTTATTATTTACTATTATTTATTAGTATTTAGTATTCTTTAATCGTGCTTTAATATTGGTTTAATAGCCATTTGGTTAATAGACGGGCTTTAATAGCCTTAACAGCCACTTATAACCATTTATAGCCAATTCTGCCCGCAAAGTCCGTGCGGTTCCACAGATCTTCCCCTCTCGAATTCCTGTCCTATAACATTCAATGTTCCTAAATTATTAGCCTATAATCTGTTTTGTAAAAGAGACAATTTCAGTGGAGTTATCTTCTTTGCAACGTCTTTAGCGGCTAAGGCTTATTCAATTTAATATACATTAGCTAATCCCTCCCGGGCCATATGCAGGTTCATTCCTTTGGCTTTGTGCTTAACATATTTTCTTATTTCATGTCATGTGAGTATTTAATTTTTGTGTTTCTGCCGAGCTCAGAACCCGAAGTGGATACAAGGGGGAAGTGGGGGGGGGGGGGGGGGGGGGATACGGAGGTAATTCTTGAATTCGCTGACCGTACTCCGTTTATGACTAGTATAATGAACATGAGCAGACATGTCCGTCACAGCCACGACTTTCTTGGAGAATCCCTTGCTCAAGGTGAGTCGTCCAGTCGCTGCCTGCTCGAGATGTCGGACCGCAAAGATCAAATGCGACGGCAAGCTCCCCGCGTGTTCGGCTTGCGAAAGAGTGGGCAGGGCGAGCACTTGCTCCGGAGCAAGTGATGAATTCGCCAAGGGAAAAGAAAGGAGTTATGTCGCGTCACTGGAAGGTTATTGTGAGAAGCTTGAGCATAAGATCAGTCAGTTACGTGCCCGATCAACTTCGCTGTCTGCTGAGGGTGATGGGATCCCTC